CATTATTTTGAGAGTGGGGGTAGCGCCAAACGGCACAATATTTTTGTAGGCCACCTTTTTTTCGATTTTGTGATGATATTATCTTACGATTCAAGTGCAAAGCAAATGGCTATTTATTAGTTTTCAGTATCTAATTATATAGACAAAGTCTGTCGATCGCCAAATTGAAAACTCCTCAATTATGAGAATTTTCGTAAATGAAATATTTGTTACGATGAGATGAAGCTATTTACGAAGTATCAGGTGGATATTTTTATACATCATATACACACACAACATTCCTAACATCGCCAGAACTATTATAGAGACTCACGCAGACGATACAGCTATTTTAACAAGACACAAACATCCAATACACGCCTCACAGACTTTACAACATCATTTAACAGAACTAAACGATTGGTGCAAACTCTGGAAAATTCGACTCAATCAAGACGAATCACAACACATCACTTTCACTCTTCGACATGAAACATTCCCTTCTATTTACCTTGACAATGCCAAAATTCCTCAAAAATATAAAATACATTATCTTGAACTGACATTCGACAGAAAAATGACATGGGGCCCACATATCAACAAAAAAAGAAAAATTTTAAACCTCAGACTACGACTGTTATACTCACTTCTCTCAAGACGCTCAAAATTAAACTTAAACAAAAACTGAACACTTACAATTATCTACTAAAGCCTATGTGGACCTACGCTTCACAAATTTACGGGAAAGCCAAAACGACCCACATACGAAAACTGCAAACTTTTCAGTCCAAAACTTTCAGGACCATAACTAAAGCTCCATGGTACGTCACAAACATTATATTACATAATGACCTTCAATTGCCAAAAGTTAACGATCAAATATGGACACACTAAAGGCGATTTCACAATATCTTACATGGACATACTAACACACTTATACAAAGTATGGCTTCATTTAACATGCCTGAAAACACACTTAGGATGCTCAAAAGGAGCTGGATGAGGTACTCCTCGCTTAAAAAGACGATAAATTCAAGACAGAAAGGGATGCCGCTGGGCACTCCTCTCCATCACGCCGATCAAGCCACTACTTGTACACTTACCGACAGCAGACCGGCTAATTGTCATTGTTTTGACAGGTGTGGGTGAAGAAATCAAGTTACAAATAATAGACAAAGTTTGCCAATCCCCAAATTGAAAACGCTCTAATTCCGAAAATTTTTGTAAATAAAATATTTGTAGGTTACTATGAGCTATTTTCGAAGTTTTCGGTGGATGTTAATAATTTGATGAAAGGGCTCTTTACAACGGAGTACAATTAATCCAGTGAAAGAGATCATTTAGCATCAGGCAGTGACTTTTTTCTCTGTAAAGTCAGAACATTATGCACTTATAATTAGTGAAACTATTTTTTACTTATAAGGATTTGTATTCTTATGATGCACTTAATGAGTTCTAATCTAACGATAAATATGATTGAAATTAAATACTGCATACGTTCAGGTAAGAATCAGGCAAAAGTGTACATACATTAGTGACTTTTTGGAATTAACCGACGATCTATTAAATGAAGCATTCCATTTGTATCAATGTTTTTGTTTAGTATTTTCGCTACCGAAAGTAGAGAAGCTTTGTATTTGTTCAAAGTTAAATAAAATATTTAATTTAATTTAATTATTGATTAAGATGGTCGAAAATATTGCTCTGTGGGACAATGACGCAACTGAAAATCATAAAAATGTATTTATAGAAGAGGTACAATAATTATTATTTAAGTATGATAATTATTAAAATTTATGGTATCTGTGACGAATTCTTCTACCCATTCATTTTTTTCTTGTATTATATTATGACTTCTATTAAACACGCCTTTTTGACGTACATTTTTTTCTAAAATTTTATATTCGCGTAATTGTTTCACCATATAAGTTAGAAATAGAAATAGAAAAATAACTTTATTCTGGGACACAGTCCCTTGAGAATAACAAAATAGAACAAAATTAATATATGACATCTGGCCAAAATAAAATCAATCGAAAAAAGAATTTATAACTAAGTTATGTAGTTCAATGTCGTTATTATTTCGTCGAAGGATTCCAGAGAGACCTGAGATTCAAAATTGAAAAATAATCAACAATCATAGATCCACTAACGAGTTTAGAGAACCATGTTTCGAACTTAAATCCGATCCATAAAATAAAAAAAATGAAACATAATTTTTTTTTTAAGTTATTAGTTATTAGAGTAAAAAAACAAATACAAAAAAAAAAATCACAGCAGATAAATATTTCAACTACTTAAAATTTAAGCACATAGGAAAAGATGATTCAGTGACGTGTTACAAATCTATTTTGAAACCTACTCCGCTAATTCTAACCTACCCCAATGTCCGGATATTTGATCTTCCATGAGCGGAAATCAAACCTGCTTTCGTCCGGACCAAGTGAACTATGAGGGCTCGATAAGGGATTCTAAATTTATTAGTATTTTTTCAATATAAAATATTAACAGATTTATATACCTATAATAGCAAATAAATAATCAAAAATCGTTTTTAATGTTTCTCTTTAATTTAAGAGCATCTTTTATTCCTTAGGTGGGCAAATTATGGTTAGGAACAATTTTCACTTTGATTTTAACGAACAGTTAATTAATAAGTACCGTTTTGTAGTTCTTCATGCCAATCAATGTTCATGATTTCTAAACTCTGTAATTATTTTAGTTTGTTATTTTCAATAATGAACCATTATAATCGACCAAAACATTAGCCCCCCGCATCCCTCAAAATTTGAGATTTTACGTTTCAGAAAACTTAGAACTCGAAAATCGAATAAAAAAAATTGTCCGTCCGCCATCTGCGATTTTTTCCCGAGACTACTCGACCAATTTTTTTCATTTTTGGAATCACAGTCAGAGGTCACCCGAGGATGATCCTCCAACATCGACATTGGTATCAGCCCTTTCCTTTCAAGATGGCGACCGAAAAACCTGTGTTAGTATAGACTGTAGCGCCTAAAGAAATTAATCGATTTCTATGAAACCTGGCTAAAGTGTTCTTCTCGATGCCCTTTTAATATGTCTACATAACACACTTTACCGAAAAGTACTTTCCATAAAGATGGCGGCCGAGAAACCTGTACCTTATAGACTCTAACACCTAAAAGAATGTACCAATTTCGAAGAAATTTGGTCAAAGTCTCCTTTCTTCGAAGCCTTTTGAATTTATCTATATAACATACTTCACCGAAAAGAAGAGTTGGAAACAAAATTACGAGGACTGTTAAAATTAGATTTTCGAATTAATCAAAAAGTATACACTTTTTTTATAATTAAATGTTTCAAAGATATTTAAATTTCTTAAACAACAAAAAGTTTCATCGAAATCTCAGCGCTATTAGTAAAGATATTGGTTTTTTAAATATTTTTGGTATATTATTATCGACAATGAACCACTTTAATCAGCCAACAAATTCAAAAACTTAATTCTCCCCTCAAGATTTGAGTTTTTCAGGATACGTAGAATGTTTTTTTTTTTTAAGTTTACAAAATTTCTTTTTTTTTAAATTGTCTAAATCGAACAATTAGTCGCAAAGATATGGTGTATTAAATATGTTCCATGTGTTCTATTGCTAAGCTCATATCCTTTATTTTGGTTTTTTGATTTTTGAAAAGTGTCTCATCAACTGAAGCAATGTTGTCTATTTTTCTTAGCATATTAATGGTGAATATCAAATATTATTTTGGCCAATATTAGGAATTAGGGGTGCCCCCCCCACCACAAGATCGATGGCGCAATAATCTATCCTCCGATCCAACATATTTTATTGCTCATATTTTCTTAAAAACAGAGCAAGCGAAGGTAGAATTAGAAAAATCGTAGATTGAATACAATTACACTAGCTGCGGCCTGTTGCATATTTTCCTTGTCTCTTAGTCTGAAACTTTTCATTCTGAAAATTCATAACCCCATCGAAATGTGTGCCCCCCCCCAAAAAAAATTCAAAAACCCTTCAAACCCGCTTCTGGACACCCCTGTTACAATGAAAGTAATGTTTCTTTTGTTGTATAATTGTTTGTAAATAATAAATCATTGTTAAATAATTTGTAGTTTTGTTTATTTTTATGGGACTTTAGTCCTAGAATAAAATTATTTTTCCATTCATTCATACTATTTGCTCGGTTCGAACTTCAATCCAATAATTAGCAAGTAAGTTAGGACCCAGTACTGATTTATTTATTGTTGGCTTCTGTATTAACTACACTACAAAACGCCATTTTTCATAATTTACACATACATTTCCCTGTTTATTATTCAGTATTATTAACCAAATAGATTTGTTCCTTGGCGAAGCGGAAGGATACGCTCTCTTACCTTCCGAGTACTAGGGGATGAATAATAAGGTGAAGCCACAGCCACATAAATCCTTCTGGCAGAGCTCGTAAAGTGGAAATTTTAATTTAAAACGTTGGCCCCAAGGCCTCCTGGATCTGCTTCTATTAGATAGCAGTCGTATTTAATTTAGCAAGAGTCGAACTCTGCTATGGGAGGTGCTTCCTCAAATGGAAACTCTTCCGGGTTGTAGGCCAATTAGGAATATAGTGAGGAAATATAGCCATCGAATAAGTCTCGCGACTGCGAACAATTTTACAATTTTTTTTTTTATAGAATATTTTTATTTTTTCCTTTCTATGCACTTACTTTATTAACAGTTGTATCATTTTTTGACGGGCTGTTAGTCAGCTGAGACTGGCCCAAAATTAAATGATCCTTACCTTCGGTAGTGAGGAGGGAATATTTATATAATATAAAAAAAAAAATTAATATAAAAAAAAATATTTTTTTCATTTTAGTAATTTTATAATTCAATTAAAAATAAATAACATAAAATAATGACCAAGACCATAATTAATTTGAAAAAAAAGAAAGAAACTACATTGTAGTTATTCTAAGGGAACTTAGTCCCACAGTAAAATTTATTTTTCTTCTATATCTTACCTATTTTTTTTTTTTTTTTTTTTAGTGTTCCGGACGTGCCAGCCAGGTGATTTTTACTGTACAATGAGTAACAACCACAGTAAACCGTTCTGCATACCAAAAGAGAAACGATGTGACGGTTACATCGACTGCAGAAACGGTCGGGATGAAGAAGGCTGCTTTTCGCCACCAACACTCTCTTGTACCTTGGATAAATTCAGGTGTGCTAAAGGACACAGGTGTATTGATGCCTCTGCTAAATGTAACCATCGGAATGACTGTGGTGATAACAGTGACGAAGAAAATTGCAGTAAGTAAATCATGTGACGTGATCATCATATGATGTTTATAATATCTTTATTATCAAGGAGCTCCCCTGGCCATTTTAAGTGTTTCATGATGTTGTTGAATCTATACTGTTGCATAAAGTTTTAAAAGCTTTTTTTAATTAAATAAATTATGAAAATAATTGTAATTATGAAAAACTATATAAACCTTCCTTTAGGAAAATAATAAAACTTTGCTTATATGTTTTAATCAAGATTGAGAGACATTGCATAGATTATTTTTAAAAATTCAATATTAATTTAACATTTACATTAGATAAAAATTAATATAAAATACAAAAATATAAAAGACAGATCATATCTTATTGCAAAAAATCATTAAGTAACATTCCATAAAATTATATTGATAAGTACTTTAATGAATTTCCTCTCTGTCAAATCAGAAATTTAGCCACATTCACTGGATTTTTGCATCAATAAAAAAAGTAAAAATTCACAAAAACATAATTAAAGTTTAATTCCATAAAAAATTTAATTAGTGAATTTTTCAAATAAGTCAACAGTATTTATTTTAATATATGATAAAGTTATATTTATTATAACTTTAAATAAAAATTTCTCCAGATTCAGGATTATTTAAGTATATCAATGATTGTTCAGCTTTAAATAATATTCACGAAGTTATTTTTTTTTAATTCTAATTAGTATTTTCATAAATTTAAATAAAATTTTAAAACTTATTTATCTCTTATATAAGAAAATATATCTAATCTTATATAAGAAAATATAAAATATTTATTTATAATTATATTTTACACATTATATATTAGTATAATTTTACAATAATAGTATAATAATATATTACACATAATATTGAAATATTTAAAAAATTAATTAACTTCTATTAACATCATACTATATTATACATTGGATGTTTATCACCCATTTAATCTACAGTATCTGGACTAATCATTATTTCCTTTCAATATGATACCCTTTAATTCTTCTTGATTTAGAGATAAAGATTTCCCACAGTGAAAAAGACTATTTTGCAAGTTAGCAGCCTTTTACTTTGAATAATTTAGTTGTAATGATAGTATAAATGCTGAAACTAGTCATCTACATAAAAAAAAAAAAAAAATTAATTTGTCTTATAAGGAGAGCTAGCTGACTTTACTTTCTTAATAGTTAGTTTAAAATGTGCTTCAAAGCCGTATTCCTAGTTTTGATTCAATTGATTTTTAAAAAATCTAAGTTCATTTAATATAAAATTGTTAATTTATATTTCAGACTTTCCTCCTTGCCATGTTGGACAATTCCGGTGCACGAATGCCATCTGTATACCATTGTCGTACCACTGTGATGGATACAGAGACTGTTTAGATGGTAGTGACGAAGCAAATTGTACAGCGATAGCATGTCCAGAAAACAAATTTCTTTGCCCGAAGGGAGCTTCCCAGGGTAGGCCCAAGTGCATTTCCAGATCTCAGCTCTGCGATGGAAAGAAAGATTGTGAAGATTCTGCAGATGAAGAAGCCGCTTGCTGTAATTTTTTTTTTTATTAGTAATAGAAAATATAATTTTACTATTAACCAGTAATTTGTCTAATATTTTAAAATTATGGACATGATATTTTAAAATTCTTCTATTAAATTTAGTGAAATCATTTTTAGAGAACAGTAGATGTTATGAAATTAAATTATTATTATTTAAACCAAAAAAATTTAATTAATTACCTAATGAAAATCATTTGATATAATATACCCATTTATTATTTCATGAGAAAGAGTTGTTAGTTATCCTGTTGTTTTTTTATATACTCCTAATAGTCTGTGGGCCAGACCCCCTTACCGTGCACCCCCCCCCCCACATCCCTATAAATTGCATATCCTTGTGTTCCTTGTAACTATTTATTTAAAAAAAGCCAATGTTCCCACAAAAAAAAGTGAACGCACTGCCCCAAAATGGCGTCCAAAGATGGCGGATTGACGACTTTGACTTTAGTTAGTTTTTTAGTCACTGCGAATCAGCATTTGGCTTAACTTCCTCATAGTTGGTCTTTTATTAAAGCTGAATATTCATAGAATAATAAACCATGAAGAAATATTAAAAAATAATTGGCTTAGACTATGAAAAACACTTTAGTAAAGTCAATTTTTTTAACAAAAAAATTTTCAAGTTAAAATCAAGCGTCATTTGTAATTAAACGGCCTACAATAACGCAAAACGTGCTGAAATAAACCATCTGGTGAATATATTTTTCTTTCCAAAACGCTGATTATTTTTTAAAAACTTTTGAACAGTTCCGTAGAAAATGCACTTATGCGGCAGAAAAGCGGTACTGGCGTGGGTGCCTACAGGCCTCTACCACACCATTCAGTACACATAAATGGCTTAGTTAAAGTGATATAATAACATTTTTGGTACATTATATTGGTTTTATTAATGAACAAATATTAATGCAATAATTTAATTGTAAAAAAAAAAAAATTAAAATTTTTTTAAAAAATTTATTATTTTTTTTTTTATTTAACCTTCTTTATTTCTACACGTAGGTCGTTTAAGAAGACCTTGATTGTAAAAATGATATAATTATAATAATAAAACTTAATTAAAAACTTTGCTAAATATCTTGATGTTTTTTTTATTTAACGTTTGCAATTTAACATTGTGTTTTGTATATTTACTGATTCTTAAAGATAATTAAAATATATATATACTTCCCAGGAAATGAGTCGTATTAATACCTGTTTTATAAACTAAAATAATATATACCTAATCTGAACTATATATAATGAATAGCTGCTGGGTTGTATAGTAAAACTCATATATCACTAATTAAAAAATTAATTTTTATTTCCTTTATTTTGTGCGGAAGTTGGACTATATCATAAATAAATAGGAAATTTTATTATTGAATGAATTATTCTCTCTGCACAAAGAAAGATAGAAACGGTGACGCTATAAGTTCTTCTATAAGCCAGAACTGATTGTTTGGATTTGGTCTTGAAATGAGGAAAAAGGCGAAATTGAACCCGAAAACTGGAAAAATACATTAAGCGAACGAGAAAGGAAGTGCCAAAACCTCGGAAAAGATAAAAAGTACCAGTATCCATTATATGGCTAAACGAATGTATAGTAGACAGATGAAGAGAATACTTCAACATGCTGCTAAAAGGGGGTCAATTGCAGTTTGGATGATATTAAGTGGACGATGTAGGTTTATTATGGTAAAAATCACTTTATTTTCGATTGCTGAAGGTGCACATCGGGACTATCTTCACTTTGAAGCAGGATATAGAGAGGTATATCGAGAAAATTATAGCTCATAGCTCTCCTTCTGCTTAGTGCATTTGCAAACGATTTTTTAAGGAATCCAAAAGGAAAACCTGCTTTTCCGAAAGACAATTAGATATTAGCACAATCCTAAGAGTAAGGCACTAAGGAGATAGAGAGATATTTTTCGTTGTATATAGACTTCTCTATAACCTGCCTTAAAGTGAAGCCAGTCTCAATTTTCAACTTCTCTTCCAATCTGCAACTTGAGTTTCTCAATCCATATCGCTCTGGCAAACGACAATATTTATTATTCCAGCTTCTACGATTCTTAATGTAATACCCATCAAGATCCATTCCTGTTTAGTGTACCAAAGAAATTATACTCAAGAATCGTAGAAGGTGGAATAAGAAATATTGTCGAGAATAAGAAGTTGAAAATTGAGACTGGCTTCACTTTAAGGCATGTTGTAGAGAAGTCTATATACAACGAAAAATATCTCTCCATCTCCTTAGTGCCTTACTCTTAGGATTGTGCTAATATCTAATTGTCTTTCAGAAAAGCAGGTTTTCCTTTTAGATTCCTTAAAAAATCGTTTGCAAATGCACTAAGCAGAAGGAGAGCTATGAGCTATAATTTTCTCGATATACCTCTCTATATCCTGCTTCAAAGCGAAGATAGTCCCGATGTGCACCTTCAGCAATCGAAAATAAAGTGATTTTTACCATAATAAACCTACATCGTCCACTTAATATCATCCAAACTGCTAAAATAAATGACCCCCTTTTAGCAGCATGTTGAAGTATTCTCTTCATCTGTCTACTATACATTCGTTTAGCCATATAATGGATACTGGTACTTTTTATCTTTTCCGAGGTTTTGGCACTTCCTTTCTCGTTCGCTTAATGTATTTTTCCAGTTTTCGGGTTCAATTTCGCCTTTTTCCTCATTTCAAGACCAAATCCAAACAATCAGTTCTGGCTTATAGAAGAACTTATAGCGTCACCGTTTCTATCTTTCTTTGTGCAGAGAGAATAATTCATTCAATAATAAAATTTCCTATTTATTTATGATATAGTCCAACTTCCGCACAAAATAAAGGAAATAAAAATTAATTTTTTAATTAGTGATATATGAGTTTTACTATACAACCCAGCAGCTATTCATTATATATAGTTCAGATTAGGTATATATTATTTTAGTTTATAAAACAGGTATTAATACGACTCATTTCCTGGGAAGTATATATAAATTTTAATTATCTTTAAGAATCAGTAAATATACAAAACACAATGTTAAATTGCAAACGTTAAATAAAAAAAAAATCAAGATATTTAGCAAAGTTTTTAATTAAGTTTTATTATTATAATTATATCATTTTTACAATCAAGGTCTTCTTAAATGACCTACGTGTAGAAATAAAGAAGGTTAAATAAAAAAAAAATAATAAATTTTTTAAAAAAATTTTAATTTTTTTTTTTTACAATTAAATTATTGCATTAATATTTGTTCATTAATAAAACCAATATAATGTACCAAAAATGTTATTATATCACTTTAACTAAGCCATTTATGTGTACTGAATGGTGTGGTAGAGGCCTGTAGGCACCCACGCCAGTACCGCTTTTCTGCCGCATAAGTGCATTTTCTACGGAACTGTTCAAAAGTTTTTAAAAAATAATCAGCGTTTTGGAAAGAAAAATATATTCACCAGATGGTTTATTTCAGCACGTTTTGCGTTATTGTAGGCCGTTTAATTACAAATGACGCTTGATTTTAACTTGAAAATTTTTTTGTTAAAAAAATTGACTTTACTAAAGTGTTTTTCATAGTCTAAGCCAATTATTTTTTAATATTTCTTCATGGTTTATTATTCTATGAATATTCAGCTTTAATAAAAGACCAACTATGAGGAAGTTAAGCCAAATGCTGATTCGCAGTGACCAAAAAACTAACTAAAGTCAAAGTCGTCAATCCGCCATCTTTGGACGCCATTCTGGGGCAGTGCGTTCACTTTTTTTTGTGGGAACATTGGCTTTTTTTAAATAAATAGTTACAAGGAACACAAGGATATGCAATTTATAGGGATGTGGGGGGGGGGAGTGCACGGTAAGGGGGTCTGGGCCACCGTGTATAAGAAATATACCCTTTCCATTAATATAGAATTTATTTATTTTCTGTTGTCGATGTTTCAGGCTCCTTGCCCCACAATTTCATCTACATAATGTTATCCACTATACAGGGCGTTTAATAGCCAAACTCTGGGGGGAAGGGGAGGAAGAATGATACTTGACAAAATTTCCTACATATAACTCCATTTGATACATGGTCCGATTCCCAAAGAAAAATGAGTTGAGATCTATTTTGTTTCTTTCTTTAGGAGGTCATGTTTTTTATTTAATAAGAAGGAATTGCTCAAAAACTGCTTCATAATAATTAAATACTAAGTGCACCATCATAAAATAGACAAAATTTTCTTTAAGAAAACAATGATTAAATTTACCAAGGTCAAGGACAAAACTGGCTTTTAGGAGGTCTAATATGGCCACTGTACTGATACGTAAGAATTGGGATTACAGAGATATGCTACTCGGGTATGGATACTGTAACTGCAGCAGCACAGCAGTCATATTAGACCCCTCAAAGTCCCTTTTATCATTTCTTAGTAAATTTTTGCTCTGTTTTCTCAAAGAAAAAATTTTCTACTTTAGGAAGACGTACTTAAATTTAATTATCTTGAACAGTTTTAGAGCAATGCCTTCTTATTCAATAAAAAACCTGACCAACTTAAGAAAAACATAAAGTTGGTCTTATCTACTTTTCTGTTTGGAATCGGACCATGCAATGAATAAAATGATTTGTTGAAAATTTTGTCTAGAATCACCCCATCGAGTTTGGTCATTAAGAACTGAGACATCCTTTATAAAGACAACATTTTTTTTCAATATCCATCTCTTTCTCATTTTAATCCATGAGCAACATTTTGCAATAACTTTAAAATCTTTATAACATACCAGTACTTACCGTTTTCCAAGCTTTTAAATTGTATGAAAAGCTTTTCATTTTTAGTTTATTCTGCAATTTATTTAATCAATAGTAATTATTAATAAACATTTCTTTTTTTTTTATTGAATTTTTTTATTCATGTTTGTTTATTTTTGTAGCTACCAGTAATTGTAATACTTTAAGCTGTGAATATAAGTGCCAAGCTTCCTTGAACGGTGGTACCTGTTATTGTCCAGAAGGGAAGAAGATCGCTAACGATTCAAGAACTTGCATAGGTAATTCATTTGTTTAAATTGCCTGATTTTTAAATTAAAATTATATTTTATTATTTCGGTTTGGTACAATTATTTTATTCTTTATTCAGAACTTTCTCTCATAATACTATCCAATCACAAAATATTCCTCCTCTTGCAGCTATACCCTTTTATACATCTTCCATCGCCACTCCCTATTCTTTCTTTCTATACTCTGGCTTGTATGAGAAAACTTTCCCTTTATTCTAATATTATACTAAAATTACATGAAAAATATATTTTTCCTGCCCTATTTTTTTCTAAAAGCACTATTGAATATATACTGGAGCCTTGAGATGCTGTAGCTTCTTACAAAATTCATCTCTAAAACCAGTATCTTTGAGGCATGTTGTTGTTATATAAATTAAAATTTTCAGACTTATTAAAAGAATTTTAGCTTTTCTATTTAGGAAATAAAAAATAATGAAATATTTTTTGCCCAATTATCAATGATTTATAAACTTCTTTAATGTTATTAACGCTTACGTTTCGTGTTCAGACAGTAATGAATGTGAAGAATGGGGTTTTTGTTCTCAAAAATGCACCAACTTGGACGGCAGCTATTCTTGTCAATGTTATTCAGGTTATGAACTCAGTGGAAATTCAAGATGTGTAGCTATAGACAATTCCACTTTACAAGTAAGAATATTAAAACTATTTTCTTGCTTATATTAATTGTTTTTTCATGTGTTTATGAAAACCTAATCATGTTTTGATATACTATGTATGTTTCATTAAATTTCCAAAATATTTACTTAATTACTCAGCTATTTCATCTTTTTTCAGATATATTTTGCACATGACAAATCAGTTTTGAAAATAGACGGACCTGATTTAAGTAATGTTCAGCTAGTAGCAAACACTACTGCTGCCAGTGGTCTAGATTTCAATTATGAAAAAAATATTTTATATTGGACTGATACAAAAACGAAAAAGGTAATATAATTTATCATAATTTTCAATTTATTTGATAAATTTTAACATTTTATTAAAGTAATCAACATTTTTAGATCTACTATCAAACGCTCGTTGAAAGATCGTCTGCTATGATGGTCGGTGGAGCTCAAGAAATTTCATTGCCTGGAACATGGTCTCCAGTCTCAGTTGCTGTTGATTGGGCTGGTGAGAAAATTTATGTTGTGGACGCTATAGGACAGAAAATAGATTTGTTCGAATGGAACGGTAGATATCATGTCATCGTTCTCTCTTCTAATCTCACTTCACCAACTGATATTGCCCTCGACTCCAAAGTTGGGTAATATTTTTAATTTACTTATTCAATAGCTTATTTATTCCTTTTAGTAATTTGAATAAGTAGAAATAAAATAATTGTATTGGTTTCAGATACATGTTTATTGCTGACAGCAACCAAGTAGTTCGTGCTAATATGGATGGTTCAAGAGCTAAAGCTATCGTTTACGAAGCAGCGTATAAGGCATCTGGAGTAACAGTTGATATCCTGGCAAGAAGAGTATTTTGGTGCGATTCTCTCCTTGATTACATTGAAACTGTCGACTATGATGGAAATCATAGATTTTTAGTTTTACGAGGTGATTTTCTTCTTTAAATTGAATTATGTTTTTATCATGCCTACTAGTTAACTTCAGGATTTAAAATTTATAATTAAGTTTTACAATGAATCATGAAAATTATGGTAACAAATTTAATTTCTGCAGTTGTGATAAAGTATCTCAAGCTATCCAAAACCTTCTTTTGAGTACTTCCCGCTCAAAACTAAATATACTAAGTAGCTCTACATTTTTTTTTCCTTTTTTATCATTTTATAAAACTAAATTTCAAATTTTCACGATTGTAATCTATTATTCACTTCAAATAAAATTTATTTTCATATGGAAATTAAGTTTTCTTTTTAATTTATTATTTAATAAGTGTAAAATTTTTTATTTTTATTTGATATTTATCAAGCATTTGTTTTACTTTTAAATTTTATTCTGGGCCCTTTATTTTAATTGGATAGCAATAATGAATTGTTATATAAATTTGAAAGGTTAGATTCTTGCATGCTGGTAATGTATTGAGAGTAAAATATTATTCAAGTAAAACAAAATGCAAAAAAATATTGTACTTAAATGATCATTATTGTTGATTGAAAAGATTTTTCTCAGAAATAGTAATCAAGATATGATTTTTCCAAAATAAAAATCGTTAAATGATTTTTAAAATTACCTGATAATTTTGACCTGATTTAATTTTTATTTATTTATTTTTAATTATTAATTTCAAACCCTGGTTTATCTGATTATCTGATAAATATGTTGAATAGCATAGTAAAATGAATAGGGATTAACAATAAATCTCAATAACAATAAAGTTTTTATCATTATTTTTTTATAATAGGAACTTCAGTACCTGCACCATCTAGATTAGCAGTCTTTGAAAATCGTGTATATTGGACTGATAGCACAAAACAGGGAGTAATGTCTGTCGATAAATATGATGGACAAAATACCATTCGTATGGTGTACAAAAATCGTGAAGTGAGAGAACCAAAAGCTGTAAAAATTATTCACCCTTTAATTCAGAGTCAAGGTATTTTTTTTCTATTTTAGTTAATGCATGTTTCTATATATACAAAAAAGTTCTATTTGCAGCAAAGGATAATTTTCATTTAAATTTTAAAAATTTATGATAAAAGAATATGTATTTTTCAGTTCATAATCCCTGTGGAAACAATAACGGCAAATGTCAACATCTGTGTATCGTAACTGCTGGAAGTCAAGGTCTCGGAAGTCTCGGCTACAGATGTGCCTGTAACGTCGGGTGGAGATTAAGAACTAATTTACAAGACTGCGAGTGTAAGAAGTGATTATGTTTATTATCTGTTTTATTATTTAAATTTAAAATGTTAAGTAATTAAAAATTATACTTATCTATCTGTCTCATTACTAATTAAATGAAATCATTTTTTCAGTGGTCGATGAATTTCTTCTGTATTCACAGCAAAGATTCATTAAAGGACGAGTATTGGATCCTGTTTTAGAAAACTTTAGTGACGCTATCCTTCCTTATGCTTCACGTCGAGCTCGCTTCGTCGGTCTCGACTTTGATGCTAGAGATGATCATATATATTACTCCGATGTTTTGCAAGATGTTATTTACAGAATACACAGGAATGGAACCGGTATGTATATTGCACATGAGTTCTATCATTTAATTATATAATTATTAATAAAGAAGTTTTATATATATGAAACTTTATCCTGTCATCATAAAGTATAACTCCAACTCTAATACAATATAATAATAATATATCACAAATATTTTTTCTGTATTTTGAGCTCAAATCATTAATAACACCCTTGAGATTTCTCAGAATAATTTGAGCCATTAAACATAAAAATTAATCAAGCATATTTTTTTTACTATTGATGTAAGATTTACATTATTTGGTTCAGTCCGTGTGATCTTGACTATTTAAAGTGAATCAAGGCTTCATGTTAGGAAGTTTGTAATTATATCCTAACAATTAATTTATTTCTCTTTTTGAATTTTTTTTTTCCTTTTTTATATTAAAATTTTTTTATTTACAGGAAAAGAAATTGTTCTTGCTTCACAGAATGAAGGAGTAGAAGGTTTAGCTGTCGATTGGGCAGCAAAAAATCTTTATTACATCGACAGCCGTAAAGGAACTTTAAATGTCTTAAGTACACGAAACACAACATATAGAAGAACTCTCCTTACTAATCTTAAACGCCCAAGAGCTATCGTTGTTCACCCAAATAAAGGGTTTGTCAATATTTCGATAATATTATAGAATATTGCATTAAATAATTTAAGATTTCTATTATAAAATTTCATTTAATTTTCAAAGGTATATATTCTTCTCGGAATGGGATCGTCCAGCTAACATCAGCCGAGCATTTACTGATGGTTCCAACTTGATTGTGTTCAGAAACGTGACTTTAGGATGGCCGAACGGTTTGTCCGTCGACTTCTCTAGAAACAGATTGTACTGGTGTGACGCTCTCCTTGACCATGTACAGCATTCGAACTTGGATGGGACAGATGTCATCACAGTTAGTTCTGGACTTATAAGGCATCCATTTTCAATCGTTATTCACAATGGTAAGTAAACTTTAAAAGACAGAGACAAGTGTTTTCATTGATTATTTGTTGTTAGATCTTAGTTATTTCAAATTTGTTAGGCTGTTTAGATTTTTTTTTTACATTTACCACTACAATTCATGTTTATTAGCTTTGTACTTTTCAAGGAAATACCGGTTCTTGGTAAAATGAGATCATTTCGAACTGTCTTGTTTTTCCCTTGAATTAATTAATTAAGAGTACCTATTTTACCGAGATTGGGTGAGCCCCAAGACGGTCCACCAACCCATTTTTATACAACAAAATAAAGATCTATTATTCTATAACAGTCTATCAATTCCAGATTGCAAATTGTTTAAATAATTTGTTTTCTGACTAAATAGTATTAGTCATTGAAATAGATTGTTTTTTATCTTATTTATTAATTAAAATTATCTGATTAAATACCTATATTTCTTGTGGTGTACAAATAACATTTGTAAAACTTTGTTTACTTATACTTAAAGCTTTATTATTTTACTTAAATAAGATTATTTAATTTAAATGACTGAATATCTTAATGAATTTTTATGCTTCAGAATGGATGTATATTACTGATTGGCGATTGGATGCAATTATTCGTATGGATAAATTAACTGGTGGAAGGGAACAAACAATTGTTAGAGAAGGCCAGACGAACCGTTTATACGGTGTCAAAATCTACAGTGAAAAAGAGCAAGCAATGCTTCCTTTTCATCCTTGCTCAGTCAATAATGGTGATTGCCATAAGATGTGTTTTGCGATACCGCCTCCTCACAAAATTTCTAATCCAAAAGATGATATAGGTTTGAAGGTAAATTATAATTTCTTTTTTATCATCACATGTTCATTAATAGTAATTTTAAACATTAATATATGTTTACATACGTACCAATAGCTTATCTGTTAGGTTCTATGATTATTACTATCCCACATAATATTGGTTTGAGTATGCAATTGGTTATAAATAACCCACCTTTAAGTGAACTTATAATAAGTTAAAATGGTTATCTTGTTGGCTGATGGTTCGCTCAAATGGTGATGACAATACAAATGTCTTGATGTAGAGCTTTTACACCTTATGGCATAATAAACCTAAAACTTTGGCTGAAATTTCAACTAAAGTAAAAATCAGTTCACAAATTGATAAATTTTCATAACTAACCACACCCTCAACCCCTTTTAAGTCTACTAATTGATTTTATGAAGAGCAATAACTCTACTACTAATATTTTATATCTTTGGAAATGGATAAACCAGACTTTCAGTCTGACAATAATATCCTCAAATAAAATAAAATTCCTTTTCATTCAAAATATCTTTAAAAATCTCTTATAAAAAAAATAAATAAACCAATAAAAATATTTAAAAATCACGATATCTTTACTAATAATGTTCTGATTTTGATGAAACATTTTTTGTTTTTTAGAAAATTTAAATACCTTTCAAACACATAATTATAAAAATTATGAAAGTTTAAACTTCTTGAGTTATTCGGAAATCTAACTTTTACCACCTCTCGTAACTTTTTCCTAGCTTCTTTTCGTTGAAGTATGTTATAGGTCATTGAGGAGATGACTTTAATCAAGTTTCATTGAAATTCGTACATTCTTTAAGGCGCTACAGTCTATACCAACACAGATTTCTTAGCCACCATCTTGGAAGGAAATGATAGTAATGTCGAGGTAGGAGGGAGGATCATCCTTGGGTGATCTCTGACTTTGATTCCAAATTTGAAAAAATCGGTCCAGTAGTCTTGGAGAAAAGCTGTGAACAGCGGACAGACAAAAAAATTTGTATTCAATTTTTGAATTCTACGTATCGCGCAACATAAAACCTCAAATTTTGAGAGAAGGGATCATTGTTTTTGATTTATTGTTTGGGTGATTAACATGGTTCATTATTTAAAATAATAAACTAATAGTCTGTATCACTACAACCAATAACCTCAATAACATATAATTCTAGAGTCTTATTTCATTATGTTTTTCTTTAACAAACAAGCTGATCAATTAATGTACTATTAAAACACACAGTTTATAGTTTTAACTATAATTTGATCAATATTTTAAAGGTTAATCAGTTTTTAAGGTGTATCTAAGAAATATTTTTAATTTTTAGGTTCAATGTGGTTGTCCATACGGAGAGAAGCTGGCCGAAGATGAAAAGACGTGCATTACAGATCCGAATGCTGAACCACCAGTCACAGCATGTCCGAATAAGTGGGATTTCACCTGCAATAATCAGCGTTGTGTACCGAAGGCATGGGTATGTGATGGAGATGATGACTGTCTTGATAATTCAGATGAAGAACAGAACTGCACAAGTAAGATTATCTGATATTTTTAAAGATTATCAATTTGATTACTTCAGATTAATCCCAGAGTACAAACCATCGTAATTACACGAAAATTACAAATAGTATGTATAGAAATTATATAAAAATATTAAATGGGTCTACTAACAAACTAAAAATATTAAATGAAGAAACTAATTAGTTTCTTGTATTCATTAATATCTTCAAATTTTAGATATTGTAAAATTCTTTGTTCTTGATTTTTTTATTATTTTCGATTACCGCATACCCTCACCATCCTCCACAATGTCAGCTAACTTCTCCAATGTTTATTCTAATGAATTGGTCGTTTCACACCATACTCCATCCTGACCACATGTACTCGTAGGTCTCTTCATCACTTTCTTCACACCTCTTTTATGACCATTATTTTTTTTCTTTATCCTTCCATCCATTTGGTGATTCATCTCTTTGTACTTTTTAATTCATCCTTTTCCTTTTCATCTTTACTTAATATTTGTCAGATTTTTCTCACTATTACGTATATTATCCTCCATCCTTAATGCATTAAAAAAATTTCCTACCTATAATTATTGTTGCCAATTTGTATTTACTTTATTTTAGATTCTAGTGCTTAGTTATTCTTCATTTATGCTGTTTAGTATATTTCAATTATAATTACTCTATAAAAATTACTCTGTTTACTTAGTTATACTTCATTTAATCTATTTACTTTGCTATTAGACCCATTTAATATTTTTATATACTTTTTAATTATAGTATTTGTGGTCTCCCCTTGACACTTAAGGAGAAAGCCCTGATGAAGGCCTGAACTTCAGGTCAAAACGTCGGCATATGTAAAAAATAAATATTATAATTTATTTTTTGCCTTCCTTTTTGACTGTGCACGCCAACTATTCTTCTCTTCATTATCCACGACAGTCAACCAATTACCAATTATAGTATTTGTAATTTTCATGTAACTCTCTGTATCCTTTTGTATCTAGTTTGTTCTAACCATGAAGAAGACCTGCATAGCTGGATCGAAACGTCGCCTTGAAATATAATAGTTTTTTTGCTACTTCAAGTCTTAATATTACCTCCATCTCAGACTATCTCGATTCTCAATTATTTACAATGGTCAACCATCGGGTATTCAATATAATTTTTATGATTTTTTTGCCATCTAAATGTTTCTTGTAATTTTTTTCAGAACCAACTTGTGCTCCATCAGACTTCCAGTGCGCTTCAGGAAGATGTATATCTCACACATTTAGATGTGACTCAGAAAACGACTGTGGTGATTATTCTGATGAAACAGGCTGCGTTAATGTCACATGTACATCATCACAATTTTTATGCGATAATGGAAGATGTATTCCTGCCACTTGGAAATGCGATTCTGAAAATGATTGTGGTGATAGTACTGATGAAGGAGAATTCTGTGCAGAGAAAACATGTGCTTATTTTCAGGTAATAAAAATTTTCAATTTTTACTTCGTTCAATATTTCTCTTTATCCAAAACTAAAAAAAAAAAGTTATCACAAAAGTAGCTATTATACTTGAGCTTCAATTATTGAATAGTAAGCGCATCCCCCAGAAAATAAAATTATGTATAAAATGAAACTTAATTTGTACATAACTCAAAAATTATACAATTTATGGTCGATTATATACATATTAATTAGAAAGGTTTCCAAATTTCCTACTGAATGTAAAAAAAAAAATCATCAAAATTGGACCATCTTTATCAAAGATAGAGCCAACTCTAATTTCCTCATATATTTATTATTTTGAATGAACCGTTATAATCAAACAAAAAAATAAAATTTATTCCTGCCTCTTATAATAAATTTAACACTAATTTCTGATATGACATTGCCATTTGTCTCTAAACAATGAATATATCATGTGAATTATTCACAAAGGTCAATTTTTTCATTACTAAAACATTATGATAAAAACGTTTAGGAAGAAAAAATTTAATATTTAATTATTTAAGTGTCGGCATCGACAGAATAATTATTAATTTTGTACAATTAATTTTACTATATTTTCAGTTCACATGCCAAAGATCAGGGCATTGTATTCCTCAATCTTGGGTTTGCGATGGCGATAATGACTGTTTCGACAACCAAGACGAACACGGTTGTCCTCCTATTACCTGCTCTGCGACGCAATTCAAATGTGCTGATTTACGCCAGTGTATTCAGGAAACTTATAAATGTGATGGAATCCTTGATTGTAATGATGGCAGTGATGAGTTAGGCTGTCGTAAGTTTATTATTTATGTCATCTGTATGATTATTTTAATATGTTTCAATTACATTTTCATAACATTTAACTTTATAGCTACTTTGGCACCGAATCAGTGTGATACCGAGAAACAATTCAAATGCGAAAAATCAGGAATATGTATCCCAAAAGCTTGGCATTGTGACGGCACTCCTGACTGTGATGATGAATCTGATGAGCCTTCAACTTGTGGTCAGGTAAAAAAAAAAAAAATCGCTCTTGAATATAGTCAACTTTGATTAATTACACATTAGCTCCGACCATTTTGTCCCAATTCAATAGATTTTCTAAAGAAAGATTTTATAATCAGCTTTGATATTTGTATACTGATAAACTATTGAGAAGAAGCCTTAACTTCAAACCATTTTTCTTATATTTCCTGTTTCTTCAAAATCTCTTAATTCGTAGAAAAATTAGCTGTCTTGTAGAAAAAATCCATAATTGCGTTCTTTATTTTTTGATGATTTCTTGACTCTCAGAATCTTAATGATTTACAAAAAGATCTAGATTCTTCTGTAACTTTGAATTATGTTTCGTTAAAAAATGAGTGAACAAATTTGATATTATAGAGGTACAACTAAATCTATTCTACAATTGAGTGAGAATGTTGAGATTCATTCTGTGGGTCTGCCTTGAAATAAATTTCAACATGCACAGATTGGATTTAAACCAGCGTCGCTAGCTAAACTGGTAAATGTTGAAACTGGCAACACTCAATCACGACCTCTGAAGCTGATGTTACAGGATAAAACTTACTCAAACCTGAGATCCAGAGCAATAGAGTACAGTGCCTTACTCATTCCCTAATAAATAATAAATTAAATATAGTAATTTATTAATGATGTAAAGATGGTTGACCGTTGATCTAATATGAGAAGGAGTTAATCGGGGGGGTGCGGTAAAATAAATACTAAATTAAAATATAGTAATTATTTAATTTGTGCCGACATTGCACTAATGTTACCCTATTAATCTTTCAATTTCTTTTCTTCTTAACCTTTAGTCCTGTTATCTGTTTACTTACAATCAAATGTAACCTCCACTAGCTTGTTATCCACTGATATCTAATTATTATGTTATCTTATTCTTATTTTAACTTTACTATAACAATACTTATTCAATTTTCAATCTATTTATTCATTAAAATTCATTTTCTTTATCTGTTAACCCATAGTTATCAAATGTAATCTCTATTAGTTTGTCATACACTTATTCCTTATTTTTTATCACAATCTGTTTACTTTTAACTTACATACTATATTCTCCTTTATTTTTTTTTTTATTCATACTTATTTTCCATTTGTTTTTATCTTCTACATATATAATACTTGATATTTTAACTATATTGTCACCCACTATATCTCTGATATCATCTTTTTATTTCTGTATCTGACAACTTCTTCTTATTTTATATCTACTTATATTCATTTTTTTTATTTTCACTATGTTTTGTATCTTTTGTAGCCCTGAAGACGACCTGCAAAGTGGGTCGAAACGTCGGCAAAAATTAAATAATTACTATATTTTAATTTAGTATTTATTTGACCGCACCCCCCGATTAACTCCTTCTCATAGTAATTTATTATAATAAATTGAAAAGATGAGAGAAATAGGTTATATCCATTTCCTATTTAGATTTCATTGAAATGTTTGTTGCTAACAATACTAGGAAAAACAGGTTATACATTTTTTTTTTTTTTTTATTGAAGTTAATATTGAACGACTCAGTTAAGGGTCTGTAGCCATCTCTCCTAGTGCTAAGGAATGAGTTGTAGGTAGAATAGTTTTGCACCAAAAAGTGAACAAAAATTTAATTTTTTCTTATAATAATGAAAATATATAGTTTTTACCTATTAATTGCCGTAGGATGGAGTGGAGTTGACTATATTTTTAATTATTTTTCTCTAAATGAACAATAACAATCTGCTAATTATGCTTATATATGTAGGTTGCCTGCCAGACTGGTTACTACAAATGTAATAATTCTCAATGCATTTTTAAAGCGTATATATGCGATGGAAGAGATGATTGTGGTGACGGTTCCGATGAGGATTCAAGGCATGCTTGTGGACCTCCTCCTTTTAGGTAGGAAACAATTTTTGAAAAAAAATAAATTATTTATTTATATTATCTCTCTTGATCTTGTTTGTTTTATTTTTTGATAATATCAATAATTGAAAATTTTTTAGGTGTCCACATGGTCAATGGCAATGTCCAGGAATTTCAGAAAGATGTGTGAATAACTCTCTTGTGTGTAACGGTGAACCAGATTGTCCCAACGGTGCTGATGAAGGCCCCAATTGTTTTGTTAACGAGTGCGAATTCCATACGTGCAGTAATGGATGTATGGATACACCTGCAGTAAGTTATATTTTTAGTTTTTCTTCTATTTTATCGTAATTTATATTTATTTTTTTTATAATATTAAAAATAGTTACAATTCTTTGATAGCCACTAAATCTATCTATATAAGGTAAAGATCCCTCTTCCGTCTCTCAGGAGCAATGAATTGACAAAAGTGGTGTCCAAAGAAAGAGGAATTTCATGAAGGGACAAATCCAAATTAAGCTCATTAAATTTTTGTTACAACTTTAATAAAATTTATTAAAAACCTACTTATTTTCAAAACACCAATGATAGTAAGTCAATGGATCTCGATATTCACACTGGCATAAATATCGAGTTCAAAGTCGAAATGCACCAGACTCTGAGTTTTAAGAGTCCTGAAATTTTAAAATTAAATTTGCTTTTGAGACAAGTGCTAACCAACTCAAGCCCGCTCTAATTTTAGCACTGCTATGGGACACTTATCACACATGGTTTGGGTTATTAGTCCGTCGAGTGAGCCTTCTGGTCCTTTTTTCCAACCCCTGATGGCTCAATGGACATTATGGACAATACAGGGTTAAAATAAGCTTTTATAAGTTAACCTTCAATAAGAAAATTTTCCTTTAATACTTCTCAATGACCTATTTAATGGCCTTACAGCCTAATGTGGACTTGCGTTCTGTGTATTGGGCATCCCTGATGATGGCGTCTTCCCCCATCAGTCTTGGTCTTTCTCTTCCTTTCAACCAGTCCAGTTTCTCAAGCAATCATTTCTTGTGGATTTATTCCTCATTCATCCTCGCTATTCGGTCTGCCTATCTCAGTTGACTACATTTCATACAATCGTTGACGTTTTGCTTCTCTGAAAAATTCATATATAAAGTCTAAAATAAGGGCAATGAACTATAATTAACCTGCTAAGCTTTTACTAGTAAAAATAATGCATACAGTTGTAAAAACAATAAGATACATCCTTGATATTTTAAAAATAAATGACATGTTTCTTTCATACATTTTATTCTTTAAAAAAAAATTGGTGAGATAAGGAAAAAATTAGTTAAAATCTGTAAGGTTAAATAATTTTTTCTGTACTTCTTTGAATATAATAAGATTTAAATTAATCTTGGCCTGCTAAATTAAAACTGTTTATCTCCTTATTAAAGATGTTGAAATAAAATGTAATAGTGTTACACTATCATGTATGAATGATATTCTGTTCTTAAATAGTATGACAAATTATTTAATGCATCAAATTATTATAGATACCTAATGCAAAAGTTTTTGTGTGTGTAAACTAATTTCATACATTATATAATTATTTAGACTTACAAACTAATCATAATAAATGAGTTTTCTGTAATAATTATACATAATATTATTTACAGGGGATGCAGTGCACGTGTCCACCTGGGGAAGTCTTGTCAAATGATTCTTTAACATGTACAGATCTTGACGAATGTATGCCTCCAGGAATTTGCTCTCAGACTTGCACGAACACAAAGGGAAGCTATGCTTGCTCTTGTGTCGAGGGTTACCGACTCGAAATTGATAATCACACTTGCAAAGCAATCAGTAAGTATAATCAATTGAAATTACGTTAATAAAATTAATAAATTAATAAAAATATCTTTTTAAATTAAAATATACTTGCTTTTTTTTATATAGATCATACTGCCGCATTCCTTATAATATCGAACCGCCACTCTATATTGGTTGCTGATTTGAAAGATCAAGGTTTAGAAAGAGTTCCTATCATTGTCGAAAACGTTGTGGCTACTGCCAGTAACATGCATAACGGTACAATATTTTGGTCAGATATGAAGTTGAAAAAAATTTCTCGTTTAGACAAAGGAAGCGAACCCCAAGATGTAAGTATTGGTTCTTAATTATCTTTAATAAAACATTTGAACAATGTTTTGTAATAATTTTTAATTTATATTTCAGGTGATATTCTCTGGTTTAGATCTAGTAGAAGGTCTGGCTTACGATTGGATTGGTGGTAATGTATATTGGTTGGATTCAAGACTTAACACAATAGAAGTAGCAACTGAATATGGAGCAAACAGAGTCGTTCTCTTGAAAGAAAACATTACTCAACCAAGAGGAATGATGTTAGACCCAAGCCCTGGGTAAGGAGATTTAATATAAATTCAATAGTTATCGAAGTAGTAAAAGGAAAATTATTTTTCTTACATGTATATATTTAATAATAAAGTAAATTAAAAACTTTTATCATGTCATACATTTTTTGTTATATATATATATTTTTGAAATTTATGTTTATGTTAAAATTATGTTTATGTTAAACTGCCAATATCTTTATAGTGCAAGATGGTTGTTCTGGACTGATTGGGGAGAAAATCCAAGGATAGAACGTGTTGGAATGGATGGATATAATCGTAGCACAATCATAAGTACAAAAATTTATTGGCCGAACGGATTGACCTTGGATATCACCACAAAACGAGTTTACTTCGCAGATTCGAAGTTAGATTTCATCGATTTCTGTAATTACGATGGTTCTGGAAGGCAACAGGTTGTTGCTGGAAGTCATTATCTCTTACATCCTCATTCCATCACGCTTTTCGAAGATACCATCTATTGGACTGATCGCCAACTCAATAGGGTATGTAATAGCTATAGTTATCATATGTAGATTTTTTATAAAAAAATTTGTACAAAATTTTACTCTTTCTACACTTGTTTGTAGAGCAGCCCTGAAGAAGGCCTGAACTTTGGGCCAAAACGCGGGCGAACATGAAAATAAATCCAATTATTTATTTTTACTATTTTATTTTGACTGATCATCCCAACCATCCTTCTCTTATACTATTTATATAGTTAATATAATTTTAAAAAACTTGATATTGCAAACCTCTCTGCTGTGATATATTATATGAGTTATAGTTGGTATCATATTTCCTTTTCAAATATATCATGTTACCAATTTACTTATTTAATCTAAATGGTGCAGCAAAATGGCCAAGAATCTTATTCTAAATAAATAAAAGTCCTGTTAAATTTTTAATTTAAACATTATAAACACATTTTAAAATATTTAATTCAGGATGCTGATGAAAGCAAGTTTACACTACTGTTTTATGGATTGTCAACACAGATATTACGTGAGCACATTCTGAATGAATATAAGGCCTAGGTGGTTGTAGGGATATGATGGAATCTTCAGATACTTTTTTCTGGTCGCTGGTGCCACTATTATCATCTCAACATACCTTCCTGACTGCCTCCTCTGTTTTTAGTTAATTATCCAATTAATAGGAGAAATATCTTATTTCGTATTTTATATTTAACTATTTTTTATATCAGAATTAATTGTGAAATGGTTAATTATTTCAATTAAAAAAATTTAAAGGTACTTTAGAAAAATAAATATTGAAAATTAGCCATTTAAGCTCTGTTACAGAACATCAATGAGAATATAATTTACATTATATTAAAAATTACTTAATTTTACACTGATATAATGAATTTAATCAAAATCGTTGGAGCCGTTATAAGAAAATCGTAAAAATGTGTAAAATCAATTATATAAAGTGCCACTTCCGGTTAGCTGATTTTGACAAAAAAGTTGCTGTGGCATCCCAGATATATACAAACTTTAAATATGCAATTTCACTTTCATATGGCTTTTTGTTTTTGAGGTACACTGTTCACACACAGTCCATTTTGCAGGACTTAGTTATTTGAATTCAGAATATCTCAAAACATGTATTTTTGTTGAAAACTCAGATTCCAAAATTTTTCCAATCGAAATACTTCCGTTGCTATATATTTCATATATAGGTAAGTGAAGGGGTGGGGTGGCCGATTGAGCTAATGCATGTGCACAGCACCATGAGTTGCCTGGCAACCAAATAACCGAAGTTTTGAGAGATTAAAAAAGTACAAGTTCGCGTTCTGGTGCTGGGGTGGATTTTAAATTCTCCACCCTCACTTTCCCGCCCGAAAAACCCTGTATAGCCCAAAAGGCAAGGTAGGGAGAACAAAAAAAAAAAGGTAAGTGAAACTAAAAAATAAATAAATACATCTAAATTTCCTCACCACTCCTTTTTCAGTCTTTCCTATCGGCCGCACTTTGTTCTATGGCGGGACTGCCCCTTCTATCCCTTCTGTGAAATTTTGATAATTGCACCATCTCTTTTTGATTTTCTGAAATAGACTTTAATAAGTTTATCTTTTCCATTGTATAAGCAGATTGTCGACAAAATGTTATGTTGTGGGCCTACCATCTGCAAGGGACTGACCTCTGTCTCATGTTTATCAATAATATACTGTGTTGGCGATATTAATTTTTTTCTGTACTAGACTCACTCAATTTATTTTTAATTCTTGAAATATATTTCACTCTATCTGTCAATGTAATACCATACTCAGTACATATTTATTTAACACATATTTCTTTTTGATCTTAGGTTTTATCAGCTCACAAGTACCGAGGAAAAAACCAAACTGTAGTTTCCCATTTAATATCTCAACCCCTCAGCATTCATGTTCATCATAGCTCACTTCAGCCTCAATATCCGAACCCCTGCGAAGCGGCACCTTGTTCGCAGCTTTGTCTTCTTTCACCTTCAAAACCTAAAGGATACCGCTGCTTATGTAAACCAGGAAACAAGTTGGTAGATGAAGAAAAATGTGTTGAAGGTAATTTATAAATTTTTCATTTATATTAATTTATTTTAAATATTAGACACTGTTATTGATGAAAATAAAAAGATAATTTTAATTAGAATAAAGGTGAAACTTTATTGTTAATTTCAATAGTACTATACTACAGTTAGTTCTCGCTAAGCCAAACTAATTAAATTTACCCAATGGGAAAAAAAAGATAAACAATTCATAAATAACAAATCAATTTAAACACAAAAATTATGACTGTATTTACATAAAAGTATTTTTACAATAATCAATGATTGTTCAAATTTATTTTGTAACTATTTTCTTTGGAAATAATCTAAAATATTTGGTTGTTTGGTACTTAAAATCTATTTTAAGCCCTCTAACCGTATCTTCTAATAATACTGTTGTATATGTAACAATACAATTTTGCAGTGAAGATTAATTTAATGAAAATGTTAATTATATCCGCCGATAAAGAAATTGAGAAAATATATACACTTTTAAAATTTAATATGCTCATACTTTTTATTATATTTTAAATAAAAAGAGTTGGTATTTTTAACTACATTATATAAGTTTCAGCACATAAGGTGTTAATAATATGGTTTTATTGAATTTGAGTATACATGTACATATACTACATACATAAATAAAATTTTCAATTTTTTTTAATGGTTTAGATTATGAAATGGTCCGGATTAGCGAAAATCCACTGTATGTGCATTGGGAGGGGAAAAAGTAGCAATACTATTGTACAAATGTCACTGGACTACAAGTGACACTATTAGACTCCACTCTCTTGGGTCATACAAGATCTTATGATAATTCCATAAATGGAGTTCCAAGATTGGTCGTGTTTGTCCAAAAGTAGATGGAAGTGAGCAAACCATCTGGTAAAGATCCATTGAGGGTTTTTTTTGCCACTTTTGAGTGGAAGTTGAAAGCATAGATATTACTAAAGCTAATTGGCACCTCAATTTTAACTGAAAAGAACTAATAGAAAGCTTACAGTAGTCACAAATCATGATTTAAATAAAGGGAGGTTATGCTGTGAACAAGCGACCATGAGTTCTTGGACCACTCAGGTAAGTGAAATGAAATTTGTTGAGTGGTACCACATTATTGGCAACATGATTTTGTCAGGCCTGTTTATGATTTCCCAACATTCTAGTGGAAATCATACATATATACATTTATGAGATAATTAATTCAAATTCTGCTTATTTTTATTTTTTTCATGTTTTTTCTTATATTATTATTTTCATCTTCTGACTGTTATTTTGTTTTGTGTGTGTAGAAGAAACAGCTCTTCTTCTCGTTATGAAGGGAGCTCAGATCGTTGACGTATCTGTAACTCCAGGCGATAGAACAAGCGGATTCTTGGTTCCTATAGTCGGTATCAATGTTGGATTACAAGTGGAATATGACAGGAAATCTGAAATAGTATTCTGGGTAGAAGCCAAAGAAGAGGAAAGTGAAAATGTAAGTTGACTGATGATTATTTTATCAATTAAATAATATATATATTTTATTACTTAATGTTTACTGTTGATGTTTCATAATCTTTGCAGTGCACAATCTTTTCAACACCAGTACGTGGAGGAAACAGAACCGAGTTTTTGACTGCTGACAGTGGTTTGGTTGGTTCTCCTTATACCATAGCTTTCGACTGGCTGGGTAGAAATCTCTACATGGGAAATAGGCTTGCTTCAAATTTTGAAGTTGTGAAAGTTGATGGGAAAGTCAAGCACAGAGCTATAATTCTAGCCAATAACGGAAATGAAACATCTGTTGCCAAACCTCGTTCTATGTGTCTCGATCCTAGTCAAGGGTAAGTGTATACATTATTTAATATCATAATTTCTTTTTTTTTTTAAACTCTACCACTACAATTCATGAAGGGTCTTGGGAAGTACTTGCAGGGAAGGTATTTTTTTGGTAGTGGTGTAGCTCAGCGGTAGGGTGCTTAGCTTCCAATGCTCAAAGCCCCAGGTTGGAATCCTGTCTTATGGTAGATAAATTATTTATTCTATTTCATTGGCTGTGGATTGTCCCTGGGATTGAGAGATCCTCCTGGAGCACACCCCTCCGTAATTAAATAATTAACTAAGAGAGGAAACCTGGCGGTTGAGCATGATCTTGGTCAAATCACCTCCTTGCACGACCGTTGGCCCAAGAAACAATATTTTCTCTAAATAGTACTGAACCCAAGATCCTTCATGGGTTATAGTGGTACAGGTTTTTTTTTTTTTAATTTATAATCTAATAAATATATCTTTTATCGATTTTATTATTTTATTTTTATTTTTCTTTGATTGGGAGGTTTCTTGTTTTACCAGTTTAGTGGGAAAATATAACTTCTCACATAAAACTATAATAAAAATTATAGATTATAATTTTTTTTTTGTTACATTCTGATTTAACGTTTTAGGAAACATTCTTCCCATTATCAGCATTATATATTATTTTCAGTTGCTGGTCTGTCTCTGTCTTGCTGCCTCTTTTTTTCGGTATATAAAAGTTGTAAGTGATTTAATTTTGGGGGCTTTTATTTTTTTAACAGTTATCACTTTTGAGGAAAAAGAAAAAACTACCTATTTGAAATGATGTTTAAGTGACCCTTAAAGGGCCTGAAGTAAACAAAAAAAAAAGTAATTACAGCCTTTAGAGATAATTTTTTTTCTTGAAACGTGCCTACATTTAGTAGATGTATATACATTTTAATTTAAACAACATATTGTGATTATTTTAAATATTTAGCTTTAGTATTTAAATTTTGCTTTATTTAACTTAGATTAAAAAAAAAAATTATTGATCATAGGAGAGCTTCAGCCCGAAAGCCCTATCCGTAGATCCACCTAGTGCTTCTTATTATGTTGCTCCATCAGTTGGTTGAAGGTACTAAGAAGTAACTAATTATTAGAGGGCGGCGTGGCCAAACTGGCTAACGTCTGTGCACAGCACTGCCGTTTCCTGGCAATCTGGTATATAAGATAACTGGATAAAAAAACAACCACAAGTTCGTGTCCTGGTGCCAGGAGTCTTTTAACTCTGCCATTAATCCCTGCCCTCACCCCTCAACCCTGAGAAAACGTATAGCCTTAAGTGTGAGAAAGGGGAGGACCCCAAAAAAAAACGGAAAAACAAAAAATAACCAATTATTAATCAATAATAAAATTAAAGAACAGCTCCTGAACATGTATAATTATAAAAAGAAATGGATTAACAACTGAAAATAATACATGTTTCTGATGGTAGGAAGAATATCTCCTGAAACATCAAGCACACAATGTAACAAAAAAATAAACTATAATCATAAGGAAGTTATATTTTTTAACTATGCCACGTTTCATTAGTTTCTGTTATAATTTCTTCATACTGCATTCAACTGAAAAAGCACCAACCAATCCATTTAAAAAAAAGTTCTATTATTTAAACATCTTTTTGAAATATTTTATTAAACTCATTTTTGTTTATTTATTTTTATTTTAGTAAACTTTTCTGGGTTGATGAAGGAGGTTACGGAGTTCCTCAAAAAATCGGTAGAGTTAATATGGATGGATCTAATCCCATTATACTGTTGAAAAATTTGGAACGCCCTCTGGCTATAACTATAGATTTGGAAACTAAACTTCTGTATTATTCAACTGAATACCCTTCAATGGTGAGTTACTCTTTTTTTTTTCTTTCTATAGTTTATTCCTTATTATTTTAGTAGCTTACTAATTTCACTATTATATTATTTAAATTGTATCCATAACTCCTCTCCCACAAACTGAGTGTTTAAAAGTTAGCCAAGTTATTTTTATTACATAAATGGACTAAAATAGTGGCAAAACTATTTTATTTCAAGCCGAATTGGGCTTTTTGGGATTTACTGGACTCGAAATAAAGTAGTTTTGCCACTATTTTAGTCTATTTATGACCGCCACCCCGGATCATCTTCTTTCTCTAAAATACTATGGTCAACTATTAAGTATTCAACTTAATTCTTTCTTTTTTATGATCATAAGGTAGCCACTGAATATCACTCTAGTTGGAACAATGGAATGGTGAAGTAGAGCGGTTGGAGTGGATGATCTTAAGAGCTCTACTCTCCACTCCATCATTCCATTGATTGAATGATAATAATTCATTTTCCTTCAAGTCATTTTTAAAACTATTCCAAACTCATAAATACTAGATTTCCAGCCTCTCCTTATCACTCATGGCTCAATTTGGTATGGAGTGGAGTGATCACTTTTATTTTAAATTTACGACTGGAATGAGAAAATAGCAAAAATATAGAATTAAAATTATTTTGTAACAATTTAATTTAAGTTTACCATAAAATACTTATACCAAATTTTTTATGCTTGATAATAAAGAAAAAAATATTTTTATCATACTTGATGATAACCAAAACAACATTTTAATTAAATTGAATAAATAAAAATTTGCAGATTGGAGTCATTGATTCTGATGGTGGTAGGCAGAGGACTTTGGTCAGTGAAGATATGCATACCATCGCTTATCCAAAAGCTCTTGCCGTCCACAATAAAATGCTCTACCTCATGGACCCGAGATATGATAAACTTGAAAGAATCGACTTGGAAACCGGAAAAAATCCTCAACTAATTATGGATAATGAACCCGACCTTAAAACATTTACAATTTTCAAGAAGAGGCCAAGTGAGTTAGCAATGTAATTTTAATTTATACTGTATCTGTCTTAAATAATTTTTCTTCTATTTGAAAGTTTATTCAGAATTTATTATTAAAATAATTTGATATGTAAGATTCTTTTCCAAGTAATGGTTTTTATCATTCTGTAACTAACATTATAAGCAGTGAGAGCTTGGATTTTTATACAGTAAAACCTCATAGAATATGCATTAAAAAATATTTTATACAGTAATACAACTGATTAATCAATAGCAATAATGAGTCTACAAAACATTCTGAACTAAAATACAAATTGGAAGAAGGATTAAAAATTAAATAAAAATGATTTAATTTTTTTTTATCTTTCTTTTTTCATAAACCAATATGATTAGTATTAAGAGAAAATTATTGTAATTAAAAAATTATTTACGACACGAACAAAATATATAAGACTAGTAAGAAACATTTACTGCATTAAAATTAAATTATGAATATCTAAATTTCTTTCTGAAAAATCTAATCTTCTGTCCTATGAAATATCTTTATAAAAAGAAAATCACTTTTCCACATCAAGAGACATGATAGAACCAAACTTATACCAATTTAAAATTATCAACTCATTTTAACTAGTATCTAGTTTTTTTTTCAAATTAGACATTTAAGAAAAAAATAAAAGACTTTTCCATGAGTGTTAAGACTATTTTATAATTGGTATTGTAAAAGTAAATTAAATTAAATCGATTGTTTAAATAATGAAAAAAATGATGTGCTTACTTTAGGCATTTGAAATGATAATAAATATTACCACTTATAAAGAAAGAAAGAAATTGAAACTGAATGTTTGAAGCACTGAATACTTAGGTAGGCTTATTCTGAGTGTTCCGGATAGGACCAAAGAAAAGTCAGTCATAAGGCTTATAAATGCGACTTTATAGCATTTAAATAAATTTTACTTTTTGTATATTTTAATTACAGTTTGTGGTTCCTTTCGGAATATTATTTCTTATTTAAGTTATATGTTGGTAAAGTTTGATAGAAATTCTTATGTAATTTGTTTATAATGATGTTTCAAAATCCTTTGTTGTTTTTTTTTATCTTACCTCGTAGCTGGGTTAATATGACAAAAATGACAATTTTTGGGAAAACTCATGTTTCTTTCCATTGAATATGAGAGAGGCGATTGAAAAACAAACTCATGGTATTTGGTCAAATACCAAAGAAGTTTGAAGAAGAAGTGGAGAAAAACCATAAGATTGTAATATCGAATTTCTCCCTCAATATTTCATTTTAATTTTTAATTTTCTAATTATTTTTTTTTTGCTTACTTAAAATAATCCAAATATGCCATTAAGGAATTTATGATCAAACATTCAAAAATATACATTACAAAATTTGACTAATTGTATCTTAAAGCACTAATTCGTAAAGATATTTGATCTGCAGTTAAAAAACTGCACACCAGCAAATCATGCAACTGTATAAAAATCCGGGCTCTGCTTGTAAATTAATAAATTAACTAGATGATATGATTAAAATTTTATGACTCATCGTTAAATAAAATAAAGTTAATTGTTTTAGATAGGTTAGGCCATATCTAATCAGTGGAAAAAAGTGATTATGGATTTTTTAAAATTTGTTTCAGTAGAACTGGTTATTTTCATGGCAATGATAGGTTTATATTTAAAATTCATTATCCTTTTAATTTCTAAATGTATATATGTATTTTGTTTAGTGACGAATCATCCTTGTATAATGAATAATGGTGGTTGCGACCAAATCTGTATCCCTGCCGAAAATAGTGGACATGTCTGTAAGTGCTCCATTGGTTATAAGAAAGATGACACTGGTGCCTGTATCAGTTATAAGACATTTGCTGTCGTCTCTCAACTCGATATTATCCGAGGATATAGTCTTGATGATTCTAGTGAAGCAATTGTTCCTATATCAGGAATCGGTAAGTTTATTTTTTTAAAGCATATTTTTCCTAATGACATTATAAAAACAACTGTATATGATTATTAGACAACATTCTACTTACCTTGACCCCCATCATATTTTAAGAACATATGAATTATTCTGTGTAAAATATATGATTTTTTATTTTGATTATGTAATTTTAGGAGTCAAAACTGATAAAATATTTAAGGGGGGTGCCTTCAGCTATGAAATAACACAAAAATAAGAAGCTTTGTTTTATTTGCTTCTTAAAATATTGTGATGATTTTGCAGGCATTAGTTGAAATTTGATTATTTGTAAATGTTTACGTAACCCAACATATATCATATCACTAAACCTCGAAATCGGATTTGTTGCAATTATAAAGGCCTAAATCATTGGAATAAGAATTTCATGTGATGTTCGCTCATATTCTTAGTTTTTGTTTTTCTTACAGAAATAAAGGAAATCAATATAAAAATGTGGGTCTTTTTTACTTAAATATTGCCGGTTACTTTTAGTAAAATAACAGTTATTATTTAGAAATCATATAAGTGGCCTCATATCAAAGAAGGACATCGGTCATTTTCAGAAAGTGATAGCAATATGATTCAGATTGTAACCCAATTAGCACAATTGTAATAATTCATTAAATCATGTTTATTTGACAAATCTGTAACAGTTCTAAATAAGTTACAAAAAAGTAACTGGCGATACTTAAGTAAAAAAGACCCAAAAATTTCACTCATCTTCAAAACTGGGACAGCAGTAAGTTGCTAGATCGAACTAAAATCCACCGTTTTGGAGATAAAGTATGGTAATGAGTTTGCAGCCACACAGGAAATTTGTACTTTTCTAATTATTTTAAAACTAATTAAATTTGAATGGGGTTTCTATGGGAACCAACACAACAACCCAGTATCTAATCCCATCTCACCCCATATATTATTTCACTAAGCCTCAAAATTGGCTTTGTATCATATTCATATATATATATATATATATATATATATATATATATATATATATATATATATATATATATATAACTCAAAAAGTACACAAATTATAGTTGATTAAACCAATAATAATTTGAATAGTTTGTAAATTCCTGCAAAAGGAGTAGAAAAATTGAAATCTGACCATTATTAACAACAAAGTTTACTATTATCAATAATGAACTATTATATGGCAAAAAAACAATTAATTTCTCACCTCTCATAATATTGTGCGTTTACTAATTTCCATATTACATTACGATTTATTTGTTTTTATAATATGAGAATTATACTGAATAACAGTATTTTTCCAATACCATGACTTGTAGATCTCCTCTGATTACCGACATTTACTCTTCTAGCAAATATCCTATGTATATGATAGTTTTAAATTTATTTATAACAAGCTGAATGTTCATTAAACCAGCCATTCTTCTTTTCTTGTACTCTCTATAAGCATTACCAAACAAACCACTCAATAAAATTATGATCTAATAGTAACAACACCCAAGTATATATTGGCTTATTATACATAATTATGGAATTTCTTATTTTTTATTTTAGGCCATCACATTTTACATGTTGATGTCCACTATGCTGAAAAATGGATTTATTGGGTTGACTTCAACCGTGGGCCTTGGAATGGAATATTCCGAATCCAGCCGAATGGTACAAGGCTCGAACACATTGTTAAAGACGGAATCGGTTCTAATGGTATTCGCGGCCTTGCCATCGACTGGGTTGCTGGAAATCTTTATTTTGCTAATGTTTTCCCTCATGAAAATTTCATCGAAGTTTGCTGGCTGGATGGATCAAACAGGAAGGTTTTGCAGAAAGGTCTTATTGATGCACCCAAAGAGCTTGCAGTAAATCCTATAAAGAGGTCAGTATTTTAAATCAGCTTAGCTTTGAGATGATAAAATATTTGAAACTAATAAATAAATTGTGTTATTCAAGCTTATTAAATATTTGTATTTGAAAATAAATTTCATCTGCTCTACTAGTTACAAATAAATAAAATGTATTTTTCTTAACGAATTTGATTAATATCTATAAAATAATATTATACTGACATTAAGTGAGAGTATAAAAAGGCAGTTGAAGCTTTATACTGAACACTTTGTATATGTTGATGGTAAAGCCAAAAATCATACTCTTCTACCTGTACCTGTTGTTTAGGTACTAAATGGTCCGTTTTATGGGCCAATTTATTCATTTAAAATAATGCAATTGAATAAATAAAAGTTGGTACCTAACCAATTATTTTTATCTTGAATCAACTTGAACCTTCTTAAATAAAATTATCAGAAACAGTTTGAGTTGAGCCTATAAAACAAAAATTGAATTTTTCTCAATTTTTTGAAAATAACAGATGTCCATCTTTGATATGAGGCCACTCAATTAGATTCTTACAAAAAGCTAATAAAATACATTTTAAACTAAATATTTTTACTAAGAGAGGATAAGGTGAAATAAAAAATCTAAAGATATTTCTTGGATGAAGTTTTGAAGTTGTAAACACTATTCTAAGCTAAAAATGATATGATATATCCCTGTATAAACTAGCCCTGGCAGACTGTAATTTTGCATTGTTTCCACTCTTATAACATAGCTCTGCTCCATCACTTTTCTTTAACGCTTGAACCATTTATCTTTACAAATGTGCATCAGAAAAATTTGGATCTTTTTATTGTTATAACTAAATCTTGATCTACAAATAAAAATTGAAAATTCATGCAAGTACACAGTTGAAGTAATATACTGATTACTCTTTATATGTTAAAGCCAAGGATCATAATCTTCTACCAGTACCTGTCATTTAAGTACTACATGATTTGTTGTAGAGTTGATTTAGTAATCTATGTTATTCAATTAATGTCCTTTATACAAGAAGCAGATAAGTACAATTTTCTATTTTTTTTTTCTTTTAAATTTATTTTTATCTATAGGCAATATTGTTTTGATTGGTGAAATAATGCCATACAAATGTATCATCAGTCCTCTCCTATTTGATTAATAACATGGGAAAGACTGTTACGCCTACCAATAGAAACTGTTCAAACATTTTTTTTTTATGCACATTTTCAAAAATAATTAGCATTAAAGAAAGGTGGGAACAGAACTACATTACAAGAGTGAAGAAGTGGTTACGTCAGGGACAACCAATCAGAGACACCTAGCTCATACCATTGGATATCGTAAATAGTCTGTGGTACAGACCTCTTTTTATCAAATTAATAGCATCTGGCTGAAATTTTATAAATAGCTTTATCTTATCGTAATACAACTATTTTATTTACAAAAATTTTTGGCATTGGGGCGTTTTCAATCTGGAGATCGACAATCTTTGTCTATTTAATTAGGCAATAAAATCTTGTAAATACCCATTTGCTTTCCACTTCAATCATAAAAGAGTTTGAGCAGAATATCGAGAAAAAAGGTGGCCTTCAATAATATTTTCTTTCACATTATCATCTCTGACTAAAAATATTTAGTTTAAAAAGAATTTTATTAGCTTTTATAAATAAATAAAATAAGATGGATGTTGAGAGGAATTGAGCAGTATGTTTGGCATTACCCTCATACCAGTTGACTCTGGCCATTACTGCTGTCTATGTCATAACTCCAAGAGGCATTTTTTTCAAGTTTTTATAAATTCATTCTAGACATGAACCTTTTTTTTTATTATTTAAGTTATGGATTTATTGATTTCTTGAAAACCTAATTATGGACTTATATGGTGTCTTATTTAATTTTAGATGACTCTAACTAAATATTTGTGAGTCTGGATTGATTCTTATCTTTAATAATTGTTCAACCATAGTACTTTAAAAATATAAAGACTACTTCAACCATCTTTGTTTGATGTTTTGTTATTTAATTTTAAATATTCTCGATTCTTTAAATTTAAAAAAACCTTCTGTTAATTACCTCACTTTTCCGATTTTATTCTATCAAATGCTAATCTTCAATACTTGCCATTTAGGTTGCTCTATTGGATTGATTACGGCCAATATCCCAGGATAGTAAAAGCTTACCTAGATGGCTCTAATTCTTCTCCAATTGTCTCGTCAGGAATTAGTACACCGAGAGATCTTACGATTGATATGATGACACATGATGTTTATTGGGTCGATGCCAGATTAGACATGATACAAAAGGTTTCCTCCAGTGGTGGTAACAGACAGGTATTTAATTAATTTTAACAGTTTCTATTAATTCCAAGAATATTATTTTATTTATTAAAAACAAATTATGAATTTTCTGTTTAGATTATTCGTCGTAACCTTCCGAATCCCATGGGCATCGCTGTTTACATGGGATCAGTTTATTGGGTGGACAGAAATCTACAAACAGTTTTCAAAGCTTCAAAACTCCCCGGTAATACATCGCAGCCGATACCTGTTCGGAAGGGTCTGCACCGTTTAAGAGATATTGCGATTTACGACATCAACAACCAACCCCCAGATGATAACAATCCATGCAAAAAACTAGGTTTGTTTCATGTAACAACATTTTATATTTCATGTATAGGTATATCTCAATTATAGCATTTTACTATATTAATTAATTAGTGATTAATATACAACTAAATTTTAAGTATGATTTTTCACAAACTTTTGATTTATATATGTAAGATTGTTATTATAATAAAATATTACATGCATATATTTTCATATAATTGTAAAATATTTATTCAACAGAAACTATTTAGTGTTTCGTTTTAATAACCAGATTAATAGTACAAATATTTTTTTTTTTTAAATGCAGAGTTGAGGTTTTAGAAAACAAAATCTTGTTAACTGATGTTTATTATAAATGGTATTCATGAGGTAAATGTGCCCGTTCTAGTGCAAAAAATAAGCATACCCAAAGGTTAATGTTATTCAAATCTTAAAAATGCCTCGATTTGGGAGAATAACTCTTACACATTTTACCTTGCACTGCAGTTTATTATTTTCTCTGTATATTTTTGCTATTTGTTCAGGTAATGGAGGTTGTCGACAATTGTGCTTCTCTTACCCTGCTGATTATTCCCTGAATGCATTCAGATATCGATGTGACTGTTCAACTGGAATGCTAGTAGATGGTACAAGGTGTGAAAATACCTTAGACTACGTTGTATTCTCTACAAGAACTGAAATAAGATCTATTTATCTTGATCCGAAGTCTACAAATGTGCCATTCAAGCCTGTTGTAAGTTGTGTTTTGTTTTTTTCATTTTACATCAATCCTCATTAAAAATATTTTAAATTCATTTAAAAAATTTTTAAGGGAAATCTTACAAATGTGGTTGGAGTCGAATTTGATCGTGCCGACAAGAAGCTGTTCTATACCCAGATAAGACCTTTTGCCAAAATCGCCTCTGTGCCCTCCGATAACCCAGGAGCTCTGAGCACAACTCTCATAACCAGAGGCATCAATCCCGAAGGTATCGCTTACGATTGGACCCAGAAAAAGATTTACTGGACAGATTCGTCAAATAATTCTATTTATGCAATGAACTTGGATGGATCCGATCTTGTAATGATCACTAGAGTTGAAAGGCCAAGAGCAATTGTAGTCGATCCTTGCAATGGGTTAGTTTTATTTTAAATAATTTTATTATATATATTGATTATTTTAAATTACCAACTAATATAATTTATTTCAGAACTCTTTATTATACTGATTGGGGAAGATTCGGAACATCTGGAAAGATATTCAGGACAACTATGGCTGGCTCTTTGAAACGAGCTATAATTGACCGAGATCTCTCTCAGCCTAGTGGCCTTGCCCTCGACTACGAAGACAAGAAGCTGTATTGGACAGATGCGGTCAGAGAAAAAATTGAAAGAATAAACTTAGACAACGGTCCGCCTAAAAGAGAAGTTCTTATATCTGCTACGATTTACCCATTCGCCATTACTGTTCTCGACGATTATATCTATTGGACTGATCTTCAGCTGAGAGGAGTTTACAGAGCTGAAAAGCATACAGGTAATTTTGTTTAAATAATTTATATTAAAGATTTTTATATATCCGGTCCAAAATAATTAACTAACTTAATTATATGTTTCACTTGGCTTACTAGTTATCAATTGATCTACAGTTATAGATTAGTCTACAAAGTTATCAATACCCTATCAGTGTAAAGGCTACGTTGTTTGAAATAATATTGAATAATTTTGCCAACAAGTATTTATAGAGAACTATGGAATTTATTTTACATATATTTTGAAGTGGTTTTCTGTCAACTATTGGAAAAAAGAAACAGGTTTATTGAAATCATTTAAACAACCAGCTCTCTGATAAGAATTGTAATTTAAAATAATAAAAAAAAAAATACATAAATTAATAATAATGATAATAAATGAATTTTAAAAAATAACCATTTATTGTTGTTAACATCTAAAAATCAAAACGTTTTTAACTCATTCAAAACTCATAGTTTCAAATTTATATTTATTTCATAATTATACTTTGATATATATTGTAATGTAGGGAGTGGGGTAGCTCAGTGATAGACTAATGAGCTTCCAATGCTAAAGGTCCCAGTTTCGAATCCCGGCTCATGGCACAAAAATTATTTATTCTGTTTTATTGGCCGTGGGGTGACCCTGGCTAGGTAAATCCTCTTGGGGCACACCCAGCCTCTATAAAGTAGGTACCCTTAATTAAAATAATTAATTAAGGGAAAAAACCTAGTGGTTGAGCATGATCTCGGTTAAATCACAACTGTAGACCAAGAAACAGTGCTTTCCCTAAATATTGCTGAACCCAAGACCCTTCATGAGTTGTAGTGGTACAGTTTTTTTTTTTATATTGCAATGTAATAGGGTATGAATAATTAATATTTGTATATAATTGGTCGAGATTGACTGATTTGGGTGAGTGAAAAAATTGCCAATTGTATTGTTTCGGCAGGAGAGACCCCAAGCCCAGACAATCGATGGTTTTGAAAACAGTTATAATTTCAATATCTATAATTTATGGTTAAATAAATGTATAGTATAAAATTATTCAATTTTGAATGAGTGTTAAGTTGTCAGAACCCAACACAAATAATATTTTTTGTGTTAAATAAATAGTATTTGTAAGATACGTTTTGTTTACTTGATGCATAACAAACCTAACCATACAATATATTGTAACTATAAATCCAATCCTACATAATTAATAACTTAAAATTGATTTGTTATTAGGTGCTAATATGGTAGAGCTTGTCAAGCGATTAGATGATTCGCCGAGAGACATCCAGGTATTTTCCCCTAAAAGACAGACCTGCAATGTCAATCCATGCCACATAAATAATGGAGGTTGTGCCAAGAGCTGCCACCCTGGTCTCCATGGAAAGGTAATTCACTGTCATAATTTAAATAAAGTGAAATAATATAAAACAAAATAAAAATTATCTCAATTTAATTTATAATTACTCAACTCAGCTTATTATTTTACTATCCAAAATCTTCTATCCTCTTCCTTTCCTTTATTGGTGATATGTATTTGTATATATTTTTACCACTGTTCAGTTCATTGTGCTTGGAAAAAAATGTTATAATTAATAATCGATAAGGCAATTTTTGTTTTTTAAAGGCTGAATGCAAGTGTGATGATAATACAAAGCTGGTTAATGATGGACGGATGTGTGTTGCGAAAAATCTTACATGCGAAGGAAACAAATTTGTCTGTGCAAACGGTAAATGTATTTCGAGAATGTGGGCTTGCGATGGAGATGATGATTGTGGTGATAACAGTGATGAAGACTTTAAATTCTGTGGTTAGTATTACTTTTTATTTTTATTTTATTATTAATTTCTTACAAACACACTATTAATTTGATATTTGAAGAGAAGTTGTTTTGGGGTTTTCAGTCAATGATAGAAGAAAGTTAAAATAGATAAATTATATTTATTTTTATCCTTTGTACCAGTGTTTTGACTTAAGCTTCAGACCAACATCAGGGCTAAACAAAGACATAAATATTGAGAGAAAAAAATAGATAGTAATAGTAATAATATGTAGACAGAGTGATGAAACAAAAATAGTGATAATAAAAAATAAAAAAAACCAGTGCTTTAGACCACACGATAGAAGTGGAAGCATCAACAAGATGAGATTATTAATATGAAATATAAATTATAAATAATAGCTCATTATATTTCATGCTGAATACTTCTTTCGTTTACAGTATGCAGGTCCGATTTTTAGTTTCGGAGATATTTTAATCCATATCTTCCATAAAACTCATTATGATTTGTTTTTTGACACTATTTTTTCCTTTTCGTCCCTCTAACACAGATTCACGTTAAGATATAATTTTTAATAATAGTCCATTACGGAGAGGATGAAATGTTGGATCAATCCCCTCACTTACAGTTTGCAGGTCTGACTTTTAGTTTCTGATATATTTTAATCCATATCTTCAATAAAATTCGTTATTATTTAGCTTTCAGCTCTATTTTTTCCTTTTCGTCTAATGGGGGTTCTCATTAAGATACAATTTTGAGTAATAGCTCATTAAAAAGAGGATGAAATGATGAACATTTCCTTCTCTAACAATGTGCTGGTCCGATTTTTAGTTTCTGAGATATTTTAATCCATATGCAAAAACACTTTAATTAGTCAACTCCACCCGAATTTACCCGACTGTTAATCTAATTCACTCTCCACAAAAAAGTGCAAAACACGCCTAAAGAAGTTTTCACTTCAATAATGGTAAAAACTTAATGAAATGGTAACAACTTTGTTAATTTCATTAAGTTGATACTGTTATTTAATTGTTTACTTTATCACTTCATCACTCTATCTACATATTATCACTATTATTGTCTACTTTTTTCTCAATATTTATATGATATTTTGTATTTGTTGAGCACTGATGATGGTTTGAAACAAAAGACAAAAATAAATATTATTTATTTATTTTTAATTCGATCTTTCATCAACTGAAAATTCCAACCTACTTCTCTCCTAATATCTTCTACAGTCAATTATTATCCACTATTATTATTAAATTGACATTTTATTATTTTTTTCTTTTGTATTCCAGCTTTCCATTCTTGTAGTCCAAATGAATTCCGATGTGCAAACGGACGTTGTATATTCAAATCCTGGAAATGTGATCATGAAAATGATTGTAAGGATGGATCAGATGAAATTGATTGCGATTATCCAAAATGTGCTGAAGGAGAGTTCACCTGTTTGAACCAGAGATGTATCCCTATGGCACAGGTATCAAGTATTTTTTTATCATTTAAAAATTATAAATATTTTTTTAATTATAAAAAGTGTATAATTTTGGGTTAGTTCATGTTTCAATTGGGGAGGATCGTATGGTGGGTGGATCACTGAAATTAAATATTCGTGGAACAATAAACGATTACATTGAACATAATGAATACAAACAAAAAATAAAATTTGTGTACTTGATATAATTTTGATAATTTTAGAAATACAGGTAAAATTTCTGATGAAAAAGAAAAAAAATTATAATATTTTAATAAGACATTGTAGGATTGAAAGTGAAGTAATTTTGCTTCAGACGAAAAATTATATTATGCTGAATGTGGAGTCACTTGTTTTTTAAAAAATGATCATTGCCTCCTTTTAGCTCTTCCACCAGGCTGTTTCACTTGGATTTAGAAAATAATGGTTCTTTAATAATGTCTGGTAAAAAATAAATAAATAAGTGTGCACACTTCACTGTAGTCTAGACTTAACTTTGCAGGAAATTAACTTCAAAATGGAGGTCAATAAAATGGTGGTGAAACCCAGAATTATATAAATATTTTTTTATGATGTAGAGATGGTTGACCATGATATAATATAAGAAGGAGTTGATCGGGGAAGGGAAGGGGGGGTGCTGTCAAATAAATACTAAATTATACAAATAGTATATTTAATTTTTGCCGACGTTTCGACCCACTTTGCAGGTCTGTATCTCATATTAGTATATCCATGTAAATTAATAAGAAGGCTTAAGGTTTTTGTAAGTGTTTTTCCTATACTGTTTATCATTGAGGAGTATGTCCCTATACATTTAGATAGGTATATGGATGTACTTATAGTTGTCTGTTGAGGGTATTCCATTTCATTTTAATATGTGGGTTCCATGGCATCATTCGGTTGAAGGCAAGTCTGTTCTATGCCTTCTTTATTTACTGCTATTATTTTAACTATGAAGAAAGCAAGAAAATACTGACTTTGTTTTATAGAAATACAAAGTTATTACCAAATATACTTAATAACGCTTTTGCATTAATTTTTAATTTTTTTTCCTGTTTTTATTTGGTTTCCTTATTTCTTATTAAGTAAATTTTCATGTTAAGTACATTTTTATTTCTAACAGTATATCTATTCTATATACAATACAATAGGCTCCTGCTTATCCTTCCTATTAAGCGGAAGAGCCAGTTAACACATAGGATATAAAATAAAAATAAAAAATCCAATATTATTTTAACTTCTATATTGCAGAAAAATCAAATTACACCACATAACTTAATCAATTAAGGTTATATATTTAATAATTCAAGAAGACAATATTTTTAGGCCCTTTCAATTTTAGGATTTACAAAAATTTCAATAACGATCTTATCAGTTTTTCACAAAATCAATATTTTTTTAAACGAACTTAATGTTTTCTCAGCAGCATAGTCTCTCCACTTTTTTTAAAAAAAGAATATCCAACACTGTAGCCGATTCTTGTTGTTTGACATATTGTAAAATTGTGTTTAAAGCATCCCTGGCAGCACTTTGTGGTATCTAAAAATATTTCAAAGCAAATTAAACCTCAAATATGAATGGGCTTGTGTATAAAATACGCAGTTATAGTACTAAACAAAACTGCGTCGGCAATTACACAGTATTTCTTCTTCATTTCTTTTTTCATTTTTCTATGAAATAAATGAAGGATAAGGATTTTGTTTCAAGAATCAGCTTTACTTTGTTTTACTATATTTTGTTATAATAGATTTGTTTTACTGAGGTTCAATCAGTTGTAAAGAAATAATAAACAAAAATCTTTTGTCAACATTTCAATCTATTTAAAATCTATCGAACCACAACACAACAAAAATTAAATTTATAACCAGTGGTTGAGGATCTCACAAAGTTATAAATGCTTTTAAGAATGTTAAAAAAATTTGTTTTTCTTTTACCGCTACCGCTGATTAATCCAAAGAGCCGGCTAAGCGGAAGTCTACTGTATTAACAGCAAAAGAAGAATATCAAACACAATAAATTAGTAACAATTACATAAAGACAAAAAATGAATTTCAGATTTTTTATGAGGGTGTTCTCCACGGATTGTTCATAATGAGGAAAGCCTTTCGATAATCTGAGAAACATTACAAATGAACATATCTTTAATATTGTTAATATAATAATTAGGTTGGAAATAAAATAATTCTTCTCGTATTAAAAATTGACTAAGAATCCCAATAAAAATGAACAACTATAATAAAATTGTTTATCATTAAATATTCTATTCAAAATTATTATTTCAATTAAAATGTTTAAATAAACATTTATTTCAAGGTTTGCAATGGTGTTAATGACTGTAAAGACAATGGTACCTCTGATGAAACTCACGATAGGTGTCCAAAGAACACAACATGTCCGACTGGCCACCTGAAATGCCAAAACACCAACATATGCGTGGAACCTTATTGGCTCTGTGATGGTGATAACGATTGTGGGGACAACAGTGATGAAGATTCGTTCCACTGCGCTAAAACGACTTGTCCACAAAATAGCTTCAGGTAATAATTTTAATATGATAGGTTTTCACTAATTTAAAAATATCCTACACTAAATGGGTAAATAATTTTTTTTCTAATTTTGACACCTCTTGTTTTGTTTTTATTTAGACCTATTACAGGTTTTAAAAATAAAAATTTCTATTCAAAGTCTACTCAGTTTTCTTCTTTGTAACAATATTTCTTCAAAATCATGACATTTCCATGATTCACATGTATGTTTCTTTTTATGTTTAACTGGTGAAATTTATAAAAAAAATCAAATTCCACCCATTAGTTTCTGGTTGTATATATTGTAAATTATTAAAATAATATTTAATTTTCCTCTCTATAAACTACCATGAAGACAAACCACATAATGATAGGCTTTCTTTGTAATGAAAGCATATTTTATCAGTATTTATTCAGTTTTCCTATTTAGTTTTATTATTGAGAGTGTGGTATTTCAGCGATAAATAGCAAACTTTGATAGGTGCTGGATTTTTTTTTTTTTTTTTTGTTAAACCCTCATGGGTAACAATATAAACAGTATCTTGGTACTATCCAAATGAGATATTGAATTCAAAAAAATTTTTTTTTTTTTAAGATATTTTCAAACATTTATAAAACTGTGATAACAGTTTTTGAAGCCTCCCTCCTGCAAAAGTGGGTAAAATGTAAAAATCCCGTGTTTCATATGTTTTAAAAATATATATATTTTTTTATTATGTTGGTTCTCATGAAAAGCTATGCTATGCATAAAACTAATCCCTCGTAGCTCAATCCCATTTAAAATTTCAGTGTTATAAGTATTTTTAAGATGTTTTTAAGATTGAGTGATTATCGAGTCAGTGGATGGTATTTCTCTTTCATATAAATATATTTAAAATCTTAAAGTTTACTTTTGTTTATATAAAATAATATAAATATTTATTTTCTCTGCCTAGGTGTCCTAATCACCGTTGTATCCCAGCAACTTGGTATTGCGATGGAGATGACGATTGTGGTGATGGCTCTGATGAACCACCAGAATACTGCAAAAGCGAAGGTCGCACTTGCTTCGGTGACTTGTTTACTTGTGATAATGGCAACTGCATTCCGAGAATATATATTTGTGATGGTGACAATGATTGTTTGGACAATTCAGATGAAGATTCTAGACATCAGTGTCGTAAGTTTTTCAAAAAAATTGTTATGCATTTTTACCTATACATATAGCTGTTGAGATTGATCCAAAAACTACTCACAATTGTAACAATAAACTAATGAATGAATGAATGAAAGAAAACGTGTTTATTAAACTTTTTTTAAAAATTACACAAAGTAAAATATATATATATACAATCAACAACAAATAGACAATGGAAAATTCCCTCTGTCGAGGTCTGTGTGTAATTAATAATAAATATTCATCACATTTATAACTAAAATAAATGAGCAATAATATATCTACAGTATTATTATGGTTTTATACATCCATTTTAGCAATTTTCTTCTTCACTGTCTCATTTGTTTAGAGTTTTCAAAAAACAAACATTAATACATCACAAATCCAATAAATAAGAAATTTAAATTCAACAATAATAATCATAAAATACAATGTAACAATAAAACAAACTTTACAATAAATAAACACAATACTTCATCAATAGTTTGCTCTCTGACTAATTGAGATCTTTGCAATGTGGCCTGCTGTACATAATTGCTTAAGGCTTTCCAGTTAGAACCCTTTAAGAAACCAAATAATTCTTCTGGAGAACAGGTCCGCTGCCCAAAACATTTCTCTCTTAACTCACTGAACATGTGGCAAGTCCCCAAAAAGTGAATGATATCCTCTTTTTCTTGAGAGTTACTTACCGGACAGCAATCGTTGTCCCCCACCATCCATGCTTAAATCGAGAAATTCTGTCCTACATCAAAAAATTGACCCTATAGTCACAATATCATCAAGATAGGGTGTAACAGTACCCACTGAACATAGTCCTGCGTAAACAGAAAAACTTGAATGAAGACGTTTTTGAAGGTTATTTTGTTTTTTTAAGTCCTCTACCCTACGTCTAACAACAGTAAATTTTCCGCACAGATCAGCGATATTTGCAGCATCAAGATTAATTTTGCAACTATTCTCGAATTCTAACCACTTTTGGTACCAATAAACTCTCTTAGTTATCACCTCTTTCGCTAGGGTAACAATAAACTAATTGTTTATGTACTAATTATTTATTAACTAATGTAGCAATAAACTAATTGAATAGTTAAAAATTATAATGAAGTAATATGACTTATAAACAATCTTTACTAGTGTGCCCAAACTCGGTGGAAAAAAATAAATAAAAACTCCTAGAACCAAAAATGACAATAATAATATATAATATATAATAATATAATAATAATATATAATAATAATAATAATATATTAAATATGTGGGTCATCATCAGGGCTAGAAATTAAAAGCTACAAAAAAAAAGTGATATAGATAAGTATGTAAATAAGAGAAAATAAAAGATGGAAAGTACACATGAAATAATGTTAATATAAATATAACACAATGCTAAGAAAAAAATTTGTTTTTTATAAATAAATAAAGAAATATGTACATAAAAAGTAAAAATTAATATAGAATAAAAAAGATAATAATAATAATAATAATAATAATGAAATACATAATAAAATTTAATTCTATAGAAATGTGTTGACAATATTAATACTATCAAGTACATTGATGAGAAAAACCTGAAAAAAATACTTGATGTGATAACAATTTAGGACAAGTTCCCATTACCTTACATCTTGGACTTGTTCGGGAGTAGGTAGTGGCTCTAAACAGGTAGAGCAGCAAACATCTCTACTATAGGTTTGGTTTCAGTTTTTCATCAAATCGAGATGGACCCTGATTCAGTCCCTGTACAGGTACCAGTTATGTAGTCTGTATTACTAAAGGTCTTTTTAGAAACTTTTATTTATAGAAAAGGATTGCATACAGAATAACACCTCTAAATCTAAAAAAGTGGGAATCATCGGCTCTAATTGCCAGGGTTTACGCACTGTAAGAATGTGTAGTCAGCAAGCAGAATATTTTTTTGGTTATAACTTCAGAAGACCTTCCTTTAACGCTTTGGATGCATAGACTTTTATAAAAACATTCTTCGCTTTGCCTTCAATTAATTTTGGTCAGAATTTTTTTTTGTTTTTACTTCCACCTCTCTATCTGTGGCATACAGTCTAAGGAGGTTGTTTCAGAAGTACAACCAAACCTATTCTAACCAGAGTGAAAAGGTCGACAATAATTTCCACCTGCCCGGTTGCCCAGAACTGACATCTCTAAACTCGACAATGTTAAAGTGAGGAACCCTTTTATTCGCTCAGCCACCATGGCCTAATAGGCAATTTAATTATCCTACAACTAATTGCAATGTTCTGGAAGATATACAGTTTTAAGATTATTTGATAATAATTATTTAAAAGGTAATTGAATTTCCTAGAAAAGGAAGTAAAATCATTTAAATTGGAATGTTATTAGCAAATATTCAGTCTATTGGACTTTATACATAATTTGTTTCCTTTCCAATAATGAAACTTTTTAATTTACCATACTTATTTTACTTCTATAAAAAGTCACAAAAATTAATAAATATTGTAATTATGGTCATATTTCAATCACTGGGTGATCCTATTTGAAATTAACTTTTAATGTTTTCAATTTTTTTATTTTCTCGACTGAAGCAATATCTATAATCATTTTAGATGACAGGAAATGTGATGAAGAGACAGAGTTCACTTGCCAAAGCAACAAGGCCTGGGGAAGGGCTCAATGCATCCCGAGGAAATGGCTGTGCGATGGAGATCCCGATTGTGTTGACGGAGCTGATGAAAATGCTACTGCTCTCCATTGTCCTCCTCAACCTTCTTGCGAGCCCGACCAGTTCACTTGCGGCAATGGAAGGTGTATTAATAAGGTAATATTAATAAAGTATTCTAATATTTTAAAAGTATGAAAAATAATCAGGATTTGCAGTAATTTATGTTGTTTATTAAGTTTGCTGATGTTTTGACCCAAGTATGTGGGTCATCATCAGGGTTAAAAATTAAAAGCTACTAAATTACAAAAAAAAAAAGAGAGATATTGATAAAAGTATGTAAATAAGAGAAAATAAAAGATGGAAAGTACACATGAGATAATGTTAATATAAATATAACACAATTGTAAGAAAAAAATTTGTTTTTTATAAATAAATAAGTATATAAAAAGTAAAAATTAATTAATTAAATTATTAGTACAAATAAAAATAGCCTGAAAAATCATTTAAAACTCAGATAGAATTAGATGAAATTGATATCTACTTGATCATTTGTTTGTCAATCCCTAACTTGCCCCCAACTTTAAACCTATTTGAATGTGCAATTTTTGAGATATGGGCACATCAAGGAAAATATGTTTGCACCTATTTGAGAGAATGGAAAGTAGTGAATGGAATTTAATAAAATTGAGATATTATCATCTTTTTACCAATACCCATCTTTCTTCAAACTCTGAGCTAAATTGAACAAGCTGTTTCTGAAATATTGGCATATCTAAGAAAATACATTTGCATGTGTGTATGGGGAAGTACTTTTGACTACAGACAGACAGATAGACACTGAACCAAATTTGATCCTTGATCCCTCAAACTTAAAATGCGAGTATAAATTTTTGATTCTGAGCTCAAAAATGTTTTTAACCTCTCGCATGAATATACAGCTTCCCTAGCTTCAGTAGTGAGGAAGCAAAATTAAAAATACAAAAAGTATACAAACAACACGACTAAAAATAACAGGTTTTTTTTTGTTATAAAAAATAATTGGAACACATTAGGCTGCATTACACTTTAAAATATAGTAGCTGAACAATTAGCAATTACTTGACTTACTGTTATGTTTGTTTATATTAATATTAAGTCATATTAGGATGGTAATATGTTAGAGATAGTCATCAATAATCGATAGTATCTAATTTAATATTATTGACTGATTGATATTATCAATATCATACCTTCTATATTTGAATTTAAAAATTAAAACTAGGTTTTTCGAAAAACTGCAGGAATTATTTATGAATCTGATCATCAAAAAAAAATATATATACTAATCTTACCTGTTTCATTTCGATATCTCTTGTCCAATATTGTGATGGTACCGGTAGTAATAGGCCAATATTAATATTGATTTCAATATCCATATTGGGCTTTCGATAATCTATATCTCATTTTTTTGGTATAATTTAATATTTTTTTATTTTTAACCCTGATCATGACCCACATGTTTGAGTCAAAAAGTTGGCAAACTTAATGTGAAAACATAAATTATTAATTTTTATTTTTTATGATAATTTTATAATTTCCTAATAAAATTTTATTTCTCAACCTAATAATTTTAACAGTATTTTTGTTACTATAATATTTTAAAAGTATTTTCGTCTTTGATCATATTAAAGCCTCTACGTTCCCAACTTATAGGGCTGGACTTGTGATCACGATAACGACTGCGGTGATGGCACTGATGAAGGAAAGGAATGCCATTCTGTTTACAAAACTTGCTCACCACAAGAATTTTCTTGTCAAAACTTTAAATGCATACGAATGTCATATAAATGTGATGGAGAAGACGATTGTGGTGATAACTCGGACGAATTTGATTGCAGTGAGTATCATTTATACATTATAACAGTTTTTCTCTGTGCTTTTTTTTTTTTTTTTAATTCTAAATTCTATTTTGTCATTTATAGAAAAAGAACAAACAACATGCCCAACCGGTCAATTTAAATGTAACAACGGCCAATGTATTGACTACCAAAAGGTCTGTAACAAAGTGGCAGATTGTACCGATGAATCTGATGAACCTTTGCATTGCAATATTGATGAATGTGCTAAAGTGGAAGTGAACCAATGTGGTCATAAATGCGTTGACACTCTCACTGGCTACTATTGTGAATGCAATCCTGGTTACAAGTAAGTAATCTTTGTAGCTATACTCCTTAGTTTCAATTTTAAGTAATTGTAATCATACAAATTCATACTATCTGAACAAAAGACTGTTTGTAATTGTAGTAGGATTAATATTGAAATGAAGCCTTATATTGTATTAGATTTAGAAAACACTTCAAAAACATAGAAAATAAAAAACTATTTCTAGAAAGTAGAATCAATTAAATAGCACAAACATAAAAAACTAAAAAGGATGGATATAAATTAGTATTAAATTAATTAGTAAAACCTATAAATATATTAACATTTATTGTGGGTAAATGGTTGACTGTCGTGAATAATAAAGAGAAGAATAGTTGGGGTGATCAGTCTGATCACCCCAACTATTCTTCTCTTCATTAACATTTATTATTAAAAAGACTTATTAGTAAGAACTATAAAATTATTCAATATAAAAAAAAAATAAAATAAAAATTGAATTAATAATTACTAGAACTAAAAAAAGAATGTACATTTTCATTATAAACCAAAAAAAGCAAAACTTATTATTAATATATAAAAAACAATTAATTAAACAAAGGTATATAAAGAAAGATTGATTTCAAAGATAAAGGATCAAAATTGTAAATAATACGATTAACTATTTCAATTTCCTCATTCCTATTTTTATTTTTTTTTCATTTTGTATCTAATTTTTCATAAAAACTTTTCAGACTCCTCGATGATGGAAAAGCTTGTGCTGACATTGACGAATGTACTGAACAATTGGGTGTCTGTTCTCAATATTGTTCCAACACTCCTGGTTCTTATTATTGCAAATGTGATGAAACATATTATGACAGGTAAATGATTAATTTTGAATTCCATAAACAAGACGTATAGATAAACTAAGTAAATTAATTATATTATTTATTTATTTTTAGAGCTTCTGACGAGCATACATGCAAAAGAAGAGACAGGAATGTTCCATGGATTGTTTTCACAAATAAATATTACATTAGAAACATGTCATTGGATGCGTCATTGTACTCTCTGATCCACCAAGATTTGACTAATGTAGTCGCTCTGGATTATGATTACAAAGGAAATACAATTTACTTCTGTGATGTTACTGCAAAGACTATATTCAGGTTGTTATAGTTTTTATATTTATTGATAAGAGTATTAAAGTATTATATGAGTGACCTCATATAAAAGACAGACATCTGTCATTTTCAGAAAATGGAGCAAAAGCCAGTTTTTGTTTTATAGGTTCAATTAAAACTGTTTCTTAATGATGTAGAGATGGTTGACCGTTGATATAATATGAGAAGGAGTTAATTGGGGGTTACGGTCAAATAAATACTAAATTAAAATATAGTTTTAATATTTCAATTTGTAATTATTATTAATTTTTGGCGAAAATTAAATAAATGCTTTATTTTAATTTAATATTTATTTGACCGCACCCTCCAATTAACTCCTTCTCATAAAACTGTTTCTGATGATTTTATTTAAGAATGTCCAAGTTGAAGCTATTGTACAAAAATTTGCTTTTTCTCAACTTTTTAAAAATGATAGATATCCTTATTTGATATGGATTTATATAAAATATATAAATATAATATAAAAAATATAAATTATAAATTTTTTAAATCTTGGTGAAGAAGTATTTCAACAAACTTTTTTCTTGCCGAAACATTGAAAATTATATATTTTCTATTTAATGAAATAATAAGAGTTTGTAGTCCATAGTGATAAGATTGAATCTGTTATACTTTTATAAATGCATGCTCAAGAATGTTTAAAACCTTGTATATAGAACACGTTAGACCAAATGATCAATTATGTATTAGTCAAATATTTATTTTCGATTTTCATAGAAATTTCCATTCTGTAAAATAATAAAAAAGGAATCTTGACTACTAAAAGTTGTTTTTATGTTTCTCTGCTGACCATTGATTTGATTATAAAGAACCAAGAAACTTGCATTTAATTACCAAAACAAAAAATGAAATTTTTGTTTTATTTATCTATGAAGCCCTACTAAAAATTATTTAAATCCTGCTAAGTTGATTATCACAATAATTGTTATTTATTAATACAATCCATGGGTATATGAAGTATTGAGATTCTATTTTATATTAATCTATTGTAATTATACAACTTCTAACAAATTTGTTGTATTTATTATTACAGTTTTGTTACTATATTATTTCAAACTAAAAGTGCTGGCCTCTTTTGGTCTTTGCTAAAACTACTATTTTACCTTCAAGTTTAGCTTTGATAAATGGCTGAAAGAGAGCAGCACTATTCAATTTCTATTTCAACCTATTTCAGTAATAGTGCTGCTCTCTGGCAGCTATTTTTAAAATTGAACCTATTTATTTATTTTATGATTTATTTAAAGAAATTGAAATAATTTATAAGTTTATTATTACAATAAATTGCTAATGTTGCATATTTTTTATTTCTGATAGAACTGAGATTGGTACAAATGAAAAAGAACCAATTATTCGGCATGACAGCCACGGTTTAGAAGGATTATCTGTTGATTGGGTTGGAAGGAAGATTTATTGGTTGGACCGTCATAGTAAACACTTAGATGTAGCTGAATTGGATGGTACTAACAGAAAGACATTGAAGGCTGGTATTCAGGATCCGAGAGCCATTGCTGTACATCCTGGCATTGGCTATCTATTTTTCACTAGTTGGTACTTGCAGGTTAGAGGAGATACTATAAAACAGTTTATATTTATATGTGTATTATATTTACTTACAAATAAATTGATATTTTGGTTTTAAATTTTCAGGCATTTATTGGAAAGATGGGTATGGATGGATCGAACATGACTCGTATATTGACTCATGAAGATGGGTTGGCCTGGCCGAATGCTCTCACTATCGATTTCTTTTCGGATCGTATTTATTTCGCTGATGCTCATTTAGATTACATAGCTTCTGTCGACTTCGAAGGAAGGCACAAGCATATCGTTTTGAAAGGAGATAAAGTACCACATATTTTTGCTATAACATTGTTTGAAGATTATATTTATTGGACTGATTGGAATCTTAAGGGAATTTTAAGAGCCAACAAGTTCAATGGTAAGATTTTTTTTTTTTTTATCTTTTCTCATATTATATCTTTGGCTTGGCATCTAATTAAAAACGTCTAAGTCACTATTTTTTTCAAAAACTTTTTTAATCTAAGTTTAACCAAAAATATTTATTGAAGAGAAGAATAGTTGGGGTGATCAGTCAAATAAGAAGACAAAAATAAATGATACTATTTATTTTGACATTAGCCGACATTTCGACCTGAAGTTCAGGCCATCATCAGGGCTAAGAAAAGAACCAGATGATAAGGTATGAGAAACATAAGTAGTGTAGGTAAAACAAATTATAGTAAAATTCAGTTGTTAGAATAATGACAATAGTAAGAACAAAGAGATAAATGATAATAAGCGGTACAAAGTGTGGAATGATGAAGTAAACATAATCAAAAAAGGTGACATAAGTATTAAAATTGGAATCTTAGAATAAAATGTAAAAACAGAAAAATATGAAGTTATATAAGAAATGGAAATAAACAGTAAAATTAAGATATTGTGAATAGAATAGTTAGATAGAAAATTGAGATGTTGTAAAGTCTATCAAGATGTATGGACAAGCTATAATATAATACAGAGTTAAAACAGAGCAGAGGGATGAAAGGAAGAAGGAAAGAAACTGACCACTGCAGTCAGGTTTGTTTTCTTTTTCTCTTTCTTATTTCAGCCATCTCAGTTTCTTTCCTCCTTCCTTTCATCCCTCTTCTCTGTTTTAACTCTGTATTATATTATACGTTGTCTGTACATCTTGATAGACTTTGCAACATCTCAATTTTCTATCTAACTATTCTATTCACAATATCTTAACTTTACTGTTTATTTCCATTTCTTATATAATTTCATATTTTTCTGTTTTTACATTTTATTCTAACATTCCCATTTTAATACTTATGTCAACTTTTTTTTCATTATGTTTACTTCATCATTCCATGCTTTGTACCGCTTATTATCATTTATCTCTTTGTTCTTACTATTGTCATTATTCTAACAACTGAATTTTACTATAATATTTTTTACCTACACTACTTATGTTTCTCATACCTTGTTATCTGGTTCTTTTCTTAGCCCTGATGATGGCCTGAACTTCAGGTCGAAACATCGGCTAATGTCAAAATAAATAGTATCATTTATTTTTGCCTTCTTATTTGACTGATCACCCCAACTATTCTTCTCTTCATTATTCACGACAATCGACCATTTACCAATTTTAAAAATATTTATTATTCATTGTTATAAACATAGTTTTTTCATCCTTGTCTTGATTGATTTAAGCCATTTCATTCAAGTGAATTTCAGCAGTCTAATATACTTCACTCTCAGTCTTTGCTGTGGTTCTAATCTCATTATCCAAGACGGATCCAGTCTTCATTCCAATTTTTTTTTTTCTAAAACCACGAACCTTGCAATTTCTGATATGCAGAGGGGGTATTGTTCTAGGGGTATAATCAACAATCCTATTTTAACCAGCGAGGGAAGGTCAAGATTTATTCCTTTGGTTTGCCAATATAAATTTCAACTCACACAGGCTGAATCCGAACCGTTGCTGCTATACTTGAGAATGTTATAGCTAGTAATGCCTCAACACTCTTCATTCCAAACTGTACAACATTTTGGGAGATTTTCTCGCACTCTTCTCTTTTTGTCAAGTACTGAAGCCTATTGCTTCTCCATTAACTCAGACTGTCATTTTTGTTCCAACTCTCTCTTGATTGATGATTTTATTAATGTATTTATGTTATTTATTTTAGTTGAAATTATGTTTAATGAAATAAAGTAAGGCTGTGTTATTTCACCATATTTATTTTCTTTATTTTACATTGGCTATGTTTTGGCTATGATACCATTTTCAAGCCATCTGCAAGACTCAATTGACAATTAGTTTCATACAAAACTACATTTAACATGGTATGATAGTGATGTTAGTCATCTCTTAAAAATTAACATTGTATAAATTATAACCTTAATTGGGTTGAGTGAAGATGTTAATTTGCAAATCAATTTAAGTAAAACAAAAGATAGAATGAGAATATTAGATAAATAAAGTTGCATATATTAAGGCAAGATTAATGTGACGCCAGCTCTTAGTGAATTTCAATATTCTTACTTGATTTAATAATACTCCTTATATATAGTCCATAATTGGATCATAGCCTCTATGGAAGTGTGGTTAGGAGGTTACATATTGTTATATTATTATTTCTGCTATGTACCCATTAAGGGATATTGCATAAACTATTAAAGATATTCTTTAATTAGAATTCCAATTTAGTAATGATATTTAGCCCTTTTGTGTTTACCTGAAAATTACACACTGCATCTAGTAATATATATATTGGTTTTAATACTTTCAATTTATAGCTGTTTGTTTCACTTGTTACTATTTCAGTATTATTGAAGTCAAAAGTATTTTTCTGTTGTGTGCTCTGTGTTGAAGATAGTTTGAAAATGGCATCAAAGCCGAAACATAACCAATGTAAAATAAAGAAAGTAAATATGGTGGAATAATACATCCCTACTGTATAGATTTTATTTTTTTTTTTTTTTGTGGTCGAGAAAAATCGGTTGTATTTTTTTTTTTATTGGGTTGACCTTATCTGATACCTTCATCAGCTAATAAATCAGTTTTTCATTGTCTGATAACCCATAATGTAACAGTTGTAAAAAAAAACTTCTGTTAGTAAGGGGATCTTTGTTATTTACACAAGTGAATTTTAATTTTAAAACAAAACCCCGGCTCTGGATAATCATTTTGAGGGTGTTTACTGCTGTTTGGAATTTGGGAATCTAATTCTTTTTTAACATTGAGTAGCAAAAAATAAAAAGAATATATACCAGCAAACCACATTTTAAATGAATTGATACACCTGATTGACACAAAGCTAATTTATTCTAACAAGCTGCAAATAATGAATCACTTAAAGGAGAGAGAATCACTTTATTATCATAAAATGGTGCTGCCCAATTACATTGGGTTGCTAAAAACACAGCATACTTATTAATCACTACAGACAATTTTTAAAATAATATATAATTATATAGGATTAACAATATGTATGAGCATAGTATACAATATTTTTATGTATATATATATATATATATATATATATATATATGTATATATATATATATATATATATATATGTATTATTATTATTGTTATTTTTTTTTGTATATCCTTTTTTTTTACATTTAATTTCCCTTTCTCTCACTTTTCTCTCTCTTTATCTATCTTTTTTTTTCCCCATTTTCCATTAAATAAATAAATTGGCTTGACCTTCCCCTTCTTAGCCTTCAGTAGAGTTGGATTCTCTCACGTCCTCACGACCTCTCGTCCTCACATCCCAGCTTCAAGTGTCGTCTTTCTCTTCTCCTCTCCAGCCTCTCTCTCCAGCTGCTTCCACCTGTGGACACTTTCCCAGACTTCTTCCTTTCTTGGTTCTTCTGCAGAATTGAGTCCAATTCATAGTGAACTCATTCTATCCCTATACATTTATTCACTTCCTCACTCAATGTCACGTTAGAGTAAGTAGAGACCATCTACTACACAGTACACACTTAAAAACAATACTTTTTTTCATTAGAAATATTGACTTGAGTCCTGACAGTGATTCAAGCTATTTATACGAATGAAAAGAGCAGAACATTTTGGTTAAGAGCACATAAAAACTTTTTTCCATAAAATTAATAACTTAAGCTCTTTTGACCAAATAACTGTAATATATGGCTTATAAAATTTCCTATTTCATTTTTTATTATTCTAATATTGGGATGATAGTTCATTATTTTGAAATAAACTATAATTATTAGTAGTTATTTTTTTAGTTTTGGCGTATGGTTACAGGTCAGCTAGGATTCTTAAATTGTTGGTTTTGAAAGATTTTATTTTAATAATTGGTTTATTTATCTCTTTTTTATTATTATTTTTGTTTTTAGGACATGATTACAAAGTATTAAGAAACACAACCCATAGGCCTTACGATGTTCATGTTTATCACCCATTAAGACAGCAGGCATATCCTAATCCTTGCGGAGGAGATAATGGTAAGTCATCAAATCTTGTAGCTGATAGTGATAATTTTAAAATTACTTGAAGAAATTTATTTCAATTACTAATTCCAATCTGATACAGGTGGCTGTTCTCACCTGTGCTTGCTGTCACCTGTGCCCGGAGTGGACGCTTCGCCTGATGGATACGGCGATGCTCAGAGCCCGGTAGACTTCAAATGTGCCTGCCCTAATCAGTTCATACTGGGTTCTGACCAGAAGACCTGCATAGCAAATTGTACCAACGGGCAGCATAGATGCGGAGGAAACGATGATAGGTGTATTCCCTGGTTCTGGAAGTAAGATATCGTTTTCTTAGTTATTTTTTTTAAATACAGTCAAATTTAATTATAGAAATTCTCTGTATATTGAATGTTACCTGATCTGATAAATTCAGTAGAATATTTTCTTGGATCGAGGTATGTGAGTGTCCGTATAGGGTAAGCGCACTTGTGATTCTCATAGCTAAGGAAATTTTTGTCTTTTTTGGCTTATGTCACCGTAATTATTATAGTTATAAACTTCTCCAATTGACGTTTAGAATATCTAGGGTCCCTTTCTTCTACTTAAAACTTTAAAATTGAAAAAATATTCAGTTATGCAGCTATGAACTCCATTTAAAAAAACAACTTTTTGTACTAATGATGGACATCACGAAATTCAATTGTTCTAATAATGGGCACACCTCACAAAAATTCTAAAATCTTTATTTTACAATAAAGATAAGGTAAATGTTCAACTTACTCTTAGTAGGAAAGTATGAAACACAACTGATCTCAAGAGTACTATGGGAATAACAATGATAGGCATTTTAAAATTTTCTTTTGAGAACTTTATTTTTACTAACAATAGCAATAGCAAATGCGCAACTTCCATCTGCCTTTATAAATATAATTTGTTACATGTTAATTAAATTTATATAATTTAATTTATTATAATAATTAATAATTTTTAAATTACAATAAATATTTTGTTTTTCTTTAATTTTGCGTCAACATAGAACTTTTAAAAAAATTTAAATTTTACTACATTGGAAATTGTTTATACTGTTCCATTGAACATGATATAAACAATTACTCTATATCAGCCAAGTTTAATTAGACAATTTTGTTTTCCAGTCCCCATCAGGAGATTTATTTCAACTTAATGTTCATACAAAATAAGTTAACTTTTATTATTCTTCATTTTGCTAATAATTTATTTATTTTTCTTAAATATAATGTTAACGCATATTGAAGTATTACTAATTTTTGACAAAGGATACAGAATTTATAAAACAATAAACACCTCCTCCAAACTTTATCAGAAGTATTAGATATCATTTTTATAAATATAGTTTCTTATTATTCTATATTAAAAAAAACAAAACAACTTGACTAATGAAATCGAAAAATCCTATCCATACTACAGAATTTATTTGCATATTTACTTAAACACCTTTGTAAATTGTTAGGGAAATTGACATCTAAGAATATAAAAACTCTGTCTAGTAGTCGGAGTTCTCACTGAGAAATTTAAATCATCAAATTTAAAAATTGGTCAAGCCATTCACTCATTGCATACCTAAGTCATTGCATACCTTTTAATGGACAAATTAAATAAATTTTATACAAAAACTTTTTGGTGTTTTCAGCCCACTCAGGAATTGGATACATAATTAAGGCCATCAAACTTAAAAATCAGTCCAGTCATTTGCTAGAAAAATTGTTTTACACCTTTTAGCAGATAATATATACCTTTTAGATTTTTCCCAAAAATTTGAATGTGATTCTCATTTAACTGTATCTTAAATGTACGATAGATTTCAGGCTATAAAATGTTTATAGTATATTATTTATTATATTTATAATGTATAGGCATTTTATTTTTATATGGTCAATGTTATACAAGTAATAATGAATCTATTTAAAAAAATAAATACAAAAAATGATTTTATATTTAACAAAGCATTTTCTCTCTAGATGTGACGGAGAAAAGGATTGTAAAGACGGTTCTGATGAACCAGCGGAATGTCCAAAACGAACTTGCAGAGCAGGAATGTATCAATGTGATAACGGCATCTGTACCGCATCAGCAACAATTTGTGATGGAAACAATGATTGCTCGGATTGGTCTGATGAAAAGTACTGCAATTTGACTTGTCCTGATTTAGAATTTAAATGTCGATCAAATGGAAGATGTATCCTCAATGCTTGGGTATGCGATGGAGACCCAGACTGTAAAGATGCTTCAGATGAAGACCCTGCCCACTGTCGTAAGTATTTACATATTACAAAAGCTGTGTCAAGAGGAACAATCGAATCTGGTTACATGCCCTCTCTTACTCGAGTTGAAAGAATTCAAGTAAACAGATTATTAAGGTGATAGTTATTGAGAGGGTGTGCCTATGCGATTTTCTGCTAGGAGTTATTGAAACAAGCCATTATAATTTTTTTATTTATAATTATAATAATCTATCACGTGGACAATAATTATAGTGATATATGAACACATCCACACCATATATACAGAAAACATAAAATTAACAAAAGTAAAATAATAATCAAAAACTATGTACAATAAAAAATAAAATAACCTATAGATAAGTAAATTAAAAACATAAAAACACAGTCATACCTATATACAATCAGGCAGGGAACCTCAAGCCAGGCTTCTCCCTCAAACTATAGAAAGCAAAGTAGAACTCCAAGAGATCCCTGTGCTACTCTCTCAACCATATCACTGGTGCTAAAGACAGTGGAGTTTGAGCATGTATAAATTAACTAAATTATGTAATAAATTAAATATTTATTCATATTTATGAATTTGTTATCGCTGTAATGAAAAAATGTTTTTATTATATTTAACTTAAATTTTTTTTCAATGTATCCGGGCTGACACTTACCATTGATGGCTCACACATTGGGCGCCATATATCACCAGTGGCTTACATTTTATTGTGCCATCAGGCGGTACATAACAATAAAAATTTAGATTGTTAAGTAACTAAAAAAATTGCCATATAGAGAAAACAAAATATATTCGTTGAAAGCATTTATTTATAATAACAATTATAATTAATAACCTGTATAAACATAGTTTTACTTCTCAAAAATTAACATAACTTTTGTTCAATATTATAAATATAACTTAAATAAATTTTTGCCTACATGAGTGTTTTAAATTTAAATATTACTACAAAACTGCAATATCTTTTTATATATGACTATAATTTATAATGAATGAAAATACCTCTATGAAAGTGGAAATTAACCTATATGAAACAGAAAGTTGTTCCATTTTTGGATTAATGTTATGCCTGATGGTACCATAATTTTGAGTTTTAGATTAAAAGATAAGTTTCAATATTTTTCTAATGTAGGATCATAACTTGAAAAAAAATTATGATCCTATAGAATACTACTTTCTACCTCTTTTGATGTAGATGGCTTGGAATCCTTTTAAGACAAAGTAAATATTATTATTATTAATTTGTTCAACAGTCCCTTTACTGAACCTAGGCCTCAGAAAAAAGCTTCTGCCAGGCTTTCTTATCAGCAGCTATTCTTCTCCATCTTCTTATACCCATATGGCTGAGGTATTCTTCTATGTCATTGATCCATCACAGTCGGGGTCTTCTCCTAAGACGTGCTCCTCCTGGGCAGTTATAGAGAAGTTTCCTAGGCAACCTATCCGCCCCCATTCTTCCTACATCTGAGGTGGCACCTTTTGATATTGACTAAAATATTTTCATTATTATACACCTCATAGAGCTTGTCATTTTTTCGTGTTTATCATTGGTCATTTATTTTCTTCAGACCATGTATTTTCCTTAGGACTTTTCTCTCCCAAATTGTGAGCAACCTCTCGCTTCCCTGCATCAAAACCTATGTTTCACACCCATAGGTAACGACTGGCCTTATAATTGTTTTATAAATTATTACTTTATTACTCCAGCTCAGTTCCTTGGATTTTATTATAACTCCGAGGTATTGAAATTCTATTCCCATTGGAAAAAGGTGCTGATTAATTTGTAAACATTCACACATAACAAAGTAAATATAAAAAATTAAAATCGATAGGTACTGAATATTGAATTAAGAAAACTGTTTTTACCACAGAATTTTTAAAACGGGTTTGTTTGTGTCTGCCCTAAAAATAAATGGAAATTTTATTGTGCTTCATATTATTTACACATTTTCAAGAATTTTCCTGTTATAATAAAGAATTATTTATAAATAAATGTATAATTATTTATGATTTATGCATATTTAATTATATGTACTTATTTGGCCAACTAATCAGCTGAACTTTATGTTTAATTGAATTCTCTCGACTTGAAGGACAGAATATAATTATGGTTGTTTTGAAGTTATTATTAAATTCCTCTCAAACATTACTTTTATCATCAAGTTTTTTTTTTTTTTTTTGTGTATATTTAAGCTAAATTTGTTATTTTTATACCAATTTTCAGATACTAGAAAATGTGATAATGATACAGAGTTCACTTGTAAAAATGGTAGATGTATTCCTAAGTTATGGACCTGTGATTTCGACAATGACTGTGGTGATGATTCTGATGAGCCCGCTTATATCTGCAGGTGAATAATTTACACTTTAATTTTTTTTTTTTTTAATAAAACTAATTCCTCAACTTTAATTTATATCCCAATGTGGTTTTTCTAGTAATCATTAATTTCTTTTTTTTTAATTTTACCATTTCAGACAAAAGAATTGCACTGATGGATGGCAACGTTGTCCTGGTCGAAGCAGTTACCGGTGTATTCCAAAATGGCTTCTCTGTGACGGAAAAGATGATTGCCGTGACAACAGTGACGAAGATCCTGCCAACTGTCTTAAGTGTAACACAACTACTGATTTCCAATGTGCTAACAGTCGTTGTATACCTAAGTGAGTGATTTCATCACATTACATTGTATAATTTACTTAACTTATAATACAATTAAATAATATAACTTATTGCTTGTTAGGCGTTGGATGTGCGATTTTGAAAATGACTGCGGAGACAACTCTGATGAAACCGAAGCATTGTGCAAAGGTTCTTATAGGCCTTGCTCTGAATCTGAATTCAAGTGCGCCAACGGCCGTTGCATACCTCAGCATTACAGGTGCGATCATGATGACGACTGTGTTGACGGCTCCGATGAAGTGGGTTGCTCTAACTTCCAATGCAAGGTACAGAAAAAAGAATATTCTCTCTTTAGCCAACCTAATTGTTTTCACCTAAATTGGATAATGTTTATAACCCAGTAAATTCCATCGTTACAGCCAATCTTCATTATAAAATCTCAGGCTGTCTATTAAGGCGGTAGTGGCCCATAATATACAATCTAAAGAAATCCAAAATTGATTTAAAATGTACTTTTTTGACGAAAAAATCTATATTATTTACTATATACGAATAGTGGAATGAGAAAACCTCATAAGTACAAAAAACTCAGAAATCTGTTAATAATTACTATCTTCGTAAATCCGCCATTCAGATTCAACATTTTACCACAAGGTGATTAATAATAATAATAATAATTATAATAATAATGCTTTATTTATTCTGGGACGAGTCCCTTTAGAATAATACAGAGAGACAAAAATGTGGGCTAAGGAGCCTCAGAGATATATAAAGAAGAATATAGTTTGATTAAATAGTCAAAAAAAAAAAAAAAAAGATAAATGAAAAAAAATAATAAGAGAAATTATAAGTTACTTTCTAATTTACATCAGTTAATAATAAAAAGTAAAAAATTGAAAATAAACTTGAAGTAAAAAAAATAAAGAACGATCTAATAATTTATATACATATTTACAGTAGTAACTATTTACAATTTTATGATGACTGGATGGATAAGAAATGATTAAACAGGTGGGATTTAAAGATTAATGATGATTAAATGAACAAAAATGTGATTTTTCACATTTGTTACTGTAACATGGTGCTGATAATATTTCTTGTGTAATTGTAACTTTGAAAAAAAGTTGATGGTCTCAGCAAAACTCAAAATTAAAGAGAACCATTATGCAGGGTTTATTCAATGCCCTCTCAGTCATGATTTTCTGTTTTGTTTTTTTCACTTGATTCAATGTTAAATTGAAACAGTTTACTATTGTAGTGATTGAAGCATCACTACACGATTTTTTTATTGTTATGATGACATCTAAGACATTTTTTTAGTTTGTTGTTTTCTTCTCCTGTGAAATGTTTCAGAATATTTTCATAACTTGCTGCTTTTCTTTGAAGTAATTGATTTCAGATTTTGAATTATACCCTGCTCCATTTCTTTTAACGATCAAGTTGTATTTGGTGGTAAATATGTAACTATAATGAATTTGAAATCATCCAGAAATGTAATGGAGTGATACCCAGGTAATTGATTTCCTTGAAAAGTTGTGTTACACAAATGATTTAGGAGTTCTGATAGGCAACTATCACTATACCCGATCAATTCCTAAGAAAATTCTTAAGATATTGAGTTATTATGTCCCATTATAGACTATAAACTATTTTTTATTCTATATGTCTAGCAATCCATTTTATAATTTTTCTTTTTAATTATTTTAAAAAATGTTAACAGAAAGGGGTATAATTCATTCAATATCTTCTCTGATTTTATTTCTGAGGACTTACCAATAAGAGTAACCAAATTATGAATTGTTTTTTTAGATTAATCTTTGTTATTCGTCAGTAATAAAATTTCATTGAGAGTATTAAAATATTTATTAATTTTATTTTTATTTCAGAACGGAACGTTCCAATGTGCCAGTGGCCACTGCATCGCTTCCTATTTCCGTTGTGATGGAGATATTGATTGCCGTGATATGAGTGATGAAATGGGATGTCCACCTCTTCCGAACGGGCGATACTGCAGAGAAACCATGTTTGAATGTGACAACCATATTTGTATATCTCACCAAGACAAGTGCGACGGAATGGACGACTGTGGTGATAAATCAGATGAATCTCCAGAACTTTGTGGTAAGTTTGTGATTTTATGCAAAAAAAAAATGCAACATTTTTCTCTTTGTCATTTTTAATCCACAACTTACATTTTGTCATAATCTGAATTTTTTTGTTCTGTAAAATTAAATTTTTTACCAGATGATGTTCATTTTCAAAGTCACACTTTTTCACATCTCATTTTTTATAATGGATATTTGTTTAATAAATAAAAATAAATTATAATATTATATTACATATCTTGAATTATTACATAAAATGTACAGTTATTTACCTTTTATCTTTTAAAATATATGTTTTATAGCTCATGTCCAATCTTGCTTCGGCCGAGGACGTTATCAATGTGAAAACGGTCGATGTATTACATTCGACGTCATGTGTGATGGTCATGATGACTGTGGGGATGCTTCTGATGAGAACAATCATTCCTTATGTTATTCACCACCTCGCCGACCCCATTGCACACCTCAAGAGTTTGCTTGTGACAACGGTAAATGTATTCCTGAAGATAATGTTTGTGACTATTCTGATACGTGCGGTGACAATTCAGATGAGATCGGCTGCCGTTAGTATTGTTTTTATAATTGAATATACATATAATTTTTGTATAATTTTTAATTTTTTTTGTTATTTTGCATTGTTTAGATCATGGAAGTTTGTGTCCTGGTGACGGAACAATGGGTGGTTGTGAACAATCCTGTAGAAACCTGACCAAGCAAGCATTTATCTGTGGTTGCCATCGGGGATATTCCATTGATCCAGACAATAGGAAGAAGTGCATAGGTAGCTAAAGTTAAAAATGATTGAATTGATGATCAATTTTACAGTTGGATTCATTTTATTATATTATTACAGATGTTGATGAATGTGCAAATGGAGCCCACCAATGTTCTCATAAGTGTACCAACTTAAACGGCACCTATGCTTGTTCTTGCAGTCCTGGTTTCTCGCTATTGGATACTATTAGTGGTGTTTGTAAAGCTGATGATCCTAAGGTACTTGATTTTTTTCAATTGAAATTTTTTTTTTTTAATTTTACTATGATTTAATGAGAAGTTAAGAGCCAGTTAACAAAATATATTGATGACTAGTGTTTTTTTTAAAATACATATCTAGGATCAATGGATGGGAGTATCTATTTATTTATTTTTTTTTTTTTACTGTTTTATGTTTATATTTAAATTTACTACAATCTATTTTTCAACAGGTTTCTGTCATATTCTCGAATGGAGAGGAGATTAAATCATATCAAGCACATATGCGACACGAAGTAGATGTAATTCGCAATGAAAAACGCATTGAAGCTCTCGATTACAATCTCAAAACTGAAATGATATTTTGGGTTGACAGTTACGAAAAGAAGATTAAAAGAAGTTATATGATAGACGCTTTGGAAGGACGTGTTAAAGTTGGATTCGCTCAAGATCTAACTGTCAAAGGTTTGAATTTTTCTTATAATTTCAGTTATAAAGCATGAAAACTTTTCTCTTTCGTATATGTCAATCTATTCATCTGTCTAACATTTCGAACTCTTTGTCCATCTACAGAGACTTTTGTTTTTCCTTTATCTCCTGTTCTTCTAATGTATGTTATTAACATTTGTCCTTTTTTTTCCTATTCTATTTAACAATCTTATACCATACTTATTGAATTTTCATCATCACACAGATGTGATGTTGGCGCCCAAGTAAGGAATTAATGTAAAGTTTTATACTTGGCACCTGAACAAACACTAATTTCAGGTAGTTTTGATTTTAATCAATAATAATAATAATTATTATTAATAAATCAAATTGTTGTTATTCTAAATCAGAACTGCTGGAAATTAGTAAAATTATTATATTTATCACCCAAACAGATACCTAATAAAATAGATAAATATTTACTTGGTATTTTTATTGTATTTATTGTATTGGTATTTACTGTATTGGTATTTATTAGGTATTTTACTTGTTTCAACTTTTGAATCTTCAACTCTAATATTTTAGCCTTTAAACCACTATCAAGAAATATTCTTAAATATTTTATCTTGGGCTGAAATTTTTATCATTTTATTCTTTTTAATAAGAGTACCATTCAAATCTCCTTAAAGGCTAAAATGCCTAAGTTATACAACTTGTTTACAACATGTTTAATGTGGGGAGGTTTTATATTAAATATGTTGTAAAAAAGTTAAAAGGGCTTAGGCACATGAACCTGGAAGTAGATTTGGACATTTTTTTTAGAATGAAATTATAAATATTTTAGCACCAAAGAATCATATTGAAGACTTTTCATTCATGATAAACTATTGACTGAAACATTGGAGTTGAGTAGAAAATATAGAAGTTGAGATTAGCAAGGTTGAGAAATATTGTATTTCAAATTAGAATTTATTTTGTTAATACATTGAAATTTATTGTTTTAGGTAATGCCAAACCAACAAGCATTGCAGTAGATTGGGTCGGTGGAAATCTATATTGGGCCGAGACAGACCGATCTGGTACTAAGCCTAAAGGGCGCATAGTTGTAACAAAACAAGATGGCCGATACAGGCGCTCCTTAATAGACAGCAGTAAGTTGAGACAAATCAATTTTAAAAAGCAAAGATAATTAATTTAAATCAAACAGTATTATTAATGTTATTAACATTCTATATGAAGATTTTCCTTTTTTAATTCAGTTAATTATAATTTATTTTTATTGCTATTTATTTTTTCAGACCTAGAATATCCAACATCAATAGCAGTTGATCCACAATACGGTCTAATGTTTTGGTCAGATGCAGGAGATGATCCAAAAATAGAAGCTGCTTACCTAGATGGCTCTAGGAGAAGAGCTTTGGTTACAGAAGGAATACGTCACCCAGCCGGTCTCACCATTGATTATGCAAGCGACAATCACCCAATTTATTGGGTCGATACTAAAATGAATTTGATTGAAACGGTTCATCAAGACGGAACCAAACGAGAAATTATTCTCAAAGGAGGTATGTTTATTTTTATTAGACTGCAGTTTTATTTTTTTCATAAAAGTACAGTAACCAAAACAAATATTATAGTACATGTTTATTACTTATACTTTGTTTGTATAAGTCAGTGAGAAAAATATGACTTTATTTTTTAAATAATGTTCCCTTCACAAAAATACTAATGTGATAATAACACTGTGTACTTTATATTTTTTTGCTTTAATAATTAAAGTCGAAATTTACCAAAACATACTTGGAAGTTTAGCTCCATCAAAAATGCACTTAGTAATAACTTTTTGCAATAAAATGATGGTATAAATATTCCAACCTTTTTTTAATACACATCTTACCTTTTTCAAATGGACATACAATTTTTTATTTATCATTTAATCTGTATTTTTGAAATAGATTTTTTACTAAAACGATGTTGGATACATATAGTCCTTGGTACAGACCCCTTTTTATCAAATTATTAATATTCGCCTGAAACTTCGTAAATAATTTCATCTCATCGTAACTTACAACTATTTTATTTATGAAAACTCTTGGAATTGGGGCGTTTTCAATCTGGAGGGAGACAAACTTTGTCTATTTAATTAGCTAATAAAATCTCGTAAATACCAATTTGCTTTCTACTTGGATCATAAGATAATTTGATCACAGAGTCAAGAAAAAAAGTTTCCTACAAAAATATTGGGCAATTTCTCCTATTTAACCTCGTTATTTTTAAAATTTGGGGGTGTAGGTCACGTCAAATGTCTCAATATTTTTGAAAGCTACCTTTTTTCTCGATATTCTGCTCAAACTCTCTTATAATTGAAGTGGAAAGCAAATGGGCATTTACAAGTTTTTAGTACCTAATTAAATAGACAAAGTTTGCCGATCTGCAGGTTGAAAATGCTCCAATTCCAAGCGCTTTTGTAAATAAAATAGTTGTAGGTTACAATGAAATGAAACTATTTAGGAAGTTTCAAGCGGATTTTAATAATTTGATAAAAAGGGGTCTGTACCGCGGGCTAATACCTACTGGAAATATGAATGTTTTACACATATATATGTATTTTAAAATCCATTGTATGTATTTTTAAATTCCTACTACTCTGAATTTAAAAATATATACTACTCTTTTAAGTTATCTGAAATGGCTCTTGCAATTATTAGTTCAGATTACAGAAACTGTGCAGTTATCTTGATCAATTTCTGTTCTGAAGTAAACAGTAAATGAAAATGACATTTGCTATTAATCTTAAATAATTTTTTTGAATTATCAAATCTCTCAAATAATCCTATTATTTTGGACTGCTTTCATTTTTAACCAAACTATATTTTTTAAATTGAATTTATAGTTTTATTTTGATAACCCAACAAATATAGGACCAACAAGTTGCCATATTATAAATTATTCCCGACTTCTGAGTGTTCCATTTAAAAAAAGCAAAATATGGAAGTAAGGACAAAATAATGCAGGGTTAAATTTGTTTTCTTAATTATTTGATTAAAAAAAATAATAATAACAAACAAATACTAGAAATATATAACTAGAAACAGTGAACATTTGGTAGGAAAACAACGCCCTAAAAGCCCTACCTTCCACATCTCCCATTATGACCAATCCAAATGTTTATCACAAGCTTTTCGGATTAACGAATTGTTGGACTATTGAGATTGTACTGTATTTTTTTATACTTCGAATTGTTATTTGCATTACATCTTATTTTATATATATTTTTTGTTTTGTTTATTATCTAGATGCCCTAAAACATCCATTATCCTTGGATGTTTTCGAAAATAATCTATACTGGGTCGCCAAAGATTCTGGAGAGCTTATAAAACAGGACAAATTTGGTAGAGGAATACCAGTATCACTTGCCAAAAATCTAGTTAATCCAACCGATGTTAAAGGTAAGCACAAAATTTTGACCATAGCTATTTTAAACACTTTGAAGGTACTTAATCTTTACTTTTTTTTTCCTTCCCGTCCTTGCCTTTTAGAGTATACAGGATTTTCCCAGGTGGGGGACTAATGCTATAGAGTTAAAAGCCCCTCCAGTACTAGGTACTTGTAATTATTTTATCATATTATCTTCCATCAGGTTGCCAGGCAACGCACGTTGCTATGCACATGTGTTAGCCCGCATGGCCATTCTGCTCCCAAATAATAATATATGAAGTTTCTGAAATTTAAAAAAACTTCAAACAAAATCTCAGACAAATGTCCAGTTTCAAATACTTCTCTCTTTTATTTTTATCTTTCCAAATTATCTCACCCTCTGGAAATATTCTCAATCTATATATTTTTTAAAGTAATTATAAACTTATCTCTTTACTTTTGGATTTTTCTTAATCTATAACTTTCCATAATTTTCATCATAAACTATTGTTGCTTGTTTCAATTCATTCTATTAACTTGATTAATTTTTTTATCAAATTGATAGAGAGGCGGTATCACACTGTGGCCTGTTTTTCTGCTTTGGTCTGCAATTCAGTGAGCTCACTTTTTTTTTTCTGTCTCACTGATCTCTCATTTTCTAAATGAAATTTCTCCGAGTTAATTTAGATGTAGATCTTTTATCTTTATTTTTATATTCTCCCCTTTCTTGCCATCTGGCAACACGGGAATCAGGAAACGTGGGATCACTGATTTCATTGAAATTTATTTTGGTGATACTACGTTGAAAAATATTAGACACATATCGGAAGATTCTTTTCAATATGCCCTAGGAGCCTTTGACAGAAAATTGTGTACTTACATGGGAAAAAAAATCATGTAAATTTGAGCACATTTCAAATAATAAAAAAAAAAAAATTATATTTAACTAAAACTTTAAAAAATCGTGCATTTTAGAGGCGTCGTGGAGACTGAAGATGTGGCCTTATTCCACCATGATGTAACATACTCTGCTGCCAAACAAGATCCTATCAAACATCTCTTATTGCTGTCCTTATTTATTAATAATAAAAAGCTATGAAGCTAATAAAATATGTTTTAAACTAAATATTTTTATTCAGAAACAATAGAGTGAGAAAAAAAATGGCAAAATATTTCTTGGATAAAATTTTTAAAGCTGGCAACACTATTTTTACCTAAAAGGTGTATAAATATCCAACAGTATGAGCTAGGCGCTGACATGGTATGACTTAGCGAGTCTCTATTCCTCATGACATAGTTCCGTCCGTCTCTTACTTTTTTAAAACACTAATTATCTTTGCAAATATGGATCAGATAAATTCGGGACTTTTTGTGTTTTTATTGTTATAACTTAAGATTTACTGAAGAATAAAATGAATTTGAAATTCATAGAAGTACTCTAAAAATGATCATTCTGTATTATTTATAGAATGTATCTCTGCAAAATAAAAAGTTTTAATTGCACCATGATTGCTTTAGTAAATTTTATCAATGTGCAATATTCCATTATAATTCAATCATTATTTATTGTTTAATTTCAGTTTATCACAAAGCAAAATACAATTTGAGTATCCCTAACCCATGCGAGAAAAAGCCATGTGATCATCTTTGCCTGCTACGGCCTCGTGGAGATTATTTGTGTACTTGTCCTGACAACACGAAAATGATACAATCTGAAACGGAAACAATATGCGATTCAGGTAACTGTTTCAATTTATCTAAATATATATATATTGTTTTAAACTGTTCAGAGTTTTAATGCTTCTTAATTTAATTTTAGCTACTGAAGAGCCTCTTCCATTACCAAGAGTGTGCCATTGTCAGAACGGTGGTCTATGTCAGGAAGATGATACAGGAGGCTTGATTTGTTCATGTCCTAACGAATTCACCGGTAGTGCTTGTGAAGTTTACGTACAAATGGTCCGTACGTCAGGTCCTTCGATTGCACTAATAGTTCCTCTCATAGTACTGCTGGTCTTGGCATCTGCTGGTGCAATTTACTACGTGGTTAGGAAACGGCCTTTGTAAGTATAATCTATAAAACATTTATTTTAGAATTTTAATATCATTAAGAAAAGTCTATAGTCTCAATGATAAGACCAAACCACATAGTGGAGTGGCATTGCAAACATTGAGTTAAAGGAAGATAGCAAAGAATGTGACAAGAAATAATTTAGAATAAAAGTAACCTAAATATAATACTTATATTTGTCTGTGGAGTTGAGTTTATCTGCAATAAGATCATAACTCTAGATAATGTGATGTATCTTTCATCTATACTCTCTACTTTACTACTCTGCTTAATAATATAAAAAACAAAGTCTCAAAATAATTAAAGTTTAGTTTAAACAATCTCACAAGCGATTGCCATTATCTCTTGCTGCATATTTTGACTGCGGTTGTTAAGCTTCTGTACCTACTACATCTTGTAATATTACTAGGTGTGTAAAAATGAAACTGGATTCATCAATAGATAGCTTTAGCTGTTTATGACGTTACCATTAAACCATATTATTGGCACCATTTTGTTGCTTTGCCATCTGGCAAAAATTTGAACACACAAAAATACAAGTTTCATATAACTACATCATTTTAACGATGTTGAACATGGCAAGTTTTTTGCCGACATAGTATTTGCGAACATTATTACTTTTCTGTTACTATTTAAAGAAAACTGCTGCAGAATCGCATCGAACGCTTGTCGAAGCTTGTATTGAGCATACTCTTGGTATCATAGTGCTTTGAGTGATTTTTATATGAAAAGAAGAAACAGAGACGAGGACTGAAAAATTATGTGATTTATTACTTCTTCTTTTTCAATATCACTAAAACCCATCCAAGTGTCCTTGAATAGATCGTCAGGAATTCTAGCTAGATCTCCTGTACCATTTGAGCCTTTCAAGCTTGATGACTTAGATGTTTGGCTCACGACGTAGGTCATGGAACTCCTGGTTGTTTTTCAGCCTCTATACATTGTTTTCATATACACCACCGCAAATTTGGCATAACACTTTCTGTTCAAACGTGAGGAGAAGTTGATCTTCGGTCCTAGTTGCGTTCTATGTCTCCAAGCCATAACAAAGTATAGGACGAATGAGAGTCCTATAAATGATAAGTTTTATTCATCAAAGTAATAGCAATTAGCAGCCAATATTCTTCTCTTAATCTCCACTGGAGCAGCCTTTTTGATTGGTCAAAGCTAGGCTAACACTGAGGCCTGCTCAAATCTATCTACTATGATATTGATTTATTATGAGCTGATAAGACCTGGTAAAAACCATTAATAACTGAACCCTTTCAGCAAGAAATGATTGATTTGATTTGACTATTGTGTGAAAAACAACAACAATATAAAAAAAAACAACACTAAGTGATTTTGCTTCATGATAAGAACCATCATGCAAAGCAAAACCAGTGAAGGAAATGGTTGAGACACTCGGTGAGAAATATTACGATATGCGACTTACTCCGCCTGATTACTTCTTATTTGTATCAATGGAGGCATAAACCTGCTCGATAGTGCTTCACTTCTTAAGAACATGGCTTGATACTGAAAAATGTATAGCTAGCGATGGATAATGTTTAGAATAAAATATTGTATAATATTAATATTATTATACAATAAACTTGTATTTTCTATACGACAATTCCAGTTACATATTTATATAAATGATATGGAAAATATTATTTTACCTTAAGTCTAATTTTATACAAACAAAATAAACTCTTTTAATCTTTAACAGTTTTTATTGCTTCATATAATATGGAGTCCATTAATTTTTTCTTTCAATTTTTAGTGGAAAAGGACCAGTTTTGAGTAGTTTAACGAATTCGCAGAGTGTTTCTTTCAGACAAGGAACAAATGTAGAATTTGGATCTCCTGCATTCAGTAGTAATGGTCCATCAATACCGGTAAGAACTATTGATTGTTAATTTATTTGTTTTTACCTCATTTTAAAATGAATTTTAATTGTATAATTTCAAAACTGTAATGGAAGTATAATATTAAAGTGATATGTAGTGTATACACATACACACACACACACATATATATATATATATATATATATATAAGCAGATTATATACTGTCTGTTATTTCTCTACCATTATGAAATAGATTTTTAATTTATTATAATGTTCAATAACTCTTCTATAGAAATTTTGTAAAAAAAAATTAATTAAATTTTATTTTTTACAGGATGCAATAGATGTTGAATATAACCTGTCCGATATCAGCGGTAAGAATAGAGACTTCAGTAACCCGATGTATGATGCTCTTGGGAACCTAGAGGCCTCTCCCGCTGAAACCAACGGGACTGGGGGCCTATATGACGTGAGTTACCGTTCGTTTTTCTTTCAGCTATAGCTTCATTAAACTTGTTCTTTTAACGAGTGAGATAAATATTTATATATTTATAAGCTCTCAAGAGTGTTTGTGTGTGAGTATACTATGATGTTGTGAAATATAAAGTAAAATAACATAAATTTGTTAGGATGGCGATCAAAAATGAACATATATTATATAACTACTTGGCTTGTGCAAATAATATGTATAATATATTGTTCAGTGAACAAATGGTAGCATATACGGATAAAAGTATATGAAAGAAAGGAATTAATTTTTATCCAATAAATGTTCATTGTTGAAAATAATATACCAAAATTCAAATTCAAAATCCAAAGGACTATCTATACCGACAATAGTCCAATTTCAATCATTTTTTTTGTTCACTTTTGTAGAGAATTTAAAAACCTTTCAGATTATTATAGCCAAAAAAAAAATTATCTTTTAGAAACAATATATAAGGATTTTAACATATTTAATTATGTTTTGTACCCTTTTCCATTTTGTGGATGTTACATGTGTACAACTTTATTCGTCAGTTTGTATTTCTCATTTTCCTTGTTATCACCTGTGACCAAATACATCTTTACCATTAAAAAACTTAAATGCTGACATTTTTGCATAAGCTATATACCTTCTTCTAGGCTAATAAAGCTTTGGTATAAGAAACAGTCTCTCATAACAACGACTGGAAAAGAAATATCAGCATTTACTAAATAGTTTTATAATATTTTTTACTTTAAATTTGACCATAACCATCTCATCCTAAATTGAATTTTAAGAAACATTATACTTGTTTTGATAAAAGGCATTATTTCTATTGAAACTTAATTAGAGGTTTTACAGAATTTGCTGTGTAAAAGATTTAAACTAAAGACCAAGTTAAACATTTTATGTCTTGTATTTTTATAATATCCTCAAAATTTCAATTAATTCTTGAATATTAATCTTTTTTTCAGGATATGAAGACTGGAAGGGCAGTTATAGAGCCATCCTCAGCTGTTTTAGCGCCCTCAGTAGTAATGAGTAAGTCTCCTGGCAAGGGACGAGGTCGACACCGAGACCTGGATCCTTCCGCAGACACAGGAAAAGATACCCAGAAATTGGTAGAAGAAGACAAGTCAGACTGTTGACACAAGAAAGCTGCATAAAGAGGTCATTCGCGCCTCGAATGTGCACCATGCGCTGTGATATATTTACACCGTGCACAACCACAGACAGTCTTAGAGAAGACATATCATTTTTATGAATATGAAAACAAAGAAGTCTAAATACAAAAAAAACGTTTAAAATGATTCGAATATTACCTAGTATTGTAAATACTGGAGCATACAAATGAAGGACTCGAAATGAACCTTGAAAATATGTAAATTTATTATTATATTTTTTTTTTTAATTTAGGAAATGTAATTGTCGCAATGATCTGTAAGATTTCATAACAGAAACACAATGAATGTGAGCAAATTCCGTATATACATATATATATGTTTCAAATGTATGTATGTATATATATTTTGTATAGTATCTGGTGCTCTTTTAATTATAAGTTGTACAAAATGAGATGAATGGGGCTCCAAATAATTTCAAGGCACTTATCCGTCCAGGCTTGAATATTATTTTTAACTTTCCTTTGTTCCTACTTTGAATAACATTCCCTTCGTTGTGTATTATACTTGTTATCTGTTCACTGTGTTATGTTGTTTTCAGTTAAAACTTGAAAGTGCTTGTAATTTTTATAGGAATTATATTTTTCTTAGATACAATTTCCTACAGATAAAAAAAAAATGGAAGAGTGATTTTTCAATAAAGGAGACGATATTCTTTATTCCGAGTCGATATTCCAAAAAAAAAATAAATAAATGTTATTTTTATATGATGTTTAGGTTCTGGTGTGGAGCTGACATTTTGTAAGGAGGCCCAAATCAGTGTTTTTATATTTGTGAGAAAAAAAAGATAAAGTCTAGTGTACAGTATAATATAGTTATTTTAATGTATATATGTTTTTGTGATTTATTTTATTAATCCCTTTCCTTAATTTAAAACTCTATAAAAGTAGATATACACGATGAGTTGGAAAGAGTAGGCCAAACTCCTGGAGCTGTTACACGAAGAAAAAAAAAAAAAAAAAAATGTTCTCATATGTTCTTATCCAATCATCATTGAGAGACTAATCTGAAAATGTTTTTAAGTCATTGGTGGTATTTTCGAACATTTATTAAAATAACACTTAAAAATAATATTTGGTTTATATTTAATATTTATGCTATTTTACTTACATAATATAATATATATATATATATATATATATATATATATATATATTCTTTTTTTTTTAAATTGCTCCTCACGGTGATCAACATTTCTAAGATATACAACTTGCAAATTAAAGTATTAATTGTCTTCCGTTTTCGGAAATCAAACAAGTTAGGTTTTCTCAGATTTAGGTAAACATTACAATATTTTTATTTATGTGAAAAATCATATAACTGAGATGTGGTTTTATTATTAAATTTTTTGCCTTTAATTAATTCGATTTAATAATTATTAAATTATTTTTTGTCTGATTATTATTATTTTCTCTGAAAATAATAAACTTGCACCTTATCAAAGGTCAGCGGAAAGGTGGAATTTTATATCTGGGCAAGTTCCAAAATAACTATGATTCCATTATTTTAACAGTATAATAATAACCGTTATAAATAAAATAGTATAAATCATAAATAGTTTTTTTTCATGTTCCTTGCACCCCCAAGGTCAGAGCTGTGATAAAAAATCCTGATGATGTTTTTAATTATTATAAATAACGGATAATTGATAACAAACAGATGATTGACATCATCTATTGAATAACATATTACTCAATTATAAAAGTCTGATGTGAATGTGCATCACACAACTTTTACTTAGAAATCTAACTAAATTTCTATGCAAGAGGATCAGTAAATATTTAATTATTTAAATCTATTATTGTGGCTAAAGTTATTACCTTATGTTTATGAAAATGAAAATGTTTAAGAGATATTTTGAGCAGCATATTTTAATGCTTCACTCTCAGAAGTATTATTTAAACATTTTCAGAATGATAATTTGAAGCATTTTGGCTTCTTGAGCTTGAATTATTGCAAAAGTTTTCATCTAAAAAATTGGTTTCCATTAAATAATATTAGTTTACAGAAATGATTACCTTCTATGATTTCATATATCGAAAGAGAAAAATCTCAAGCCTTTGTTTGTTTTCTTTTGTTTTCTATCTGAAAGATGTTTCTCTTTTTTTTTTCCTGTTGTTGATTGACAAATTCTTTTGTACTTTATTTTTAGTTATTATTACTAACAACAAGAGACTGTTAATTATTTCAAATCAATTATTTTAATCACCATATTCAAGATACTTACTTCAAAGGAAGCCATTTAGAAAATTTGTTCTTTAAAGGTGTATTTCGACATTTCAGAAACTATAGGAAACACAATTATCTAACTTAACAAACAGCGGCATTATTGATAATTCAAATTATTTATTTTATTTGTTTTGATACCGACATCAGATGAAAAATATCAAAAACCAGAAACAAAAACACTAATACAGGAAAATAACCATTTATATATTTTTCTCTCTCATAGTTGATGGGATTTTGAATTTTTGAGGGGGCACATTTCAATGGGGTTATGAATTTACTAATTGAAAAGTTTCAAATCTAAAGACAAATGGAAACATGGAAAAAACTGCAGGGTATGTAATTGCATATAATCCACGATTTTTCTAAATTATACTTTTGGTTGCACTGTTTTAAGAAGAGGATAGCAATAAAATATCTTGTGAGAGGTGGGGGAAGGTTCATGTGCCATTGATCTTAGTAAGATGGGCATCCATGGACTCAGGGAACCTCAGAATGACTGTTTCGGAAACAAAACTTGAAAATTCGGATTCACAATTTCATAAATAGATAAAATAATTAAAGTAAAAATTCAAGGAATAACATGATAAATGCCATGAAACATGGCGAGTATTAATTAAATAATAACACATATTCCTCGCTGCACGTTTAATCTGTCTTCGATTTTATTAAACATTTCGATTAAAAATATTTTAACTGTATTTTCAATGAAAAACAAACTGTTGGAATCAGGGAGGGGCATCCCCCCCAAGGTCGATAGCGCAAGAAGCTACACCCCCTTCCCCCTCCTCTTCCAAGATTTTTATTGTTTACCTTTTCTTAAAAACAGGGCAAGCTAAAGTAGAATTAGAAAAATCGTAGATCATATACAATTACACTTGCTGCGGTCTATTTCATGTTTTCTCTTTGTTCCTTAGTTCGAAAATTCATAATCACGTCGAAATTTGCCCCTCAAAAAATCAAAAAAACCCGTTAAAATATGCCTCCCTCAAAAATTTTGATTGACGCCATGAAACCTTCTTCTGGGTGGGTACCTCTGTTTGGAATTAACAGCAGGTAATCACTACAGACATTTGCAATGGTGGACACTACAATCGCTTCTATCTTTTATAAAATCTGAATTATAAACTGTTGAGCGTCAAAATGGAAATGTTTTACGATTTGTAATTTCTTTTAATAAATCTATCTAACGTTTTTGTTCATTAGACTGTTGTAAATCTTCAAAAGGAATTTACAATAGATATAAAGGTTTTAACACTGAACGATTTTAATAATAATCATTTAAACATGTGTTATAGAAATAATTAATTGAAATTCTCATTTCCTCAGTACAATTAAATGAAAATCTTAATTCAGGATTAGTTTATTATGATATTTTTCAGACACAAACCTTGTAGCTTCCAAGTTATAATTATTTTAAGGTAACGTTTTTCTCACTGCATTTACAAGTATTTAACTTTCAATATCAAGTATTAGTAGCCTTCAGTTTTCAAGATTCAAGCTATTAAGATTTTATCAAGTTTAGGTAAGTACCATAATACTTTCATTTATTAAAAAAAAAAAAATGTTAAAATGAGATGTGGTTTCATTATTTGGTTATTCAGCACTAATCATCCCATTCAATTTGTTATTAATTTATTTTTGTCGTATTTTTCAAGAAAATATTGGGCATTGGCACTGTTTCAGAGATTAGCGGATGGGCGTTGGGGTTAGTGTAGGTGCCGAAAAAACTTAACGGTCTAAAATAACGCATTACATGAAAATAGCGGTTAAATTGATAACGTGTTGGAAGCATAACGTTATTGGAATCGCTCCTTTATTCTTCATGATGTTATGAGAGCGTAGCTTATTACCTGCACAGTTGAATAGTGGTGGAGCTGAAATAACTTTACAGTAAAAATTAAAACATTGCCAGCAAACAGAATTTAACTTGATAACGTGTTGCCAGCATAACGTTATTAGAATCACTCCTTTACTCTTTATTGTTATTAGAATGCAACTTACCACTACTTAACGGTTGATGATGGTGCATTGCGTGATCACATTTAAGACATGAGAATCATATTTAGTTCAAAGCGTGATTTGGCGATAACTCACACCCAATAAGTTTTAACTGAAATCTTAATTTACGATTATGCTGAATAGCGGATTTGAATGGAGGGCTGAACTCACTTATGAATAATATTTAAGTATATATTAATTGATATTAAATATCGAAATTAGCACAATTCATTATTTATAGTTCCCAGAAAGATAAGGGGCTTTCGGGCTGAAGCCTCCCTCTCTCCAAAATGGTAAAATATGAACATGTTTTTTGGAAAAAAAATATTTAAAAAATTATGTCTTGAAGTTTTATTCTTAGTGTAATTATATTTAAAAGGATTTTAAGAATCACTTAAACACCATCTCATTAAATAGGTAGTTAGTTTCTTTCTTATTTTCCACGGTAATTATTATTATTTTTCTGAAAAAAAACCTTTCGGACTGAAGCTCCCCCTCCCAAAAAAAAATCAAATCTTGAATCCGCTCGTGATTTGTATAATAATTCGTGTGAATTATTACACAATAATTATCGCTAATTAAAGTATTACGATTAGACCAAATAGTTGCTTGTTAAATTTTATAATAATTAATAGGTCAGTATAAATTTCGTTAATTTTCTTAATTTGATGTAAAATTACATTTAAGTATTAAAGGAGTTGTGATAGAAATTTTTGAGTATAAAACAGATTTTTTTTAAAATTACCTCTCCAAGTTAATAATTTACAGTATTATAAATAAAGCTAATAAGAAGTGTGATTTAATGAACTCGAGTGTTATTAAAATAAAGTGGTAATAGAACACAATATCATTTCGTAACTGCTAATCTGTAACCTGTTATCGAAGTTTCATTAACCCGTCGCTAGTTATATTATATTTTTGCACAATACTCAAGTATTTGTTTAAACGAGCTAATTTCAGTAACCACATGTCAGTATTATGAATAATGCCATACAAGTTTGTATAAATTTGAATGAATATTTCCCCATATTTAAGCGATTTCTCGCGGTTTTTTAAGTATGGCGCACTTCTACAACCCATCCAAATTAAGATAGGGGGTTGAAAATTGTTATTTAAATTAGATTTATTTTGGTAAAATGTCTCTTGGTGGTCAGTTTCTCCCACCCTAATTTGTATGAATTAAATTATGAAACACAAAATAAAATGTTCAAAAACACAACGTGAGGAATAAATAGAGTAGTTTGTTTTCTAATTTCTACTTAATTTTCTCAAATAAACCGTAATGAAACTATTAAATCAGTTCCATATTTCCCAGAGTAATTAAGGAGGAAAATCAACCTGGCCTGAAGAAAGATCCCAAAACGGCCAACCAGATTTTCTTCTATACTTATATTATATAGTGGTTACTTAATATCTTTACATATTTTTTTGCATATACAATATTGTATAGGAAAAAGTTGAGTTACAGTTAATTTAATATCTGACTGGTGCCAGATAAATCCCTACGGACCTAGGTTACGGATCTTCACTGATGTATATAGCTCTACAACTCGCTTATATAAATTTCATTAATATTGTAATTCTGGAATTAAAATGGTTTAAGTCTGATTAACGAAAATTGGTTTTGTGTTTAGTAGAACCATCTGTGTCCAGAAAGGAATAGTATAGTTCACTATTGGATCCAGGATTTAATTTTGGAGGGAGGCTTCAGTCTGAAAATTTTTTTTTCATAAAAATAACGATAATTACTTTGGGAAAAAAAGAAAGAAACTAACTACCTGTATGAAACGGTGTTTAAGTGATTCTTATAGTCCTTTTAAATTTAATTACACAAACAATAATACTTTAAGAGATAATTTTTAAATATTGTTTACCATAAACATGGTTACATTTTACCAAGGTGCATCTTACAAATTTTTGAGAAGGCACATGTTTACGAAGTAATGAATTTTTGAATTTTGTGGATTCATTTACGGAGTCATGAATTTTTGGAGGTAACAATGTTTTAGTGGGATTTCAATTAGGAAGGTCTTTCAAATCAAGGAACAAGGTAAAAAACTAAACTAAAATTTTTATAATTCTACTTTCTACTGCGGGGTGGGCACCCCTGAGTAGAACTAGCCCTCCAAAGTTTAAATTCAGCATTTATTAAATGATATGATAAGGTAAGACAGAAATGCCTAAAAATAAAATAATTATAACAACTATTTTTATTGACCATTTTCAGAAGTTCTCCGACTTTTTCACCGCCTTGGTAGTATCTTTTCCCTGTTTCAAACCATTATATACACAAACTTAGCATCCCATCTTTTTTAAACAATAAAATATATCAAGACTGTTTAAATAATATCGATACATTCAAACTTTGATTATATTCTGATAGTTTATTAACCTTTAGTACATGTTACTATTATATTTCAATCAAATCACTCATAATTATGTTTTAATACTAGGTAAGTGAAATAATTCAAATTGAAATAGAATTCTTCGTTAGTTTAATCATACATAAGGCAGCGGTCTACATTACGGTATTCACATGACTTGTAAAATAGAGTATAAAATCAATGGGTAATACTGTTGTTCTCAGTTGATTTTGTATCAGATTGTGCTGCCATCTTTCTTTAGGTTTTCTAACCTCATGCTTACAAAAATACTGAGAAATCCTTCTTCATATTTAAAATCTACAAAAAAGAAATATATATAATTAGTAAAATTTAATTTCTTTATCAATATTTCAAACGAAAATATATGATCACTACAGTCGTTATAGAGAGTTATTGATGAACATTCAAACAACATAGCAATAATATTTCAAGCCATTTAATATACTCAATTGTTAGTTTTAAAATTAGCAAAAATTTATTTATCACAGCTAAAATAATAATGCACCACAAGAAAAGGAAAAACTGAGGAAAACAATCTAAAAAAAAGCAATCAGTAAAACAAGCACTGTGTAAAAAGTACTATTTACTGATATTTCCTTATACCTTTTGTTTTTATACCGGGCAATAAAAATAACTATTTCATAATAATTTCAATTAATTATACTCTATTTTTTTCTCAAAATAAAAATAGAAAATTTAATCAACATTTTTTAATTTTTATCTTGCATGTAAAATATAAATTTTATAACATTTTTAAAAATAAGTTGTGATATAAAAAATTAATTACTTATAACTATAATAAAATACATTACTTTATATTTAAAATAAAATTAGTCGTTAGTGTCATGAATAGTAAAAACTAACTAGAAAATGAATAAGAAATGATACATTCTCTCAATGAAGTAAATTTAATTTAATTTAATCAGTGGATGTACATGTAAAAAAATACAGATTATAAATTGTTTTAAACATTCAGCAAACTCTAAACCATTTCTGACAGACTGAATTATTTATTTAAACCACAACAGCAAATAAAAATAAATTTAAGTAAACGTATACATTTTTAATTTAGTTATAAAATCATTGATTAAATAAAAAAATATATATGTTATCATATTCATACAAATATTTTTAAATTTTACAACATTTTATAATAAATTTTACAATTTTAATTTAATTTTAATTTTATTAATTTTACAACCAGCATTTTGTAATCATTGATAAAAAAAAAAAAAATTAATTGCAAATTTAAGCAGTTCAGACATTAACGTTTATTAATGCACTGTTATATTTTAATATTCCTTAAATATAATGGGTATCCTAATATAACTTTATAACAGATTATTGTTTTTTCAATGATTTTAATATTTATTTATTAATAAAATTGGTATTATTAAACAACTTTTATAAAATTGCATTTAATTTATATTTATTTTTTATGACTTTATCAACTTCTTTTTGCATTGCATGTAATAATATATCGAACATACTGAGACATATTGCAAGCATGCAGCATAAATTAATCTATCTGATATTGAAAAAGTACAGTTCACCTTGAACATGAAACATAACCGTTACTTAGTGGTTAACTCTTGCTAAATCACTTCAGGGACGCCTATTAATTGTGTGGTGATTGTTACTATAATAAAGAACATGAGGCTAAGACTGTTTTATCTCTTCAATCAAACTATACTTGATATAACATTTTTTGCATAAAATATTATATAATATATAATGTATATAATAGATGATGTTTAAATTGCTTTAAAGATTTAAACAGTTTAATTTTTACCAAGGAGAAAGCTTTTAAGTTAATAAATATAGATGAAGCCCTGTTGGTATCATTTAAAATCATGTTTTATACCTTGGTTTTCATATTTTCTAACCACCATCTTGTTATACCTATTATTGTCCTTATTGTTATATTATTTTTTAGTGGGTTCTCAAAGCTATTTCCTTCTAAAATCATCACAATATTTTCTTTTTCAATGTTGTTGTTATTTCATAAATTCTTCTTTTAATGCATAATATGTTACTTGGGGATTTTTGCCTGGGCTCTTTATTTATATATTTGTTGATTAAACCCAGTTTGGAAGCAAAATTTATGCCAAAAAAAGTTTTTTCAAGGAATATTGATACGATGATGGTTGAAGAGTTTTTAGGGTATATTCGAAAAATGAGTTGTCACTCTGTTGTCCCAAATTACCCTTATTTTTAAATTTTTTGCCATACATGCTTGGCAGTTTTTTTATTTTACATTACATTTTGTATTGTTAACTACTGAAATATAGTTTATTTTTTAAAATTTATTTATATAAAATATTGCAAAACTTTCAACCTCTCGAGTCATTTTGCCCTAAATTACAGATTATTGAAACAACAATAATAACTATATTCATCATCATCCGATGATGCAATGGTCCTTGTAGAACCTCTACTATCTTCCTCGAAACCGCCATTCTCCATCTGCCTACCCCCAGGCTCCCTGGATCATTTTCGATATCTTCCAGCCAACGAAGTCTAGGTCTGCTTCTTTTCCTTCTTCCATCTGGATGTTCCTCCATCATCATTCTACTCCATTCTACATTTTAAGTGATGCACCAGAAAAAATGATGAATTTATGAATGATGTTATTTTTCTTGCTTTTTCTTTTCTTTCTCCACATCCCTTTATGTCCATTATTTCATATTATAGCCTTTTTCCTTTTCTTCCAATCTCTTCTGTAGATCTGTAGGAATATATTCACAATTGCATATATTGTATTTTATATTATACTACAACAATTGTTACCATCTATTTACTTCAGTTTAGGATCTTGTTACTTAGCTTACTCTGTTTATACAACTTATTTTTCTTAATATTTCAATGTATTCACTATTTATAATTTTAATAAGTTTATTCACATTGTTTATAGTTTTTATCTAAATATGATGTAACTTCCACAATTCTCTATATATTTTTGTATCTTGTCCGTTCTAGCCCTGAAGAAGACCTGCAAAGTCGGGCCGAAAAATTGGCTTTTAATAAAATAGTTTTGCCACTATTTAGTATATTTACGACCGCCACACCGGACTATCTCCTTTCTTAGTAGTACATCAGTCAACTATTAAGTATTCAATATTCAAATTTTAAAATAAACAACTGCTAATACCGGATGTCTACTGTTACAGTAATATTGCTTCTATGACTGATATAAGGAAATCACCAGAAAAAAAGGCTTTTGAAAGATTACCAAATAACGTTAAACCTCTTCATTATGATCTTCGTTTGAAACCTAACTTGAGAACTTTTGTATTTGATGGAAAAGTTGAAATCAAACTTCAGGTAAATAAATCATTTTTTATTAAATAAATAAAAAATAATAAAGCAGGTCTCATCACAATGTTTAAACTTTAGGTGAATGAACCAACTTGTGAAATCATTTTCAATGCGTTAGAGCTTGAAATAAAGTCGTGCGTTTTACTACTGGAAAATGGATCTGAATTGAGGCCGAATATACAGCCTTCACTAGATACAGAGAGAGTTAAACTGGTTTTCAATCAAAACATTCCTGTAGGAACTGCCCAGCTAACAATTAAATTCAAAGGAGAATCAAATGATAAGACGTAAGAATTTTATCGCAGTAGCATTCTAAGTATGCATGGAAGGTCGAATATTTTAATTTGTTTCTTTTATTTTTATCCAAACGTTCTTTTAAGTGAATTTATATTTTTGTCTTAGTGAGGAGGATCAGAAGTGCTATTATGCTGAGACACAATTCGAAGCTCCAGGCGCTAGAAGGTATTTCCCTTGTTGGGACGAACCAGCAATTAAATCTGTATTTGAAGTAACATTGATTACTGCAATAAGAGATGTTGCTCTCTCTAATATGGTAAAGTTATGATCTTCCTTTTTCTAGAAACATAAAACTATTTTTATGCTAATTCTGTCTTTTATAACTTATTAATTTCTCTATAATCAATTTATTTATTTATTTTCTGTTAACTTTGCCAATTCTCTGTTGTATCTGTTATAAGGTGTATTTAAATAGAAATTTGTTAATTTAACATTTGTTATTTACCATAAGCAGTTAACTGCAGTGTGAAAATCAAAAACAAAGAACGATTTGTCTTCTTTCCAGATTCAATGTAAACATCAAAGAGTTGGACTTTAAAAGCTATGAACAAATGTTACCGCTCATGTTCTTGATCAATTTTTAAATATTAAAAATATATTATCTGCAAATTCATTAGATTAAGTGAATGAATAGCTATTTATTTATAAGAAACACAAATTAAATTGTTGATATGTCTTATCAAATTTACAAGTAATTTTGATTATAAATAAAATTTTGTTAATTTAGAAAATATCACAGAACAAAAATTCATATATTTATCAATTTTTTTCTTCCTTTCTTTTAGCCAGTTGTAAGTGAGTTAGAAGATGGAGATTATAAAATTGTCAAATTTGCTCCAACTCCAATCATGTCTACGTACCTGGTAGGATTTGTGGTTGGAGATTTTGACTATATTGAAGATAACTCTAATGATGGCATCCTAATTAGGGTGTATGCACCCCCAGAGGTCAAGAAACAAGGGCGTTTTGCTCTTAACATCGCTACAAAAGTGTTACCTTATTATCAGGAATACTTTCAGGTGCCTTACCCACTTCCCAAAATGGATCTAGTCGCTATTGAAGATTTACCAGTAGGTAAGTAGAAATTTTAAATTAATTAATTCATAATAAACCACATTGTTATTGGACTGTGTATTCACAGATCGTGAAGCTCAGAATATGAATGATTATTATTTTAAACTTTTAAGCACTTTCTTAGAGACGAGAATATGAATATATTGTAATATACACCTTTATTGGAAGTGGGTAAAAATGATTTAATAAATTAATGTTGAACAATTAAAAGGCAAGCTAATCTAGTTCTACTAGTGCAGGGAAAAGAAAATGGCTACTCTGTAATTTCCCAAGAAGGAAAATCCCAAAGAGGAGAGGGACAAAGGTTTTTGTTTTGGCAAGCAGTTGTTGTGTGACTGCAGTGAAGAGAGGTTAAGAGAAGACATCCTATCCTGGCTCCAGTGGATAAAACCCACCAATAGTTTTACCATCTTAGAAGATCTTTTTTGGCAGGGAGAATAGTTGTTTGGGATTGCAAGAGAGAGGATTTCCCAGAGAGCTTGAGTTGAGTGGAAGAACAGTGTTACCATTTTGGGATATGTGTTTGGCAGAACATAAGGAAATGTGTGAAGACAAATGAGTTCAGTGCCACAAAGGAAGAAACATTGTATGTAGAAAAAAAGTTAGCTTGCCAATCCATAATTGACTTTATTTTAAAATCAGTGTTTAATTTTAGTGTAAATAATAATAGTTTGTCTGAGTTGATCTAATTGTCAGTAACCCACACCTGAGATAAATAAATATATTAATTCTCCTCTAATTTTGTTTATCATTGTAACAACCTATTATTTATTTAGGAAATATCCCAAAAGTATAAAGTGATCTTAAGAGGTATTATTATTATTTGTAAAATATAAGAGAGATGTTATAATATTAATCCTGTAACCCTACCCAGAATGTAGGGTAGTACTTCAAGATTAAATATTAGGTTAATTTACAACAGTTTGGAGTTCAAAATTCACAATTTCTACCATTGGGTTTGCCTATCTGTGTTTGTATCTGAACCATGATTACCAATTTTGAGATATGTACCAAATTTGACACCTTGGGCACATTATTTGTTGCGCTAAGAAAAATAAAAGATTTTTTTATACACACTAATATTACCATAATCAGTCTTTTGAAACAAACCACTATTTTCTCTTCTTTACAAACCTATGGAAATATTCTATAAAAAAACAATTATTATCAATTATCATTTGAAAGAAAATTAAAATATTCCATTGAACTTAATATTCATGTATCCATGCTGGTTCTCATGAAAACAACTTTTTGAAAAAATTAACCTTTGACTAGTGAAGTTACCCTAGGACAGTCAATTTTATCCTTTGTTATATGATCTGGGAGTATTTGGACAAAGTAATCCATATCCTATGTTACTCTAAATAGTTCAGTCAATGAATGCTCGAAAAGAGTGTATAGAAGGAAATGGCAGTGACACAATTTTTGAATTTAGGACATTGTTAGGACTAGTAAGGAGATAAACACACATTAATCTGAGCAGGAGTTCACTTACAGCAGCATAAACAGTGCACTGTAAACTGAATTATCATATGTTCAAACTCCGGCTCACGGAGTCGTCTCTTTGTAGGTACTATGGCTGGGAGGATAAGACAGCTTATTATATTACTTGCTGGTGAGATAGGTTAGGCTGGATTAAGATTCCGATTATTCGCCATTGATAGAGTGAAGGATCCCAAAAAAAACGAGTTTATCAATCCAACAAGCTTATTACAGTTCATTGAGACTACAGGAATTACACTCTAAACAGGAGTGACTTTAAATAAGGCGTACAATAGGCCTACATGGCCACAGTGCACTTGTGCAACATGAAAAAAAAAATGAGGTAAACATACTTAAAGTCCCACTTCTAGGTAGTGAGCCAGATAGTGGTGCCTAGTAGGTCATTTTTTTCGGGTTTTATTCGGCTTATATCAGGAAAACTATCTATTGCATCGACAAAGACGTTCTACAAAAAATTAAATCTGATAAAATTTACAATATGATTCATTATATACATTTTTTTGCCATCTCCCTTGGTTTCCGAGATATACCTCATCAACTATGGCTAACTTTGAAAAAACATTGGCCTCATGTTTGTTGCTGTTTTTTGAGATTTCGCTTATATCAGGAAAACTATCCATGACAAAGACGTTCTATACCAAATTAAAGTTGATAAAATTTACATTTAGCGATAGCTGAGGACGGATATCCCGGAAACTAAGCAAGATAGCTAAAAAAAGGTATATAATCAATCATATTGCAAATTTTACTATCTTTAATTTTTTATAGAACGTCTTTTTCGATGTGATGGATAGTTTTCCTGATATAAGCGAAAACCCGAAAATAGTGACCTACATCTGGCTCACCACCTAGGAGTGGGAATCTTTAGTCTGTTTACCTCCTTACTAGTCCAAACAATGTCCCAAAGTCAAAAATTGTGTCCCCGCCATTTCCTTCTATAATTATTCATTGACTGGACTAAATGGACACTAGTAGTGAACAGATCAAAGTCAAGGATGCCTTCCTATGATCCTCATTGGTCTGAACCATTATTGCCACCTATATTGTTATATTTATTTATTGCTTTACAAATTATTTTATAATAAAAATATAAACCACATGTAAGGCAAATCTCACAATTATATCAAATTAATGAAAAAGTGTAACCCTGTTTTATTCTTAGCAACGTTTTACATTATACATTATTAATTACTTTTTTTTTTTTTATTTTCATTCTTTTAACCTTTTGTTTTTCTTTATAGTTATAGTTTATTCTTATGTTAAAATTTATTTTTAGGTGGCATGGGGAAATGGGGTTTAGTTTCTTATAGGCAATCAGCTCTGTTGGTGGACAGTAGCAACGCTTCAGCTTCTCAAAAGCAATTGGTGACGATCATCATAGCTCTTGAAATAGCTCGTCAATGGTTTGGAAATCTTGTAACTATGGTAATTATTCAATTATTTATTATCAACATTCATAACCATACAAAATACCTAAAGTCAAAGAACAAAAAAAAAAATTGTAATTTATAGTATTTATTTTGTTAAATTAGACCTATGTACAAGGAATGAGGAAAAAACAAGATTAATGAAGGAATGTCTGAACTATAAACTAATAAAATCTTCTTCTTAACACTTGAAATTTTTATAAATAGTAAATCCCCAAGAAAAAAAAACAGGGAAACAAATATAAAAAATAGTAAGCTTCATTTGCACACAACTTAAAAAGTATATCATTTCAAATATGACTGAATTTTCAATAAAAGAATAAAATAAATAAATCATTCATCAATGAGGATGAAAGGAAAGAAAACATTTTAGAAGTAACATAAATAAAGTATAGGCTATAGTAGTCTGAAATATTAGAACTTATTTATTCATAAATAAGACAATATATTGCCCATTCAATCGTCAAGTTTTTGTGATAGTGTACATTTGAAAAATACATAACCAGAGGACTTCCAAGCAAGACACTAGTATGTAGATAAAACTAAATAATAATAGTAAAAACAAAAAATTATAAGAAGGAAGAAATATAATAATAAATAATGAGGGAACTTGAAATGAGAGAAGGTTCTGCAGTACACTATCTTATAATCTCATATGTAGAAATTTCAAAAAAGTAAACTTTATTCAATAACTTCATTATATGAATATATTTCTTGCAATGATAACTAGTTGTTTACTGCCAAAAATATTGTTAATTTATTCTTAAATCATATTTTTTGGATTTTTTATATATATTTAGGAATGGTGGACTCAATTGTGGCTTTATGAAGGATTTATTACTTTCATAAGAAATCTCTGTTTAGCTCATCTTTTCCCAGAGTACGATATATGGACTGAATTTGTTTTCAATATTCATGTAAAAGCCTTAGAATTGGACTGTCTCAAACCAAGCCATGCATTAGAGGTATTAATACTTTAACATTTTATCAATACATTTAATTTTTATTTTCTTTATCTGAGGAAATAATTGAAATTCAGGTTCCAGTTGAACATCCATCTGAAGTCAATAAAATCTTTGATGATGTATCTTATAACAAAAGTGCTTCTCTTATCAGGATGCTGAATCAGTACTTGGGAGATAGTGTAAGTTTATTTATTTGTCTTAATTAAAGAATTTAAAGTTCTTATTATTTTCCAAATACTTACTGCATCTCATTTCATAAAAATTGTACTTCAAGTTATATGGTTTCCTTTTTTTTATTTTTTACGAGTTTTTCAATTGTTATGACATATTGAAAAACTGTTATGATAAAAAATTATCATGTAACTTGTTGGATACTTTTATTTCGAACATTTGAATTTAGTGAGATTTATCATATCTATGTGTTTTGTTTCCTGTGTGTTATGAGATTTTTATTTTAAATAATCCAGAGGTCTTCAAACTACAACATCCCGGGAACCAGCCCGCGAAGGTTTCTTTGATTACGTGGTAAAATATTAAAATTATTTTAAAAATGTAGTAGACATCCCCCTGTATTTACTCCTTTATGTGACATTGTGTGAGGGAATGAGAAGGAATATACAATATATAGAAATGTGAGATTGCACTGTGAATTATACTCAATTATGCAGTGGACAAATTATTCATTGAAAAGTCTCATATTGATAAACAATCGATGAAGAAGGACGCTGGAGAAAGGATGGAGCAGGTAGAGACAGCTGGAGGAGGACGCTGGAGAGAGGAGAAGGCAATTGAGGTTGTGACATGGAGGCGAGAGGACTTGAGGCTGTGACATTGAGGCGGATTGTCTCTCTTAGAAATCTTATTTCACAACTGGTGTCATTAATTCATGACAAGCCATGCCTCGTGGGATTAGGCCTTAATATGGCTAGCGAGCCAAAAAGTTTCCCTAATTTAATTTATTCATCAATCGATTAGACAGTTATTAAAAATAGAACATAGATAGCAAAATGAAATTTAATTGAATGGCTGAATTTAACAGGAAGTATATATCTTACAGTGATTGAATTACTATTTTATTTAGTCAAGGTATCTTCTTAATATTAATATGAATCTAGCACCTATGTCAAATTTTAATTTATATTGGTTTTAGGATTTTAAGAAAGGTATGCATATCTACTTAACTCGTCATCAATATGATAATACATTCACCGAAGATCTCTGGAACGCTCTCGAAGAAGCCTCGCAAAAACCTGTTAAGGATATGATGTCCACTTGGACAAAGCTGGCAGGTTTCCCTGTGATCAATATCATAAACTCTGAACAAACTGGAGATGTTAGGGAGTTGACTATTTCACAAGACAGATTTTGTGGTGGTTCAGATAATGCAGGTAAGAACTGTTTCCTATAATTTACTTCAAATATATTCTTCTTCTTCTTCCACGGCACTACAACTCATGAAGAGTCTCGGCCTCCTCAATACGTGTCCTCCAGGCGTCTCTATCCTGCGCAGCCGCTTTCCATTTACGTACACCAAGTAGTGCACATGTATCCCTTGCCACACAATCCTGCCATCATAGCTGTGGTCTTTCTACTTTTCTAGAGCCTTGTTCATTGCTCTCCATAGTTTTTTGGGGGATTTCATCATTTTGCATCCTCGCCACATGCCCTGCCCATCGCAGTCTTGCAAGCTTTATGATTCTTATGATATCCGGCTCCTTGAATAGATTGTAAAGCTCTGTATTGTGTCTAATCCTCCAAATCTGTTCATCACACACAGGAGCATAGATTCTGCTGAGCACCTTCCGCTCAAATAACGCTATGGTCCAGGCTTCGGAGCCATACATCAGTACCAGACAAATGAGCGTTTTATAAAGCTGTGTCTTTGTGCTGCGAGAGATGAGTTTAGTTTTGAAATTCTTATTTAGGCAAAAATAGCACTTGTTTGCCGCTACTATCCTTCTCTTGATCTCTAGGTTTCCTCTGTTTTTTCTTAGTTTATTAGTTTATAAAATAATAAAATTTCTTGTTTTTCATCAACACAGAATTTATTTTTAAAAATATCTAGTTTGATCTGTTATACTATTTAGAATATTTATGAATATGTATTATATAATTTAAACTAGATTTTAACGATGATTTTCATACAATGAACATAATCTTAAAATATTATCCAACTTTAATCAAACTCCTCACTTTCTAACAAAAATGTCTACAATATTGTTAAGTTAAACTTTGGCTAAACATTTATTTATCCTTTACAATCTATTAGATAAGGAATATTAGTATTTTTGCTGTTTGTCGATAGCTTATGAAATTAATACATAAGTATCTATTATTTAATTTTTAGCAATGAGGTAGTAGCCATGTGATCTGCAATATATAAAATAGGCTAAAAGCACCAATAGCTGACAATGTACCAATACCTGGGAATAATAAAATTTCAGGGCCTCCTAGATCTCTATTTCATATATTTTTTGTTTCTATATTTTTTCCTTGCATATTCGTCTTTTTTGCTTTAGTTTTGCCAAAAATCACAACCAAAATAAAGAGTGGCAAATTAGGAAAGTCCCTCAGGATCCATTTAGTTTCCCAGGAACAACCATCTGTCAGTAAGAGCATCATTCCTTTGGTTTGCCTTTTTCTATTTAACTACTCAGATTTACTCTAAAATTTTTGTTTGATTGTTTTTAAATTATGGTTATCTGGTTTTAGCTTATCTTTATGAAGGAATTAGATATTTAATGACTATCAGCTACTGGAGCCTTATAATAGGGATTTTTGCCAGTAGTTGACAGGCCTGTACTCTCATCAATTCAAAGAGATATAGTCAATATAATGGTTCTTAAAATGGGACTACTGTCTCATTAAAAAAATGATTGCTAATAATTTGGACTAAATATATAGCAAAAATAGGTACTTGACAGTGACCAGCATTTATTGATAAATTTTAGTCAGGAAATGCAAGAAGTTAATTTCATAATAAGTTAAAGGTAATTTTTGTTTATCTTAAAATGAAGAATATGAAATTTTCCTTAGTTAAATCCTTCTTCTCATCTCTGTCAGCTCTAGGAACATTTCGAATCAAACAGTGACAGCAACTGGTACAACAAAATTATTCTCTTAATTTTCAATTTTTAAAATTTACATAAATGTTCCATGGATTTGTTATATATGTCTTGTTAAGGCAAGAAATAGTTCTATAAGATGAATCCATGAAAAATATAATAACATCAATATTTTAAGTTTTTACACGTAAAAGTTCAAAGAAATTTCCTTAAGCATTTCAGCTACTGGCATGTTTACTTTTATCAAACATTATACAATTTTCAACTTTGGAAACTAATTGATTGTTACTGTATGTTCAGGAGAATCCAGTTTATGGATGGTCCCGTTGACATTTTCAACTGAATCCAATCCACACGATATTGTTTATTCTTGTGTTTTGGAGACTAAGACTTGTAAAGTTCAAATACCTGCTGCTCCTGGTGATTGGGTCAAGGTATTTTTTCTTTATTTTATCAAATATAAACGGGGGATTCATTGATATATTTTCAATAATTTGCTATTAAAATGATACACTTAATTAAAAAGAGAAATAGATTGAAAAGATTATTTCCTTAACATCAAGGATGGTTAAGCTATTTTAGAAACTTTCAAACAATTATAACCTCTATGTTAGCCATTATAGAAAATTTCACACTTATGATGGCTTCAGCATATTTGCAATTTGCCTGTTAAAAAATATATTTTTATATATATATATGTTTGGAAAAAAAGGTACTAAGCTTCCAATGCTGAAGGTCCCAGGTTTGAACACCGGCTCATGGCAGAAAAATTATTTATCTGTTTCATTGGCCATGGTGCGACCCTGGGTCAGGAGACCCTCCTGGGGCACACCCAGCCTCTATAAAGTGTGAACCCTTAATTAAATAATTGATTAAGGGAGAAAACCCTGGAGGTTGAGCGTGATCTCGGTCAAATCACCTCCTTGCACAACCGTTGTCCTAGAAACAGTGCTTTCCCTAAATAGTACTGAACCCAAGACCCTTCATGGGTTGTAGTGTTACAGTTTTTTTTTTTTTTTTTTGAAAAATAAATTAATAGAAAATTATATTAATAACATATTTCATATTCCTCCATTTATCCACAAATGTTATGGTAAAAATTGTTAAATAAAAATAAATGACTGCACTAATTCAGAATCATAAAAAACAATTTTTTTTATACCAAACAATCTACAATCAGTAGCAAAAATATTTTGACATAATTTTTAATTAATAATAAAAATAAAATAAAAAAATCTTTATGCCCTCTCCACATTTTACTACAAACGTTAAGGTGAAAAATTTAAATTCATTGCATTACCTTATTCCAACAATTGTCTGAATGATTCTTGGAATGTTTTTTTTTTTTTAACAATTTTCTTATTTCTAATTAAATTAGTGAATGATTCAAAAGTTACTTAAATAAAATTTATAATGACCTCACTAATAACTGCATCTATTCACTTATCCTTCTTAGAATTTTCATTTTCTTAGAACTAAGTGCCTATGACAGTTTAAAACCATTAAAATTTTAAAATTAAAACTAAATAATTAATAAACATTCAACCAATAACAAACATAATAATTAAAAATTATAAAATTCCAAAGTATATCCAAAATTGATATGATCTATTACAGCTAAATCCAGATAATGTTGGTTTTTATCGAACTCATTATGCACGCAACTTATTAGACCAATTTATTCCTGCAATGAGAAACAAGTCTCTACCTCTGATGGATAGACTGAACATCGTAGATGATCTTTTCGCTTTGGTAATATTTACATCTTTTTAATGATTAATAATTACATCTTTAATGATTTTTTAATCATTAAAATTTAAAACATAAGATTAAGTATCCTATTTGTATTGTTGTATTAGGTACAAGCCGGTCACTGTGACACTACTGAAGTCTTAAAGATGATTTTAGCAATGAAATACGAGGATGACTATACTGTTTGGTTCAATATAGGAAAATGCCTCTTCAGACTTAATGCGCTTATTTCAAATACGGATTACCTAGATAGCTTTAAGAAGTTTGGAATAAATCTTTTTAAACCACTGAGCCAGAGGCTTGGCTGGGATCCTAGACCAAATGAAAGTAAGAGTCTATTACTGTTATATACAGTGATGGAAAAAAGTATTTGCACATCATGTTTTTATGAATAAATGAGTTGAAGGAACAAAAAAAACTTTGCTTTCCTCTGTAAAAATGAAAAGTACATTTGTTAAAAACTGAGAAAAACCTTTTGGAAAAAAATGACAACACTCCATTATGAAACAAAAAAAATTAAAACAATAAAAGTGCTTGGAAAAAAGTATTTGCACACTATACTCACAAGCTCTGTTTACTTTGGCATTAATCCTCCTGTGTCCATAGGTCATAGGTTTGTTTACTAATTTATCTCTAATCATTTATTACCAGTATTCTCTAGTCTTTCAATCAGTTTCCTTTAGTCAATAGACAATTATTATTCTAAAGACAAGTGAACTGTGTGCCGCAAATCGCGAAAAAATTGTATTACTGAGGAGTCAGCAAAAAACATATCACCAAATTGCCGATTTCTTAGGATTGAATTTTTCTACACTGAGATACGTCATAAAAAGGTATGAAGAACGTGGTTCAACTGAAAACAGTGAGCGTAAAGGGCGTCCAAAAAAGTTAACTCCCAGGCTGAAGAGGAAAATCAGAAAAGAAGCTCTTAAAAATCCTCTGATAAGTTCTCGGGAGCTGGCTACCATGGTCCAATCAACGTCTGGAGTTCAGATTACTAGCAGAACAATTAGATATGCCCTGAATTAGGAAGGGCTCCATGGTAGAGTTCCAAGAAAGAAGCCATACATCAGTGAAACGAATCGCAAAAAGCGCCTTGCTTTTGCTAGGGAGTACGTACAGAAACCCTTAAGCTTTTGAGAAAATGTCATCTTTTCTGACGAAAGCAAATTTAATTTGTTTGGTTCAGATGGTCGAAGGACGATATGGCGACATCGTAATGAAGCCCTAAAGAAGCAAAATGTTTTAACAACTGTAAAGCATGGTGGAGGACATGTTATGGTTTGGGGGTGTGTTTCCTACCACGGCGTGGGAAATCTTGTGAGCATCGAAGGCATTTTAAATGCTGAAGGCTTTGTGAACATTTTTGAACATAATTTGCGTGTTAGTGCCGAAAAAATGGGTATCCAGGATCAGTACTATTTCCAGCAGGACAACGATCCAAAACATACTGGTATGAGAACAAAGGAGTGGTTAATATTTAATGTTCCAAGACAGCTCCACATTCCTCCTCAGTCACCAGATATAAATATCATTGAAAATTTATGGCACACCCTTGACCGAAATGTAAGAAAACACCATATCACTAGTGGACATCACCTTAAACAAGTTCTTGTTCAAGAATGGGAACAAATAAACGTAGATTTAATTAAAAACCTAGTGCATTAAAGGCCCAGACGTCTACAAGGAATTATTGATGCAAATGGCCTATTTATAAAATATTAAAATTTAAAATAAGCTTGTAAATGTGGAAGTGTGCAAATACTTTTTTCCAAGCATTTTTATTGTTTTAATTATTTTGTTTGATTATGAAGTGTTTTTATTTTTTTGTAAAAGTTTTTTTCAGTTTTTAATAAATTTACTTTTCAGAAAAGGGTAAGGAGACTATTCTACTGAATTATATATTGAGTAGATTAATTTATATTTTAATTATTTTTTTTGTTTAAGACTTGGCTTTTGAAATAATAAAATTTAAATTGAATCTGTTGTTTTAATTTTCGTTTCCTTTCAACTCCAATGTTTCAGCTACAGCCCATTATAAAGAAAGAATGTTATTATTACATGAAATCATTACAAGCTAATTTGAAAGTAGGCCAACAATAATGAGCTAAAAAGTGAAATGTGTTGGATATAGAAATAAATAAACATTGAAAATAGGATCAACTTTAAGTTTATTATTACATAGTTGATGTTTTGTATTTTCAAAAATATTATATATGTATTTAAATTTTTAATTCGTTTTTAGGCCTTCATGACAAACAACTCAGGTCTTTGGTGCTTTCAAAATTGGGAACATATGGTGATCCCGAAACAATTAAAGAAGCTAAAAGGAGGTTTTCTGACCATGTCAGTAAAAGATGTATCATTCCCTTGGACTTGAGAACTTCTGTGTACCAAGCGGTAATTTCTGAAGGGGATCAATCAACTTTTGATACATTGATCCAGGTATGTTATCAACTTATATGTCTTTTATTGTTGATCCATCAATTAAAAATTTGATCAGTTCTTCTTGTCATAAAAGCTGAAGTAGATCAACTATTAGGGGAGTTTTTAATATGGTGGAAAACATTTTATTTTACTTAGTAAAATTATTGGAATTTCAGAAAAAACATTTAATTTATTTTATCGTTTTGATGTTTCAGATGTATAAAACAGAAACTTCACAAGAGGAGAAAGAAAGAATTTATGCATCACTGGGTGCATTTAAAGACGCCAATATATTATTAAAAGTATTGAATTTTGCCATGTCTGTAAGTAAAATCTGTTGTTAAATAAAATTTATTAATTATTTATTTTTTCCTATAATAGTTAATATTTTTATAACTTATAAAACATAATAAGATTTAGTTCCTATTTTCTCAAAATTCTTTCAGGATGAAGTTAGTCCACAGGACAAGATATTTGTAATAATTTCTGTGGCAACAGACATAGCTGGACGTACATTAGTCTGGGAATTCTTAAAGAAAAATTGGACTAATATATATAGTCTATACAAGGTTAGTTTAGTTTCCATTTACTTGACTAATATAATTGTTTATTTGAATAATATAATATGGCTGGAATATAATTTTGAAGCATTATTTTTAAATTCAATTAAATCTACCTTTTTATTCCATATTATTATAGTATAAATAATAGTCCATAGCAATTAATAGTAAGGCTCTTGTATGTTGTATAATGTTATTGTATGAGTCGTTAAGTTTTTCAGATAATTTTTATAAACAACGGTAAAAATATGGGTGATAAATAGTCAGGACGCAGTCATTATACAAATTTTTTTATTTGTGTCAACGTTTCAACTCAAACATGTGGGTCATCTTCAGGGCGTGGTTCGAGCACTTTCACGTACTCGAAGGCTTTCATGTACTCAGTACTCGAACCACGCCCTGAAGATGACCCACATGTTTGGGTTGAAACGGCACAAATAAAAATATTTATATAATGACTGCGTCCTGAGTATTTATCACCCATGATATGTAGAACAGTCGACTAGCTTCCTTCAACGGTGAAAATAAATTAAAAAATCTGGTTTGCACAACACACAACTTTCACTTACCGCTCTACTTTGAATAGAAATTATTTTCTGGCAATGTTGGGCTATTATAAAATTTTTGAAGTGAATTTTTAACCGAGCTAAAGCTTAAGGTTTAAGATCTTACATCATTAATACTTTTATTAATATTAATTAAACAAATCATTAATACCTAACAAAATACCTATTTATTATATCCACGGTTGATTATAAATTGTACGATCCGTTGATTGGTACGACTATTAGTTATTAAATGGTTATTTTCTATTACAAAGTTTACTAACATGGAATTACTAAATTTGCATTGCCTATAATAGATAGTTCAAAAGTTTTCACACTAATTGTAACTGGATAATGATGGGATTTCGCAAGGAGAAAATTCATCAAATTATTCACTAATTTAATTTTCTAAAAGTTTCTCTGATCATTTTTCAGAATAAATGGACGATAGATACCTAATTATTTAAATATAATATCAGATCCAGAGTTATAAAATTACAGTAAATGTATTATGACTGCTACTTAAAAATAAATTTAAATTAATAATTTGTAATGTATGTGTAAAATCATCAATGTAATATTAATTATATTAAATTATTTTTAGGGTGGTTTCCTTATGACTCATCTTGTGAAGTATACTGTAGAAAACTTTTCTTCTCATGAAATGGCAGATGAAGTAGAAAGATTTTTTGCATCAAAAGATACAAGCTCCTTAGAACGCACTATCAGTAAAGCTGTTGAATCGGCCCACTTGAACGCCAGGTGGCTAAGCAGAGACCAAGAGTGCATCAGGCAATTTCTTCAAAACCATGAACAACATTCGATAGATATTACCGAATCAAAAGAAGTTAAGTAATGCATTTTTCATGCATTGGATTGATTTTCTTGAATAGTACTTATGACTGATTGGTATTAGAAGAGGAACCACAATTTCTGGTTCATGTTTCTTCTTCAAGGTAAAATAAATGTTCGATAAGTACCTTGTTCATTGTTCATAGGCAGAGCTGCTCCAAATATAATTACGATTATTTAAATGATAGTGAAATTTATTTATATAACATAAATACTTATATTTGAGTTTTTTCTCTAATTATTATGCCATTAAATATGCTGATTGTTAATAACTGCATTGAAAGGTGTAGATTGATGAATAAAAGTAAAACAAACAAAAAGAAAGAGTAAATATTTATTAGTTATTGTTTTCCCAAATACATACATTTGTAATTATATTTATTAAATAAACAAATAATATTATTTAATAGATTATTATATGTATTGTAATATTAATGTCACCTAAGTTAATGTTTGTATTGCATTTTATTTTTGTCTGATATACATTTTAATTTAATATTGGAATTGTTTCTTTTATATACACCATATTAATCAGCTGTCTCTTCTCTGGCAATGCCTTGGGCCCAACTAGTGACTAACAACCTATATATACATTTTTTAATTTGATGTTTTTCAAATCTATTTTATTTATTATACACTGACAGGCAAAAAATTCCACCCACTTGATTTTTTCGTATTTTCATCTAAAAATATTTCTGCATTGGATTGGTCTATTGTTTGTAATGAATAAATAGGTAATCTTTTTGTTTGTTTTCAATTAGGAATGTTAATATAGAGGACAATAACCCTTAATCCTTAATTCAATGAAATGATTCTAGATTCCAATGTTTACTTTCTATGGAATCAAAATGTTTATTCAGTATCATTAGTTCAGTGCCGTTTCTTGCAGCACATTTCTTAGTCTCCGGCTTTTAATTTTTTCAATATTTTTTTTTTTTTTTAATTATTTTAATGGAATTTACAACTGTATTACATAGTGAATACAACAAGTAAATGAGAAGTTGGTAACATGGCATGTACAACATGAAGAGGAACTACCCATTGGTAGAACTCAATTTTCAATATTAAGTTTAAAAATGCCTCTTAGTGCTGAGGATGTTGCGTGTGGTGTGGCACTTATTGATGATGGACGTTCCATTAAATATGCAGTTGATGCCATCGGAGTTCCATATAAAACTTTACGAGACCCTAACCACCCCTAACCACCAGGCGTTTTCGGGAAAATGGTTCTTACAATAGAAGGCCCGGTTCTGGACGGCCTAGGGTAACAGAACCATGGGATGACTAGTTTTTGACTTTGAGAATTTTACAAAACCAGCACCTTACCGTTGTTCAAGCGATTCATCAGCTCGAGGTGTGCAAATTTCTGAACGTACCGCTCGGAGAAGATTATATGAGTATGGATTAATGGCTTTTCGTCCAGTAAGAGGACCAGAGTTGACCAGAACTCACAGAGTGAACGGCTGGCTTTTGCTTGAGAACACAGTTATTGGACTATGGACGAATGGATTGTTGTACTTTTTACAGATGAGTCAAGATTCGCTCTTCGATCTCCAGATAGGCGTGAAAGGGTGTGGAGAAGAAGAAACGAAAGATATGCAGCCTGTAATTTTTTCCAGAGCCAACCTTTCCAACATGGATCCTTAATGGGTAACATGTGGGTGGAATTTTTTGCCTGTCAGTGTATATACATATTCAAGTCGATTTTTTCTTGGTCCATTTATCATTTGAGCAATCAAAAATAGTCCCTCCAGGGAAATATAAGAATATAAATTTGTATGTCTTATTATTATTTAACTGAGGGATACCCAGAAGAGGGTTTGGTGGCGCAATCTGTGCCATCAAAATTTTTAAAGCGACCATATTTTGGTGGGTTTTTGAATTTTTGAGGGAGGGACATATTTTAGTGGGCTTATGAATTTTTGGAATGAAATGTTTCATACTAAGGACAAGGAACAGACTGCAGCAAGTGTAATTGTAAATGATCTACAATTTTTCTAATTTTACCTTCTCCTGCTCTGTTTTAGGAAAAGTGAGCAATTAAATACCTTTGGAATTGGAGGAAAAGGATAGATTCTCACACCATCGACCTTGGGCGGGGATGGCTTCTCTGATTTAACAAATTCTTTTATAGTTTCACTTTAGCTTTTGAATTATTATTAAAACCTACAAGTAAATTTGATGTTGGTTCTTGCTTCTTCTCTAAACTAAAAGAAAAATTGTCCTGATCTGTTTCAGCATTCTTCTTCATAGCTCTTTCCGCACTATATGACTGCATCCAGTATTAAAACTAGGAAGTCAGTAGTTTTTATGAGGTCTTGCATTGTACGATAGAGTCTTTAAAGTTTGGTTACCGTTTGATTTTCACTAGGGCCAAATCTGGCTTCTAGCTTCTACAAGTACAACTCTGAAGAAGATGCTCAACTATTAGTTCCCTTCTGCCACATTTACCCATGGAACTGTTCCCTATTTGTTTGTAAATATGGCTGTTAAGTCTGTTGTGATCTGTCATGGACTGTAACAAACCTCTTTGAAAAAGAAGGGGAGTGAAACCTTTATAAAAAAATCCGGGTTCAGCTGGTTCTAGCTGGAAAATGGCCGACAAATCAAGATAATCCATCAAGAATTAAGTTTTAGTATTTTCGATGAGTTCTTCTTCATAATTATAGTGGTAATATATGTTACATTCAAAATACGTTTTTTATTTCTTCTATGATTATTGCATTTTGTTGTTTTTTCAGTACTGGTACTTTGAAGAACATTGTATGATTTTAGATCGAAACAAGGATGGAATATTGCCTCAATTAACAAGCATCTCTTTGAGTAATTATGTTTAAAAAAAGAGAGAGAATTGAGTATTAAGGATCAGTGGGATAATGGTGAATAATAAGCCAAATCGTTCCAACAACAAGACCTTTATTGAGCCATGTGCATACAAGAGAGCTTGATCAAACCACATGCTATATAATTTGGCAACCGCCGTCTATATCAACTTCAGTGTTGCTAGTATACATATAAATCATTGATATCTTAACAGAGTCCATCTAACATAATATGCTCTTGAAGCTATTCCAATGAAAGTGATGTTTGATTTCTTTAAATTCTTTAAATTACTCATTAAACTTACCAAGAAAGGCAATAAGTCACCATAACATTTTCTTCTCCTTCCTTTCTTACTCTGTAGTAGCCACATAATTAATAGTTTATGTGAAACAGTAAAAAACATTTCTAAGTAAGATAACGTCAATTGATTATGAGTATCATGATCATTGCCTAATTTAATGCCCTGGGATAAAAGTATTCACCAATAGATTTCTGAGACCTATAAATCCTTTTTTCAAATTTACTTTTACCGTTAAGATATTTAGGAATTTTGATATCCTAACCTCCATAAAAAACACTTTATTTATGGCTGTGGGTTGATGGATGACTGTAGTGAATAATTGAATAGAAGGATGGTTAGAGTGATCTGTCAAAATAAAAAAAATAGTAAAAATAAATAATTATATTTATCAGTTCAGGCCTTCATCAGGGCTGAGAAAAGAACCAGATTACAATAGGTATGAGAAACTATAAACATTGAACAATAAAGAATTAAAATTAAAAAGCTGAAAGGTATAGAATAAAAAATGTATGTAGAAAAAACTTTAGTAAAATGAAATAGATAGAGTGAACATTAAAGTAAAATAAAGTAGGTGGAATAATAACAATAACAGATAACTAAAAAATAAATAATAATAAAGGCAACAAAGTATTGACAAATGAAATAAACCTAATCAAAATAAGGTGACATAAGAAATGAAAAATGGTAATTTTAGAATAAAATGTAAAACAGAGAAAAGGAATATGAAGTTAAATAAGAAAATAATAGATATAAATATAAAATTGAGATATTTTAAAATCTATCAAAATATACTGACTACTAGTATAAGAGAATAAAAAGTTAAAATAATGTAAAAAAGATAAATGAGAAAATGTATCAATATGTACAAAATAGAGATGGAGATATGGAAAATAGAGTGACGGGAAGGAGGAAAAAAGGAGAAAACTAAGATAAGAAAGATAAACGAACCTGTTCAATCCAAAAACGTGGAAAGACAAAGGTATTGTAGCAAGAGAGGGGGGAGCTTTTATATTGCGCCATCTGCAACGTTTGGCTGAAAAATGTGAACTAAAGCACAGGAAGCATATTTAATGGACAAGAGATATATTATAGATAAATTGTATGAGTTATTAAATAAAAGTTTAATTAAAAGAGGATGGAAATAATCTGGAGATCTGATTTTTATTTTGACTGATCACCGCAACCATCCTTCTCTTCAATTCTGTTATTTATGATATTTAAGAATACATTTATCAATTTTGAAACATACATTATTTTATTTTCATACCATTATTTTATTATTACTATTTCATAAAGCTTTCTCATTTTCTGATTCTAATTATAATTATAAGAGTTTGTGCGAATTCCTTCAGCAAGATTTCAAGATATATATATACATTTTACGGACAGAAAACTTATTTTATAATTGTTTGATTTTATTTATGGAAGGAAAAAATTTAAGACTTGGTAAAACTAAATATTTACAGTATTTTACAGAACAATAGCATTTAAAGAAAAACAACATAATTTTTAAAATTACTACCTTTTGTTAAAGGACTTCTAAAATTACTAAATTATATCTGGCTTAACTTTCTCATTGCCAAATGTTCAGAAATCCATCAACATCAACAAATACCAATCAAGACATGTTATATTAATATATTACTATGTTTTATAATTTATTACTTTAAAATGTCAGACACTATTGCTTCTGCAAAGAGATGAATGACGTATAGTTTTTGAAAATAACTTATTATGTACAATATTCTTTGGAAAGAGATGTTCTGGAAGTTTTAAGTATTGTAATATGAATTTAAAGTGGAGTTAAAAATTACTAGAGCTGAAAAGGTACGAGTCCCTAATAGTGTTATGGTGGATAGATATTCTATAGACGGTAGGAAATACATCAAGGTACTATGTATATGGTGATTGGAATTGGTCAAATGTAAAAATCAACGATCTTACCTGTCCACATCGGATTTTCATTAATAATATTTATTATTTTTAGATTTACAGAAGTACGGGATAAATAAAATAAAAACTATGTTCGAAGATGAAAATGTTATTTTTAATTTCAATATTGTAAAAATAATAATTTTATTTTAACCACAAGTTAATCCAATCAGTGTCTTGTACTGTATCTTTTGTTATCGATATTAAAACTGTTTCGGTTCTTGAAGGCATTTTCAGGCTTCTGAATGAACTCCAGTAATGATGATATAAATATATTAAAACATTAATTTTTAAAAAAAAACAAAATGAATTACTCATAGAACAATACACAATGTGTTATTACTAAAAAAAAGTTAAACATGAGATAATAATTAATAATAGATTAATATAATTATTGTTTTATTTTATTTCCAATGTTTCCATTTGAAAGAAACATTTATTTGTTGACACATTCTAAACATAGGGATATAATTTACCCTTAAAAAAAATATTTATTTATGATTACAAAAATATAGAAATATTTAACAATTATTAGCTAAATATTAAAATGATAAAAAGTAGTTAACAGAATAATTATATAATTTGTAGTGGTTATGGAGTGAATATGTAATGAATAAATAAAATTTATATACCCATAATTAAACTTTATTATAATATACTTAAGTTTTTAACCAACCTAAAGATCTAATAAATTCTCATATATTAATTTTTTAATCATATCATTTAAAATACCTAAGAGTAATAAAGTTTAATTGTAGAAGCACAAATTTTATTTATTCATTAGTTTCTAGGAAGTGCTGTAATTGAATCCAGTATCTCAAAATCTGTTTTAATGATGCTCTTAAACTTTACTTTGTCAAAGTTTAGACAGTTAACAAACTTTATAATAACATTAATTAAGTAATTACACAAGTTTAATCCTTTATTCATTTTAAGGGTTTCAATTACATTTTTTTCATTACGGTAATTATGCTGAAAGAAAAATAAATTACATAAAATGATGTTTAAATGGTCCTTGAAGGCATGTTAAAAAAAAAAAATCTTGCCACATGCTTACATTTTGTAGCCGTATATGCATTATAATCTAAAACCCTTCATTCATATTTTTTAAATATCAAAATAAGTTAAAATTTGCATTATATTCAAGTTAGAAAAAGACATAGTAAAGAGAAGAGCCTGTTTACAAAATGTAGAATATAACTATCTAGAAAAGATTAATTAAGAAATATCAATTACTCAATATAAATTATAATTGTAGTTATCTGGATGGATTAAAATTTAAAAAATCAAAAAATAATGTGTTGAATTGTATGAAAGCAGTTGAAAGTTTAGTTGCTAAATCTACCTGCAAATAGCACCCTAAATATAAATCTAATAAAGAACTAGATATGTATAGTAAGAATTAGACTTCTGAAATGGATCAACAAAATTGATCACACACAAAATGTTTAACACCATCTTTAAAATAATTATTTATGCCTCACACCAATCTGATATTAATAAATATATGAAATTTAATCAATTTTAAACTGTCATTTTCAAGTAATATGTGTTTTGTCTTAATATCAAGAGTCGCAAACGTTACTAATTATGAGACAAACAAATATATAAATGGTTATTTCACTATGCTAAAATATTTGTTTCATGTTTTTGATGATATTTGACATCTACTGTTGGTATCAAGAGAAATAAAATAAATAGTTTGGTTTAGCAATAACGTCGCTGTTGATTAAGTTAGGTAATTGTGTTTCTTATAACGTTGAAAATGTCTAAACACACCTTAAAAATATAATTTATCCATCCACGGTATGACAAAAATAAAAATTAATTAAGTGGTTAATACATTTTACAAACTATGGAAAACACAATTATCTAAGTTAACTAATAGCGACATTATTGCTAAAATATCAAAAACAAGAAACAAAAATACTATTATAGTGAAATAATCATTTACACAATTGTTTGTCCCATAGCTTGTGAAGTGTGTACCTTTAGAAAAATATTCTGGCTTATCTAGATTAATTATTGACTGAAAACTTTTACTTGATTATAACGCTGTTTTAATTTAATTTTAATAATCAGAAGGGGTAAAAAGACAGTAACCAAATGCATATAAAAATGAAATAATTTCAAAAATAAATTAAATATCAGTTGAATTATTGAATCGAGCAAGTATACAAGTAGCGCTCCTGTGTTTGGTTCAAAGAACTACTTGCTAGACGCCATCTGAGAAATGCGATGCCCTACTTAGCAACGAAAGTTAGCCACCCCCTGACGTGGAATTAATGTCGGTATTATTAAGAAAACCGGTTTGCGTTCTAGTCAGGTTACCTAGGTACCGTTATTCAGTCCGGCTTGTATCCCGAATACGTGTCAGTAGTACACAGTCGTTGAGATCAACAAACGGTTCTTGTTGGGCCAGTCTCAATAAGCTTCCCTTATATAACAGAAACCTCTCCGCTTTTATAAATAAACAACTACCATATATACCAGGTGCCAACTGTTACAGTAATATTGCCGCAATCATGGGGAAGACTGAAATAGGGCAACTACCAGAAAAAAAGCCCTTTGAAAGACTACCCAAAAATGTTAAACCTCTTCATTATGATCTTCAATTGAAACCCAACTTAGAAACTTTCGTGTTCGAGGGTAAAGTTGGAATCAAACTTCAGGTAAATAAATCAGTTATTAAAAAAAAAAAAAAAAAAAAAAATAGAAAAGAAAAAATGTAAATAAAAGTATACTACAGATATCATTATGGTGTTTAAACTTTAGGTGAACGAGCCCACTTCAAAAATAATTTTGAATGCCTTAGAACTTGAGATAAAGTCATGTTTTTTACTCCTGGAAAATGGAACTGAATTGAAGCCAAAGGTAGATTTATCGATAGAAACAGAGACAGCAACGCTGACTTTTGATCAAGCGATTCCTGCAGGGATTGCCCATCTGACGATTGAATTCAAAGGAGAATTAAATGACAAAATGAAAGGATTTTACCGCAGTAACCATTCTAAGTATGCATGGAAGGTTGCACATTTTAATTTGATTTTGTGTTGTTTTTTTTTTATATTTTTGTGTGAACATGCTTGTAAGTAAAGTTATATTTTTGTCTTAGTCTGGAAGGACAGAAGTGCTATTGTGCTGTGACACAGTTTGAAGCTACAGATGCCAGAAGGTGCTTCCCTTGTTGGGACGAACCAGCAATTAAATCTGTATTTGAAGTAACATTGATCGCTCCAAAAGGGAATGTTGCTCTCTCTAATATGGTAAGGCAACAACTTTTATATGTGTTTCTTTTATAATGAAAGAAAAACTATTATTATTTGAACAATATTTTTTATAAATGATAAATATTTTCTCTCAACTGTACATTAATTTTCTATTTATTTTCCATCATGCCTCTCTGTTTTATTTGTCAGAAGATGTATTTAACTAGATATTTATTTAATAACTGTATGTTATTTACCTTCAGTAATTATTAACTTTTATTTAAGGTGGAAAAGCATTTTTTTCTTATTACCAAGTTCTAACTAATTATTGTTCAAATTATGTAAATAGTTAAAATTTGAAAATAAAGTTACTGTTCATGTTATTGAACTTATTTAATTATTGTTGACTGCTTAATTTACTTGATAGTTTTTATTTAGTTACGAGTGACAATAATTTATAATTTCCATTTTTCTTTAAAAAAAAATTGTAGCTTATGATAAACATGTTGAACATTATATCTTATCTTGGTAAAATAATATTAAATTAATACTTGCTATCTCTAGAGAGAAGTAAAACAGTAATATTATAACAGGATGTTACATCCTATTGATAAATATTAGAATTTTCCATTCAACTTAAAAATTTTCACCTGGTTCAATACTAGAGTTAAACATAATTTACCATGCTGCCAATTTTAATATGAAAACTAGCAAGTTTTAGTCATATAGCTGTAATTGAGGAAGAGTTATAGGAACAAATGATCAATGTAAATTAAAAAAAAATATATATTATATTAATAACACCTTTTGGGTTATTCCCACATGAATTAATTCATGAATAAATTTTATAAAGAAATATCATTGTTTTCCCAAAAATTAATGATGGAGAAAATATTTATGGGAAAAACTGATTAAATTCCATGTTGTGGGAAAAAACGGTCAATGTTTGGCTTTTAAACATTATGCATCAACTTTTTTTTTTTTGCCAATATTTTCGATCCCTTCTAAAATATATTTTAGAGATTCAAATATATTTGGTTTACAAATGAAATATATATTTTTTTTCTTTGTCTAGTTCGTATTGAAAAGTCATTTTTTTAAGTTGCTAATATTTAAAACTGGAATTATTAAAAAATTTAAAAAATAGTCAATGTTATTCTCTGTGACCTTCATTTAGTATTTTGAACTGGTTATTGACATTGGGTGATGTGAATGAACTTTATTAGTTACTTATAAAATTTTTTTTAAAAAGTTAAGAAAAGTCACATGAGAGTTTATTTTAAAATAGAAAACAAATATTTTTTCTTGCAACTTAATGATGATAAATACAAGTAATTGCTTTTGATTAAGTTATTTTTTTAAAGTTTTAAGCAGTTACACTACAAAATCCTAGTCTTCCTTGGATAAATGTGAGAAATTAATAATTTGTACATTTGCCTATTATATTTATCCTTTTTTTATTTCACTTAGGTATTTATTATTACAGCATTATCTCTATCTATCAACATAAAAGAAAAACTAGGAATTCATTTAAAATAAATACATAATATATATATTATGACAACAGATAAAAATAAGACAAGAAACATAATTATCACTCATCATTCTATACATATTTTTAAATTTGTCCTGAAACTATTATAAATGTACTTCTAATTTTTGTAGACGTTATATGTTTTCATTTGCCTTGTAATAATTACAGATAAATAAAAAATGCAATTAGGTTTAATAATACTTATTTATTTCTTATCCGTACAATGGAAGATAATTTCTTAAAGCAACAATTAGATATTATTGCTTATTTTCATTCACATATTCTATTGATGATCAAATAGCAATTTTAAAAAATAATAAATAAATTTTCCTTTATTTTAAATTTAATTATTTGTAGGTATTAATGTTTTGCTAAGAAACTACAAATTTGTTCTAAAAATAATTTAAGAAGGTTTATTCTGATGAGAAAGATTATGGTTTGTTCGATTTATATCGAAGCACTGATTTTTGCCTATAATTAAATACTATCTAATAAATTTCATGACTATAAAAACAGCCCTATTCTAGTAATAAGAAAATGATTTGGATTTTTATATTTTTAAGGCAAAATATTTATTATTTATAGTTTGAATCTATTAGGTGTTTTAAAGTTATTCTTTCATTAAATCATGAAAAGTTAAGTTAAATACTTTTAAAACTGTATTTTGTTTTATAAGGATGAGAGTTGTAATGGAACCGTATATATATATTCCTGTTTTATAATTGATTTAAACAGTGATGCCGTGGTCTCTGTAAACATTCCCATTTCTTGTGAAATAGCTTGTTTCTTTTCAAGGTGATTCCATTTACAGCTCATCTACGTGTAATGAAACTGTAATGTAATTGCACAATTCTATGATTTTCTTTTATATAATTGTTGTTTCTTGAGATTCCGTTGACATAGATAATCATTTTGAACAAATTAATATGAAGACCGTATGTTTTTATGGACAAGTCAATGGTCAACATAAAAACATAAAAGTTTTTCTAAAAAGGTTGATGAATTAATAATCAAAAAACCTAGAACCTATTTCTTCATCCCAAAAAAGATACAAAAATAATAAAAATTCTTTAATAACAATAAAAAAAAAACAGTAATTATTTTTATCACATATAATGTTATGTCCTTTATGGCCATTATAAACTGTTTATCATCTATGATATAAACTTTTTGTCTTATTTTAAAAATATATTCTTTAGACAAAATCTTATTTTTTATATGTAAGCAGATAAATATTTTAGATAAAAATAAACTTTCTTTTTTATTTTGGCACTCCATATATTTTAAATATATTCCTGCAACTATAGTAAAAAAAAAAAATTGTTTTTTATTAATACAATATTATATCCCATTTTATGTAATATATATTTATGTACAAAAATAACCCAGTAATTTAGGTAGATGAGTAAACTAATAAAAAGTATAAATCATAAATACAATTTTTTTATTTTCATTATTTTTTAAATTGAAAATCAAAATCTTTTTTGTTTTTATTACAATTGTTGACCCAAGAATTTATAACTTTAAAAGATTTAGAACAGTCGATTACTTCATAATTTCTTTATGAAAGTTCATATTCAAAAAACTTCATTAATAATTTAGTCTATTAAATGTTTTGGTAATTTATTTTTTTTAAGTGAATGTGACTACTTTTTAAAATTTTCTCCTCTAATTTTTCTCTTTTTTTATCATTATATATACTTAAGTTGCCGAGATAAGAGATATTAGCTTTTACTGATAACATCTTTTTGACTTTTGCCTTTTCAAGGTCTTAATAATGTCAGTGAACTTACTCTGTTTACTGAATCATGTATTTTTTATTTAATTAATACATTATGACATTTATATAAATAATAATAAATATTTTCTATATATTAGTAAATAAATTCTAAACACTTTTTTTTTTTTGTGTTACACATTAAACTAAGTTTTACTTTCACTTACCTATATATAAAATATATAGTAAGGGACAGTATTGTGATTGTAAAAATTTTTGAATCTGAGTTTTCAACAGAAATACATATTTTGAGGTCTCCTGAGTCCAAATAACTAAGTCCCCCAAAATGGTGTGTGTGTCTGTTATCAGTTTAGCTCAAAAACGAAAAGTCGTATGAAAATTTAATTGCATATTTAATGTATGTATATACCTCAGATGTTAGAGCAACTTTTTCATTAAAATTGGCACCGGAAGTGACACTTCATATAATCAATGTTACACATTTTTACGATTTTCTCAAAAACAGCTGTAAGAGTTTTGATCAAACTTGGTTATATCAGTGTATTTTTAAGTTGTTTTTAATATCAGCCAAGTCTTATCCACATCGATGTCATTTTACAGGACTTAAATGCTCAATGTTCATATACGCCTTCCTCTAAGTATTTTTAATTTTTTTTTTAAAGTTAACTGTCCCTCGTTGTTAGGAATTATGAAAAATGGCTGAATATAACTTTTGAAAGAATTTGATGATTGAATAAAGGAGAAAAATTGAAAAATGCTTATCCAGCTCGAAAATGAATCTCCGGAAATAATAGTCAGAAGGTATACGCATAATATATCGCTAGAAAGCAGAGAATTTCAGAAAAAATAATATCTAATTAATAAACTTGTAGAAGGTAACGTAGAGTTACAAATTAAATATAAATAATAATTTGTGAAAAATAACATTATTTAACGTAAATCACATGTTTCCAAGGGAATTAAATATTTTCTTACTAAATGTAAACTTCTAAAATTTTTTTAAGTTTAAAAAAGTATTAAAAATCCCCGGAATCAAGACAATGGTATTGTTTAAAATACTATTTGTGAAATACTGTGTTTGTGTGAATGAAGAAGTGAAATATAAGATTATTTCATGAATGTATCAAGCATACGTTTATAACCTTAAATACATTTACTGTAGTTTAGTAATTCTAGATCTGATATTATACTTAAATAATTAGGTATCAACATCCGTTTATTCCATAAATTGTCATGTAATCTTGTAGAATATTAAATTAGTAAATGATTTGATTAGTTTTCCTCTGTGGTGTCACAACATTATCCGCTTAAAATTAGTGTGACATTTTTTGACCTGTTTATGGTAGACAATGAAAATCTCGTAATTTCGTTTTAGTAAACTTTAGAATGGAAAATAACTAATAGTCGTACAGTCCATAATCATTTATAGGTTGGATTTACAGTTATACTATCAAATATCTCTAAGCATATGTACATAGCTCAGAGACTGAAATTGAACGGTATATGTAACATGTTATTTGTATCAAGTAATAAAAATAAGTAACTCAATTATAATAAAATTAAATAAATTCTATCATTTCCTTTGATTAAATAAATTAAAGCTAAAAAAAACAAAAAAAAAAAACAAACAAAAAACAGATTCTTAAACAGAATTTCGCTTTTTATTTTAGTCTTAGTTGGCAATCATAAATAGAAATTATATTAAATAAATTTTGAAAAATGAAATAATTAATTATTTATAACAGCTATTTCACCTCTAAGATTAGTTAAGTTAGAATTCAAAGTATGCAGCACAAAAAATAATAGTTGAATAAAGAGCTTAATGTTTTTAAACTTAAAAGTTGATCTATCTCCAAAAGTTCTTATTTATTAATCATAGGCTATGATTTTCTTTTTCTTTTTTTCAATGTTTATATATTTTCTAATAATATTTACTTATTATAATTAATCATTAGAATAATATTTATTTTGAACTTGAAATGATGGATACTTGAAGTAATATATATTTTTTTTTTTCCCTTTTAGCCTGTAGTAAGCGAGTCAGAAGATGGAGATTGTAAAGTTGTCAAGTTTGCCCCTACTCCGATCATGTCTACCTATCTTGTAGCAGTCGTCGTTGGAGATTTTGCTTACGTTGAAGATACCTCTTCTGATGGCATCCTAGTTAGGGTGTATACGCCTCCCGCAGTTAAAGACCAAGGACTTTTTGCTCTTCACGTCGCCACGAAAGTGTTGCCATATTATAAGGAATACTTTCAGGTGGCTTATCCCCTTCCCAAAATGGATCTGGTTGCTATTGGAGATTTTTCTGCAGGTATGTGAAATTTTATAATAAGTCATATTTTTTTTTTTTAGAACAGTGCGTAAGGCACTAGACTCCTATTATTCCACTCCTGGATACGAGTCCAGCTATAGTAGGCGATTGTTTTATAATCTGTTAAAGCAGCCGTGGATTGATCTTAGTGTCGAAAGACCTCTCTGGAGCACATTCAGCCTGTATAAAGTGGGTAATAAAATTAATTAAATTATAAAGGGGGAAAATCTGGTGGCTGAGTATGATCTCAGTGGCATCACTGCACGACCAATGACCTAGAAAGAATGCTATATAACAAAGTATTTTACTGAAGACTTCATGCATTGAAGTAGTATAGAATAATTTTTTTTCTCAATGGGGTTTTGACCTTTCCTTACAACCAAAGATAAAAATGTCTTGAAAATAAATAATACAACTATGCAATACAACAAACATGTATTTTTTGTATGAAATGTCAAAATAAGTATAAATTTTAGTATTAAAACAGAAAATTTTGATTAAAATAAATAATAAAATGATAAAAAAAAGTAACAGGAGTTGAAGTGAAGGAATCTGGTAAATTAAAAGTTTTAAGTCACACTGATAAATAGCAGTAATTTTGAGACAAGTCTTGCAGATGAACAAAGCCACTAATAAATAGTGTCCCTTTGACAATATTAGGACGTAGTTTCTTGTCCTAATCCTTTCTAGGACAATTTTTTTTATAATGTAAACTGAAACCTATGTTGTATCATGTGAATGAAAATTAGGGTCCTGTCGCATTCACTATACTCAATTGTCTCCAACTGAGAACAATTAAAAAATATATACATTCCTGAATAAAAATGATTTTATGTTTTCATTTCTTCAGTTTATTAATTCAAAGCAAATGTTTCTTTAAACTAGTTAAGATTATAAAAATCCCATTATTTGTTCGAAGAAATTAGTTGAAGCTAACTGAAGTTATTTTATATCTTAAAAGTTTGTTTTTATTATGTTTCTCTGATAGATACTTTTTATTGATTCCATTCTTCTAATCTTTTTTTTTTTTTAAATTTTTCTATGGCTTATGGATTGGAATAAATATATTGTATTTATTTGTAGGTGCCATGGAGAATTGGGGCTTGGTTACTTATAGGCAATCAGCTCTGTTAGTGGACAGTGAGAATACATCCGCATCTCGTAAACAGTGGGTTGCAGTGGTCGTTGGTCATGAACTGGCTCATCAATGGTTTGGAAACCTTGTAACCATGGTAATTATTTTTTAATGTTATGTATTATATCATTATTATTAGTAATAGTTTTATTACAATTGTTATTATTTTTCTTAAAAATATGCTTACAATTGTTTTTTATATCAAAATGTGTTGATATCAAAGAGTTTTTACTCTGAAATCAAAAGTATTGTAAGTAAGGGTTTCATGCAATAAATGTAGAATGTCGTAAACCTATGACTTCCTGTCTTACAGTATCCTTTAACAGTACCCCACTTATCCCTGTTGACCAAATCTGATACCTACTACTCCACCTTGACAAACGATTCACTTGGAACCCCCATACCAGACTGAAACGACTAGAAACCGCCCGACGTTTCTGACTACTCCAGCACTTACTAGACAAACGCTCTAAACTGCCAACTATTTACAAAAGACTCATATATATTACTATAATAAGGCCTATTTGGACTTACAGGATCGAGCTTTGGGGCTCTACTAAACCATCAAATTCCTCTCGTATCCAATCCCTACAATCCAAAATCCTTCGTAAAATCCTTAATGCTCCCTACTTTGTCACAAATAAAATCATCCATAATGACCTTAATGTACCATATGTTTCCGATTTAGCTCAATCCAGATACCTGTCCTTTCATAATAAACTTCTGAACCATCCGAACCCTCTCGTTTCCAACCTTGCTTCCTCTTCTATTCCTGATAACCCTCTGAGGCGTCTGAAAAGATGGCCTCGGGACCTTCTAATATAGAAATATAATTGGAGTGCTACCAATGGGTAGTTTCTCTTCATGTTGTACATGTCATATTACTTATTCTTATTTACTTGTTGTTTTTATTATTAATTACAGTTGTAAATTTCATAAATAAAAAAAAAAAATGTAGAATAATAAACATAATTGTAGGAATGGTGGACTCACTTGTGGCTCAATGAAGGTTATGCTACTTTTGTCGAAAATCTCTGCGTAGCGCACCTTTTCCCGGAATATGACATATGGACTCAATTCGTTTCCGATATTTATACAAGAGCATTAGAGCTGGACTGTCTCAAGTCAAGTCATCCAATTGAGGTATTAATATTTTATTATATTAGTAATTTTAGTTTTTAATAATTTGTACTGTTTCAACCTGAGAGGATCGTTTATGATTTAGATTCCAGTTGGGCATCCATCTGAAGTCGATGAAATCTTCGACGATATATCATATAGCAAAGGTGCTTCTGTTATTAGGATGCTACATCGGTACCTGGGAGATAGTGTAAGTCTTGAACATTTTTTATCTTTGAAAACTTATTGAACTTTATTTATTTAATTAAAATTGTGTTCTGTGTTTTCTTAAGTTACACATTTTCATTATATTTTTTTTTATTGAAAAAATATTTTTTTTTTATGAATTTGTAGTTTTAATTTGCACTATTTCTTTTCTTAGATTAACAATGGTTATTGTTTACATAAATACAGAACGGACATAGTAAATTTTCACATCAATTCAATCATGAAAGTAGACATAATTCACAATCTCTAACAACAGATTGCAGCACTAGTTCTAGCATAATTCCCATCTCTGGAACTTCAACAATTAATATATTATGAAATATACTCTATTCCTCATGTCAATTCCTTTAATAATTAAAATATCAATAAATACATTGATTTTCTTTTTTCTATTGTTAAATTGTTTAATTAGTAAGGTACTCCAAGTGGTAACTGGGCTATCGATGATTCCTATTCATATTTGTAAAAATTATAAGGTTATTCGTTAAATCATTTTTTTCATTTGGAAACCAATTTATTAAACAACAATGTATTTTCGAATAAATCAGCTTTCTCTATTTTGTTTTAACTAATTGTTTCTTTATTACTAGTTAGGCTTAAAAATAATAAATGGCTGAAGAGTGCTAATTATCACTCCAACACTTGTTATTATTTGTAAAGCAGTGGTCTAGAACCTGTACCACTACAACCCATGAAGGGTCTTGGGTTCAGTACTATTTAGGGAAAGCACTGTTTCTAGGTCAACGGTTGTGCAAGGAGGTGATTTGACCGAGATCACACTCAACCGCCAGGTTTTCCCCCTTAATCAATTATTTAGTTAAGGGTACCAACTTTATAGAGGCTGGGTGTGCCCCAGGAGGGACTCCTGACCCAAGGTCGCCCCACAGCCAATGAAACAGATAAATAAATTTTCTGCCATGAGTCGGGGTTCGAACTCGGGACCTTTGCATACCCCACTCCCTAAGCAGTGGTCCAGTTATCCATAATTTGTTTTTAAAAAAGGGTTAACTAGATCATTCCATGTTGTATTTTTTTAATATTTTTTTTATTACTACTATGGTTTGCTTATAAAATTAGTTTAACGTTCCTTTCCAATTAATACATCTTTATAGCTATATTTTTACTTATAGCTATACTTGTCTTATTAGTATCTCTTAGTTATTCTTTTACTATAATAGTTCTTTTGAAATGATTAAATTTTAATTTGTATGAGGAGTATTGCCACTCTTAAGGGACTTTGTCCCAGGATAAAATTAATTTTTATTCTGCAAATTTATAAATTTCTTTATAACCATATTTTTTTAAATCAATTGAATGTTCGAAAATAGCCCAGGATTTGTTCTAATGTTCTTAAGTGTGTGGCATGGAGTGATTTAGTCACCACAAATTCTTGTGAAGTTGGGCTAATATGACAAAAAATAAAATTATATATTCAAAAATACATAATGTTGAAACTTATCTTAGAAGTTATGTATAAGTTAGTCGGATAAGTCATCATGCATATTTTTCATTTAAGCATTGCAAATTATTTTTCATTTAAACATGACCTAGTTAACCATACAATGCATTAATAGGAATCTTAAAAATATGTAAAATTGTATTTGATTGGTTTTAGGATTTTAGGAAAGGGATGAACACCTACTTAACTCGTCATCAATATAGTAATACATTCACCGAAGATCTCTGGGCTGCTCTCGAAGAAGCTTCGAAAAAACCCGTTAAAGATGTGATGTCCACTTGGACGAAGCAGACCGGTTTCCCTGTGATCCGGGTCACCGAATCGAAACAAATCGGAGATGTCAGGGAGTTGACTCTTGCACAAGAGAGATTTTGTGCAGATGCGGATACTGCGGGTATGGATTATAATGCTTTCTTTTGATTTTCCTAATATATTTTAGTTGTAATATTAGTGTAAAAGGTTGTATATAACATTTTTACTTGTTCATTCTCTTTGTGCCAAACATTCTTTAATCTGCAACTGCAATAAGTAGTCTACTAAATAGGAAAATAACAGGGAGAAATAAAATATGAAATTATACTATAAATCAGAAAGAAATAATAGGTTTTTATGATAGGTGAGAAATAATAGGTAAAAACTCAATTTTTACATATGACCTTTTGCACTAACATTAGCGATATTTAAAATATTTGCATCTGTTACTTTTATTAAGTATTCTATGATTAACTTTAGGAATTAGTTGGAATATTTTTCATGTTATTATATTTTTTTTTAGGTGATTCCAGTTTATGGATGGTCCCGTTGACATTTTCGACTAAATCCAAGCCAAACGATATTGTTCATTCTTGTGTGTTGGAGACCAGGAACGGTAAAGTTCAAGTACCTGCAGCTCCTGACGATTGGGTCAAGGTATTATTACAATTTTTTTTTATCTAAATAGTAAATGATTCAGAATGCAATTAAATGAAATCGACAGTAATTTCAAAAATATCTGTTCACATCCTCTTTATTTCTGCTAATAGAAAAGAAGAAAAAAAAAATTCTGAAAATTAAATGTAAGACCAAATATAAAGTAAATAACCTAATGAAGTTAAATGTAAATGACTTTGTTTTAGCGGGAATTGCGAATAACCTTCCGCTTTTATATAAGGAAACTAGGTTATTTACACTCTTGATTATTAAAACAAAACCCCGGCTGAATTTAGACTTTTTGAGAGTGTTTAACTGTCGTTTGGAATTCTGAAATTTAATACCTTTTGTGACACTGAATGACAAGAAACAATAAGAATATATATATAAAATGTGGGACTTAGTAAACACACTTTGAATGAATTGACTCACCTGGTTTGTTATTCTTCAATTGTGAGGCCTATAGGACAATTAAATAAATAAATGACTTTTCACTCCTGTATAATAAAATAATTTATTTTGACAACTGTAATAAGTGAATTTATTAAAGTCTTATAACTGTTGGCTTGATATCCTTGGTCTTCAATGTCCTGCCTCTCTCATATCAGGTAACGTCCTTTCGCCTCTGTGCCCAAGCCTCAAGTGACTTCTCTCCTCTTTTCGGCGTCCTTCTGCAGCTGTTGCTACCTACTTAAATGTAGGTACCCTTCTTCATCGATTGTTTATCGATATGAGACTTTTCCATACATAATTTGTCCACTGCATAATTGAGTACAATTCATCGTGCAACCTCACATTCTTATATATTCCCTCTCATTCCCTCACACAATGTCACATAAAGGAGTAAATGCCGGGGGCTATCTACTACAATAATGACTAAATATTACAAAAAATAACTAATTATATAATTTAATATTAGGGGTATTCGTGTAACAGATTGAATTAGTATAATAATAAACACCCAATCAAAATTTTAATTCAATGTAAATCAAATTGGCTCGCTTATATTGTGTGGATAGAAAAAAAAACATTCTATTTATTTTAAAATAAGAATAAAAATATTAAATAAATGATGTTTAATTATTTTGAATTGAGGCCATGGTGACCGAGTGTATTAAGGCATTGTCTGCTTTAGCATACTCGAGTCAGAAGTGTATAGGTTGGTTACCTGTAGAATTTTTCATCCTTTCTGCTCCAGTTAAAGTACATAAAGACGTTAAAATCAAATAAACAAATTATTGTGAATTATCTTAATAGTAATAATATTTGACAAACATTTGTGCTGTTAAAATTTATCCTTTGTTGTGATTTATTGCAGATAAATCCAGGAACTGTTGGTGTTTACCGAACTCAGTATGCGCAATATTTATTAGATCAATTTATTCCTGCAATACAAGACAAGTCACTACCTCCCCTTGATAGGCTAGGTATTGTAGATGACCTCTTCGCTTTGGTAATTATTTATCTATTTTAACATTTACAGATTTGTTTTAAAAGTGCGAGATTAACTATCCTAATTGCATTGTCTCAGGTTCAAGCTGGACACTGTAACACTGTTCAAGTCTTAAAGGTGATTTCGGCGATGAAGGATGAGGATAACTATACCGTTTGGTTCAGTATAGGAAACTGTCTGTCGAAACTAAGAGTTCTCATTTCGAATACTGATTTCATGGACAGCTTTAAGAAGTTTGGAAGAGATCTTTTTAAACCAGTGAGTCACAGAGTCGGTTGGGATCCTAGACCAGATGAAAGTAAGAAACAATAAGACTTGGTTTTCTCCGAATGATCTACTTGAAATTCATTATTGTATTGTAGATGTTATTGTACAATACTCTGGGTATTTAGATTTTTAATTCGTTTTTAGGCCATCTCGACAAACTACTCAGGTCTCTTGTGCTTGCGAAATTAGGAAGTTACGATGATGCAGAAACTATCGAAGAAGCTAAAAGGAGATTTGCAGACCATGTCAGCAAAAAAAGTATCATTCCTGCGGACTTGAGAGCTTCTGTATACCGAGCAGTTCTCTCTGTCGGGGATGAATCAACATACGACACCATGATTAAGGTATGTTACAAATTTTTATTTGTTTTTGTTATTGTTGTTTTGGGTTTAGGGGCAAAAAACTGCTGATTGTTATAATTGCTCTTAAAATTACACTAATTGAATTATTTATTAATCTTGAAAACTACTATTATAAAAGTAAACTTATTTTTAAAAGATATAATAAAAAAATTATAAATTACTATATAGAGACGAAGGGAAAAAAAAAATTATAGATGAGTACATAGAAATTAAGTCAATATATCACAAATGTTTGTTTTAGTTGAATGAAAATGTGTTTATTGATATAAATAAGATGCAAAGTATACAATCAATATTATATTTTTGTGTGTTATTCTCACAAAATATATTTCATTTTATATTCTAAATGCACTAACTTTGAAATACAAATTACATTTTTCAATTTTTTAAACAAACTTTTTAAAAATAATGAATAAACGTATATGCTATAATAAATAATATAGCGGCAACAAATAAATATTATATATTGTAATATCTCTTTATCTTAAACTAGTAATATAACCTCGGAAGATCACTTCATACTGTAGCGACACTCCTAAAATAAATAAGAGGTTGCTAAATAATAAACAAAATTATAAGAATATTGACATATTAAACTGAAATTTATAATTATTTTATCTCAAAGTATGGGTTACTGACAATCAGATCAAAAGATTCAGACAGACTGACATTAACTACACTAAGCACTGTTTGTTTGATTTTAAAATAAAGTCAAGTATGGATTGGCAAGCTAACCTTTTTTCTATAAACTGTTTCTTCCTTTGTGGCATTGAATTAATTTTTCTTCAAAAATTTTCCAATGTTTTGCGAAATATTCCTTCCAAAATTATTACTGCGTTTTAACCACTGGAGCCAGGATTCCTTCTCCGATCCTCTCTTCACTCCAGCCAAACAACACCTGCTTGCCAAAAAAACTGTTTGGCTCTCTCCTCTTTGGATTTTTCCTTTATGGGGAAACTACGCAGCAGCCATTTTCTTTTCCCTGAACTATTGAAACTATTTTTAAAATTTAAACATCCCTTGACATTAGTAGAACTATGGGTTACTGACAATCAGATCAAAAGATTCAGACAGGCTGACATTAACTACACTAAACACTGCTTTTGTGTTAGCGTTTGTGAGTAGCCTTATCTTTTGGCGGCAGGGAGGCTGAATGGGCTAACTTGTGTTGCCTGGCAACCAGATAATCGAAGTTATAAGAGATTAAAAATTTCAGCTTGCCTTTTAACTGTTCAACATGTATTTAGTTAACCATTTTTACCAACTTCCAATAAAGGTGTGTATTACAAAAAAATATATATATATATATATATATATATATATATATATATATAGATATAAAAGAAGTAAACTAGGGTGTGCCAATAATCGTTTAAATGCTGACCAGTTGGGCTCTTCGCAATCTGGCTAGATTTATATGATTACTTAGGGCTTTCCTGTTGATGCCTTTAAGCAAACTAAATATTTCTTCAGAACAGGTTTGTTGGCAAACAATTTTTCCCTGTTCTCACTAAAGCTATGACAAACCTCCAGAAAGTGTATGATGTCCTTTATTGCTCCGGAGTTACATTCTATGTAGTTGTCGCTGTCCTTACGCGTCCATGACTTAACACTTAAATTATGCATTTCAGTTCTACATCAGAATATGGACCATATCGTTGTAATATCAAAATATTCATTCAGATAGGGTGACATAAGCCTGCATATATAGAAAAACTCGGATATTGACATTTTTCACAATTACTTTGTTTTTCTGCTTCATGAACCCCATGTTTAATCGCAGGTAACTTTACGCATAGATCAGTGACATCTGCAATATTGAGCTTAATTTAATAGCAGTCCTTGCATTCCATCCACTTCTGATACGAAAAAAATTTCTTAATTATCACTTATTTTTAGATGTTTGTTTTAGTTATTGATTTGTTAATTAGTGAATTCATTGATTGGGTTTTATTTCATTTTTTATATCAGAAATTCATGAACCATTATTTTTATCTTCTGTACATTTATTCCGCATCATATTCAAGATTTTATTTCCTATAGTCTCCATCATTACAAGTCAGCCCATTGATTCTACTGAGAATAGATGTTCTTATCTTGTTCAAGAATTGATCTGAAACTCCCATGCCCAATGAGGAACTGATAGACTCAGTAACCTTGGAAATTTGTTTTCCATTCTCAATCCAATATTATGGAAGTAATTTCCTTAGAGTAGTCCATTTTGGCATTGTTGCCATCGCTGGTTGTATTGGTCTGTATTCTCACAGAAATTCTCTTCAGACCAATGGGGGAATGTAGAGTGCCTTAACTTAAGTATATTTAAATCAGCATTTCTCTCAATTGTTCTTTATGAATCGGAAATCTGAAAAAAACCTTAACAATAATTTAACTAGGATCACAGCTGCTGAAATGATATTCCTCCGACTAACAGTTGCTAAGACAAAGGGAGACTGTATCTGGAATAACATTTAAAATTGTTATTTTTATTGTTTATTGCCCCTAAAGGTTATATGTTGTGATGTTACAGTTTTACATGAAAATTCTATTATATGTTATTTATTATAAATTTTAATTGGTTTTTAAGCATAAAACTTTTTAATTATTACTAATATGTATTTTTAACCTAGCTAAATTATTTTTTGATGAATTTTAGATGTATAAAGAAGAAACATTGCAAGAAGAAAAAGAACGAATTTCCAGATCCTTGGGTGCCTTTAAAGATACCAAGATATTATCCAAAGTACTTGACTTTGCGATGTCTGTAAGTGAAATCTGATCTTTGAATAATTTTTATTAATTATCAGTTTATTAATTACTAATTCTTTACCTAAAAAGTTTATATCATTGACTTGAGAAACATGAAGTACAAAATAATAAGATTTGAATTATATTTTATACTTTCTTTTAGGATGAAGTTCGCCCGCAGGACAAAGTGTTTGTTATAATATCTGTGGCGTTGGACAAAGGTGGCCGAGAATTGGCCTGGGAATTTTTGAAGCAAAACTGGACTGATCTACATAGTAGATATGAGGTTAGTTGCTGTTTTATATGTGTGTATTTATTAATTCAGTTGTTAAACTTTTTCGGCAGTAAATTATGATCATGTTCAATTAGTAATAAGGCTATTATCGTGTAAAATATTAATTATATTATATTATTTTTAGGGAGGTTTTCTCATGGCTCGCCTTGTGAAGAATACCGTAGAAAACTTCTCTACTTTTGAAAAGGCAGACGAAATCGAAAGCTTTTTTGCATCAAGAGATACCAGCTGCTTGGATCGTAGCATCAGCCAGGCTGTTGAATCGGTCCGTTTGAACGCTGCATGGTTGACCAGAGACCGAGATAGCATCAGGCAATTCCTCGAAAACCATAAATAATTTACTAACGTTACCAACTCTCATCGAAGTTCGATACTGCATTTGCTAGTAGTACCTTTTCAGTTTTGCTTAAAATACGTTAATTTTGTTCTTACAATTGATTGGTCTCTATTGTTCTATTGTTTATGTGCTGTTAACGAAAACAATTTGATGTAGAAGTGGAACCGCAAAGTTCTGGTTCTTGTTACTTCTGCGAGGTCAAAAATAAATGTTGGCTTAAATACGTTGTTCATTGTTTATACGTACATAACGTCATAGGTCATAACATATAAGGTATAAGTTTAATTTGTTCGAACTACTACGTAAAGAGCTATGAAGTGATAACAGTGGTTTGTACAATGAAGTTGTAATGTACTTATCGTTTTAAAATAAAACAGTTATCAGTTTAGTTACATTTTGAAACCACTGAAAAAACAAAACAATAACGAGTTTTTAAAAAAATGTACCAATTCTTTTATTTTTAATTAAATAGTTAGATAACAATTAATGATCTAAAGGTGAGTTTCGATTCTGATAATTTAAGATTTTGTATTAAGTTCTCACATCCATTTTATATGTATAGACTGTTTATAGTTTTCAGATTAGTAACGCAAACTCTGAAGGCATTTTTTAAAATTCAGTTTTTTTATCGAAATAATGCTTGCTTAAGTATTTCTATTAAATCACTGGCCAAAGGATTTTTCCTAAAAGTAAGTTACCACTGGTTTTTAGGTGAATTAGATCATGTCTCGATATTTATTTATTTCATTTATTCAGGTTTTATAGATCATCTGGAAATTTTTTTTCTTTTCTATCTTTAGTTATGTTATATTTTCTAATGGACATATAGAAAAATGTAAAAAAAAACAAAAAACTACTTATCATACATTTATTCATAATATTTGTAACACTTATTACTACATTTTTTACTGTAAATGCAAGACTGGGCAAAAAATATTTGTAAATCGTATCGGAATAACCATATTCTATATTATATGGTAAAAATGATAAGAAAATTTATTAAGTTTATAATAAAGCAATGTCATGGTATTTTTTTTTTTTTTTTGTACCCTCAATGTATCCTATATCATTAGTTTTAAATCCTTTGTATTATATGGCCTAATATCTATGGTTTCTATTTCATTTTTTTCTCATCAGTATACACCGTAGAGGAAACCTTTTTATCATAAGAGGCTGCAGTAAGGTTAGGTAGTGCTAATGGAGGCCGCAACAATTCTTTATATTTTAGTATTGCTATTTTTACTAATAAGTAAATACATACCCATATGCATGTATTCTTTAACTTAATTCTATTAATTTTCAAATTTTCGTAACATAATTTATTAAATATTAATCAATTCTAGTGCTAGATTAATAAATATTTAATGCAAAAATGTTTGGAGGCCGCAGTTAGCTCACATATGCCACACAGGTTCCCCCACCATGCTATGGTATGTGCTATTTAGAGTAATATAAAATCACAAATCGTGAACTTTTTTGAATCTGAGTTTTCAACGGAAATACACTTTTTGAGATCCCGTAAATCCAGATAACCCAGTCTCGCAAAATGGTCTCCGCCTACAGGAACAGTCTAGCTCAAAAAGGAAAAGTTGTACCTTTTTCAGATTTTTATATGCCTGGGATGTTACAGTAACTATTTTGTAAAAATTGGCCAGACAAATGTGCCTCTTTATATTATTGATTTCACACATTTTGACAAATTTCTCGAAAAAATCTTTAATGATTTTGATTAAGCTCATTAGTTAGATGGTTTTATGAACGTGGATACATCCATTTCCTTATATTATTTATTTAATTCGTCAATCGTCCTTCAGGTTCCTTTCTCGTATATTCCACTTAGTACCTTCTTTTTAAACCCGAGGAAGACTTACTCTTGCGCTTTAGTAGTAGTCCAACATCATTATCATCATGTGTGGCACGACATCCCGTTACCGAGACTGGGTCTCCTCCAAGAGCCTCCGCCAGTTGGCTCTGTCTTCTGCTGCAGCTCTCCAGTTCCGTACACCAAGCAGGGTTCTCGCATCATAAGCCACGTTGTCCAACCATCTCGTCCTCGGCCTTCCTACCCGTCTTACGAGGTGCAGCTCCTCCATCATTATTTTCTTTGGTATTTCAACGGTGCTCATTCTGGCCACATGCCCTGCCCACCTTAGTCTGGCCAGTTTAATATAGGTGACTACGTCGATGTCTGTATAGAGAGAACTGAGCTCCCTATTTTTTCTTTTCCTCCAGACATCACCCTCCTTTACTGGACCATAAATCCTTCTGAGGACTCCTCGCTCAAACACACTCAGCTTCATCTCATCGTTTTTGGTCATCGTCCAAGCCTCTGAGCCATATGTCAAAACAGGCCGAACAAGGGTCTTGTATATGATCAGCTTGGTCTTCTTTGAGAGGTACCTACTTCTAAGTGTCGGCCAAGTCCAAAGACACATCTATTGGCAGCCGTGATCCTTCTTTGTATTTCTTGAGCCATGTCATTTTTGCTATTAATTTCAGACCCAAGTTATATAAAACTTTTCACTCTCTCAAACTTAAAAGAACCTACCTCAAATGGAGAGTTCAGATCCACCTCACCACCAACTCTCATATACTTAGTTTTCCTCTCGTTGACTTCTAGACCAAGTGGTCTTGCAGCTGCTTCAAAGCCTATAAACGCTTCTCTGAGAGCCCGTTCAGACCTACCTATTATGTCAATATCATCAGTAGTCCAACATAAAGAACCATATTTAAGCACTGGCATCCTGACTATCATTCATTAATAAGAAATAAAAACAATTCTCCAAATGAACTATACAAAAAATCCAAATTGTAACCTCAATGAAAAATCAAATATACATTTAGAATATTGAGCTCAAAGATTTTATGGAAACTGATTACCATCCAACTAAACTAATAACTTTTCATTAGTTATAATTCATAATGATTAAGTAATATAATATAAAGCATTTATTTGAAGTGATATTAATAAAAAATACATAAAATAAAGAATATCACTTATTATTAATAAAAAGGCAAATGAGGAAATACGGAAAATTATGAAGTATTTACTCCATGCTTTAAAATTAAAGAAGTAGAACTAATAATATTTACTGTTTCCAGTTGTCTCGCGGTAATGGGACCTCTATTATTGGGCCAATCAAGTGGAGTAAAACTGATTCGGACTAAACAAATTTGTCTCGGAAATGGATAGACAAATCAGACTCGACATGGAGCTCTAATGGTATTTTTTATACATCAGAATTGTTATATGGAATATTAAAATTTGATTATAATCACCACTATCACTTTTGCTCTAAAAACTTTAGAGTAGATGAGTATATGAGTTGTTCATTCAGATGTACTTCTACATGCCCTTTTATCCTTACTTCACATATCACCATTAGATCCACACCGTATAACTTCATCACCGTTGGATGTTTTAATATGTCATGTTCCAATTCTGATTTCCATTAGAATGCCATGTTGTGACAGATTTGTCCGTCCATTTCCGAAGCAAGTTTGCTCTGAATCAGTTTTACTTCACTTTGGGTGATTGGCCCAATAAAAAAATCCCCATTATCTCGAGACGAATGGAGTTGGTTAATATTAATAGTTCTATTTCTTTAATTTTAAAGCATGAAGTAAATACTTCATTCATAATTTTTCGTATTGCCTCATTTACTCTTTTATTAATAATAATAAGATTCTTTATTTTATTTATTTTTTATTATTATCACTTAAAATAAATGCTTTATATTATATTACGTAATAATTATGAATTAAAAGCTATTAGTTTAATTGGATAGTAACCAGTTTTCATAAAATCTTTGAGCTCAATATTCCAAATGTATTTTTGAGTTTCATTGAGGTTACAATTTGGATTTTTAGTTTTGCATAGTTCATTTGGAGAATTTTTTTTTTAATTTATTGTTAATGAGTAATAGTTAGGATACCAGGGCTTTACATATGGTTCACAATGTTGGACTATTACTAAAGCCCAAGAGTAAGTCTTCTTCAGATTTGAAAATAAGGTACTTTGTCGAATATTTGGTGAAATATACGAGAAAGGAACCTGGAGGACGATTGCCGAATTAAATAAAGATTATAGGGAAATGGATGTATCAGTATGTATATACTCGGTTCAGTTAATATTATTAATTCTATTTCTTTAATTTTAAAGCATGGAGTAAATACTTCATTCATAATTTTTCGTATTTTCTCATTTACTTTTTTATCAATAATAAGATTCTTTATTTTTTATTAATATCACTTCAAACAAATGCTTTATATTAAATTATGTAATTATTATGAATTAATAGCTATTAGTTTATTTCCACCAAATCTTCTCCCCCCCCCTTCTATCACCACTCCTTCAAAATGTGAAAATGAATAGATATTTACTTCACTGAATCATATCAGACAGGTTATTGGAGATAAAAGACAATTTCATATGATAAAAAATGAAAAATATTTTAAAATTTTACAAACTTTGAAAAGAAATAAAAAAGCTTGTGCATTATAAAATATCTTATCTTTGTATAAAAAAATATATGTATTTTATTACTATAAATAATTTATAAATAAAAATAAAAATAAAGGTGGCGACACTGGTTCAGACCAATTCTTGGCTTGTGCCTATTCGTAAGTGGCATCCATTAGAGCAAGGTTAAATCTTATTCTGTTTTTTTTTAATATTTAATAGTTGACTGTTGCATTATAAAGGAAGGAGAGGGTCCGTGGTGGTGGTCATAAATAGGCTAAATAGTGGCAAAACTATTTTATTTGTAAGCCGACGTTTCGACCAGACTTTGCAGATCTTCTTCAGGGCTAGAACGGAAAAGATACAAAACGATAGGGAATTGTGGCAGTTACATAATAATTAGACAAAATGTATAAACAATGTGAATAAGCTTATTAAAATTATAAACAGTAAGTACATTAAAATATGAACAAAGTAAGCCAAGTAACAAGATCCTAAACTGAAGTAAATAGATGCTAACAATTGTTGTAGTGTAATATATAATAAATGCAAATGCTTCTACAGATCTACAAGAGAGATTGAAAGAAAAGGAAAAAGGATATGATATGAAATAATAGACATAAAGGAATGTGGAGAAAGAAAAGAAAAAAGAAAACCAAAAATTAAATAAATAAGTAAATAAAATAGAAGAATAAAATTACAGACTTACAGGTGTGTTCAGCTAGGCGTTTCATTTAGAACTGGAAAACCAAGGGTAAGGGCAGGTATAGAGGAAGCTGACTTGTTTGGGTAATTCTAGCCCTGAAGAAGACCTGCAAAGTAAGGTCAAAACGTCGGCTTTCAATAAAATAGTTTTAGCCTATTTATGACCGCCACCTGCACCATCTCCTTCCTTTATTCTGTTTTTGTTTTAATACCCCCACCACAGGCGGATCTATGGGGGAGAAGGCTTTCAGGCAATAGGCCTCCCCTCTTCCCCCCATCAAAATGGTGAAACATAACTATGTTATGTGGAAAAAAAAATATCTCTAAAGTATTGTACGTGAAATTACATTTAATATGACTTCAATAATGACTTAAACACCATTTATTTTTTTTTGTTCTTTCCTACCTCGCCTTTTAGGCTATACGGGATTTTCCCGGGCCGGGGGTGAGGGCGGGGAATTTAAAATCCCCTCCGGCACCGGAACGCGAACTCGTACGTTTTAAATCTTCTCAAATCTGTAATCCGGTTGCCAGGCAACTCGCGGTGCTGTGCACACGCTTTAGCCCATTCAGCCACCCCGCCCCCTTAAACACCATTTCATATAGGTAGTTAATATTTTTTTTCAAATTAATTATTGTTATATATATATGGAAAAAAAGCTCTCCGGCTGAAGCTCCCCCCCATAAAAAATTTAAATCCTGGATCCGCTAGTGACCTACACTGTGATGTGAGGAAATCACTTCAGGAAACAAATGAGGCTTTGTTGATAAACTCTACACCACAAACAGACAAAACACCTTTATTCCTCTACATAAACATCAGCATCAGGAAAAAAGGTCTACTGCTGTCTGTGTAACCTCA